CAACCCCATCACACCAGAGTACACTGAACTCGAGAAAGTCTAAAGTGATATACTTTACATTCCACGAGAAGTCGGCCGGGCCGACCTCAACTACGTAATTACCTTCGCCGTGCGACCTCGCCTTCTCTGCCTTCGTTGTATGGCTTGCTGCAGCAGAACGGGAGGGAGGTATGAAGCTGAAATGTTTTCAGTCAGACGGGGCGATGGAGTACCAGTCACAGCGATTGAGGGACTACCTTGCTGAAAGGGGAATCAAGAGGCTTGTCACCCTCCCCTACGCTCACCAACAGAACGGTGTAGCATAGAGGATGAACCGGATGCTCCAGAACACCATGCGGAAGCTGCTGACTGGGATGCGACTACCCAACTCGCAATGGCCAGAGGCGATGAATCATGCCATCATGCTGCATAATCTTCTCTTGTCAAGCTCTCTGCCAAACAACACATCACCGCATCTGCTGTGGACAGGGAAGCAGGGCAGCACAAAAATGTTACGAGTGTTCGGCTGCATGGTACAGTACCATCCGCACAATGCACGAGCTGGACAATTTTCGCAACGGGCAAGATGGGGTCTACACGTCGGCGTGGAAAAACATTACAAGGCCCGGAAAATCTTCAACGTGGAAGATAAGGAAACAATACCGGCACGCAACGTAATTTTCTACGAGAACCTGACACTCAACCATTACGTGGACAACATTGCAGCTAATCGGGACCCATCCAGTGGCTTCGCTAGAGCACGCGCGTTCACTTCACCGGCCGAAGAAGCTGACCTAGAGGAGCAGAATGTCCCCGGCGCGTCAGCAGCTGCACGACCACTTCCCTACTGCTCCGTCGACATGCAAATGGACAAAGTCAACCCTCACGAAAGTGCGAATGCCGAAGCCTACTACCACTTCGCCGACACTGGTTACGTAACACCCCATAGCGTCGACACAAATGTTTCAAAATGAGTAGGACCATGTTTCGTACCTGATCCTGAACCAGGCGACGAAGCAGCTTATCCCGAGGATCCAACACTTCCCCGCTACACTGATACTGGGCTGCAAATCCTCGGATTGGTAGCAGCCTTGCATCCTCCGTCGCTACCGCCAGTTGAGGAGCCGACAACCGTCAAACGCGTACTACAAGGACCACACAGGGAGAAATGGAGGAAGGCAATGGACAGGTAATTAGCGGCACTGCACGAGCGCAGCACCTAGAAACTGATCCCGATTTCCCAAACCAAGGGAAAAACAATTCTGTCGGGAAAATGGGTCTTCCAAGTAAAGACCAACGGAGATGGGACCATCGATCGCTTCAAGGCACGATGGGTCATTCGCGGATTCGAACAGCAATGCAGCAGCGACTACACAGAAACATTCGCTCCCGTCAACCGCCACACTTCCATTCGAATCCTCCTCATCATTGCCGCCACTCGCCGACTTCACCTGCGACAACTCGGCGTCGCCGCCGCATTCCTCTACGCCCCGGTCGACGCCGACATCTTCGTCGAGCAGCCCCACCCCTACGTCGACGACCCAACGATACTCAAATCCCTCTACAGGATCAAACAGGCCCCGCGCCTGTGGCAGCATTATCTCCGTCCAATCCTCACCAACATGGGCTTTGTTTAGCTACCGCACGACCAGGGCATGTACCGCTGTCACGCAGCAGTGACTACGTCCTATTGATTGCCTATGTGGACGACCTACTCTACGTCGGCTCCACTACCTCCATCACTGTCTGGTTTGAGGACGAGCTGGAACTCCAGCTCACGAACACGGTGTCGCCGACCGTGATGCAGTACCTCGGCCTCAATGTCACCGACGCCCCCGATACCATTCATCTCTCGGCCTCGAAGTACGCCGACACCATCGCTCACAGATTCACTCTGTCCCTGCAACCTCTCGCTAGTCCGTACACCTACGCGCTGCCAGCACCCGCGTCGACCGCCTCGCTACTCGCACCGACAAGAATCCAGAAGTACCTGCAGAAACTAGGTTGTCTGCTATTCATCGCCGTAACCTGCCGTCCCGACCTCTCCTACGCCGCTAGCCAGCTCGCTACCTACCTTAAGCGACCTGAAGGGGGGAATCTGGCCGAACTCGATCGCACTCCACTACTTCGTATTGACCCCGACGATCGGCCTGACCTATCACAAAACGCCGCCACCAAAACCGAACTTATCGGCTATGTCGACGCCGATCACGCCGGCGATAAGGACAACCACCGCTCATGCACCTACTAGATCTACCACTTGGAACCTATTGGCACTATTTCCTGGCACTCGGGAAAGCAGGAATTAATCGCCCTTTCATCTGCTGAAGCTGAATATATCGCCCTCTACGCAACTACAAAGAAAGGACTGTACCTGCGTGAGCTACTCGAAGAAGCAAAGATTGCCAAGTTACCGAGCTTCTCATTCTTCTGCGATAACCAATTGGCAATCAGAATCGCCAACAAAAATGGATTCACGAACAAGACGAAGCACAAATCGCTTTGTTACTTCTTCGTGAAGGACGAGATCAAGCAGGGCCGTCTCCAATTGGTCTACTGAAATGGCAGCCGACTACTTGACCAAGAAGCTGATGAAGGCCAAGTTCCAGTACTGCATGCAGCTGACTGAACTGCAACACGTCAGCGATCTCGACCACATCTACACTCCAGAAATGAAGGAGGGTGTTGGAAATGATAAAAGAACTTAAGGCATTTCCGGAGTCTCACGTGAGTGTACGAAATACTCGAAGACTACAGCAATGAGGATTACCGAGTCAACACTGCTACAGTACCCCTGACGATTCACACAGGTTGACGACACCTCGCAGCGGTTACGAAAGGGCAACGGTCGCAGACCGTTGTCCACGCAACCCCACAGTCAAAATCGCACGAGTCAAGAGTCAGCGCGACAGCAAGGACAAATAACCGTCCCGATATTACAGTACGGGTGGTTAACCGAGTCGCCCTATCGAGTCGTAAAAGGGAATGTACCCCTCAAAGTGCAGAAACAATTATACTCTTCATATTCTCTTGTATCATTGTATAAGCCTTGTAACCCTTTGCTATAATCAATCACTTGTTCTCATATACCAGTACAAGGGTTCAACTCAAGACTTCCGCTGTGCTATCAAGCACTCTGCTACAAGGACTTAGCATTCTGGAAAGAATTTGAAAATGTGGTGCTCGACTTGCAGGAGACTAAGTATAGAATCTGCTTGAGTCAAGCCTTGGGTATAGTAGTATCTCTACTACTTGATAGTATTTGTAAGGATCGTAATTCTGGAACGGTAGACTAGTAAGACAGCGGAAGTCTTATAGGAGTGAACCTGAGCACATGAACTTGTGGGTAGTCGAAGGTTGAATAACCTGAGCACATCATTCTGTGGAAAGTCAAGGTTAATAATAGAAAGGCATTACAAGGATTTATAGCTCTAGGGAACGTACATGTTCGGCTAGTTGCGCACTATGCGACCTATTCGTCATACTATAGGGTCGCGACTGTTCACGTGACTGAAACGACTCGTTATGCCTGATCGCGTTACTAAAGCAGTATTGTAAGGAAATTCTCTTTTCGTTACTGGGTTCAACTACAGCGCGTACGCCCTCGACTCTCGGAAGTCCAGGCTCGGCCAATTTTTTCGGTTCCGAACCACTTCGTGAACCCAAACCTTGATGCGCAGCGCTTCCGTGGCTTTCGCCAACCGAATCGCCCCAACCTGTTCGCGTGGTTCTCGGCTAGCTGAGTTCGTGCCTATAAATGCCTAGGCCCTCATTTGTATCGACACTCTTGAATCACGACTCCTTTATTACACTACCTGTTATTACTCTTATTAATTCATAACAGCTGGTATCAGAGCCCCATTCCTGCCCGCTTAGTCTTCCGTAGAGTAGTCCGATTATATCGAGAGAGGACCCGACAGAATAGAGGGTTGGCCAGCGGTTGGTAGGTGAGCTCGTTAGATCTCCTCCAACTAAAAGCGTGTGCACCTTCAGTTCTGTAAGGTAAAATTTCCAGCATGACTAGCACGCTGGAAACCTCTGCCCGTCGTAGTGTTAGGAACGTGACTCAGGAGGAGTTTGACGAGTTGCAAGCCAAGGCGGCTACAGTGACGACACTGCAGGCCCGGCTTCAACAACTCGCTGACAATTTTGAGTCGCTGGGAAGCGAAGTTCAGATGCTGCGCAACGAAAACTCGTCACTTCGCCAGACGCGGGGTGAAACGCGTCAGGGGCGGCCTGTTACCCGAGACGAAGATGATGCGAGCGAAGCGAGGGCATCGGCGACACCTGAAGCAGTTGAAGAAGTCCACAGCGAGCCGTGGGCGGCCATTAAAATCAAGCCTCCGATGCCCCCACCGTTCAACCCGTCCGACAGGACCACTACAGTGAGAGGGTGGCTGTTTGCCATGGAAATCTTCTTCAGGGCAGCAAGTATTAATGACTACGCATCATGTGTTAACTTGGCTGTGTCGCTGCTTAGGGGACCAGCACTCGACAGGTGGCGCATGCATCTCGACGAAGGAGGAGCTCCGGCAGGGAATCAATGGGTGGCAGATTGGGAGAAAAGTTCATCAACAGCGAAGGCAGAACCAATCTTTGGATTGGCCGCAATCCACACGTGGAAAGCGTGGGGCGAAGCGTTGAAGGGCAGATTCGAGCACATATCCATGCGCGAAAATGCTCGCACAAAGCTTCGGATGTGGAGACAGTTGGGTTCTTTCCAAGAATACAAGGCGTCGTTTCTGGCAATCTGCGACCAAATCGGAGGGATTAGTGAGGATGAGAAAAATTATCACTACGTGGTTGGTCTCAAGCCGGAGATTCAGCAAGAGATCCTCTTGCGAGCTCCTACGACCTTCAACGATATTGTTCGCATGGCAGACGCGCTGGACGCACGACGTGGACTTGCGAGAGCGGGTTTCCAGGAGGGAAATCGCTTTCGAGGCCAACCCCAACACACATCGATCAACGGCGTGGACGTGTTTGCAGCCCGAGTATTTTCGGGGACCTGCTTCCACTGCAACCAGCCAAGTCACATGGTGAGGGACTGCCCGCAGCTGAAGAAGAACTTACCTAACGACAAGAAGTAGTCGGGAAATGGAGATCGTCAATAGCAGATGGGCCACCTACTGACTTGACTGTGTCACCCAAACGCCAACACCCCCACCAGGTTATAGTGCCGATTTGGGCTATCGACCATTCCTGGCTGAATAAGGGGGGTGAACCGGTTGATCGCCCTGTGCTGGTTGAAGGGAGAGTTGGCGACACCCGCATCAAAATATTCGTTGATGGCGGGGCGAGCCACAGTTTGATAGACGTGTTGAAGGCAAAGAAGTTGCGATTGCAACTAGAGCGCTGCATGCTTGAGATCGGTGCGCGATTGGTCGACGGCACACCACTGGCAATTCGGGAGCGAGTACCTCACGTGCGAGTAACATGCGGCGAAAATTTCAGCTTCACAACGAAGATTCTGGCGACAACTTTGGACGGCTGCGACATGCTGCTGGGACGCGATTGGCTGCGCGAATACAACCCGAGCATCGACTAGCGGACGGGCGACTGTCGCATAAAACGGAGTGGCGAGTGGCGACGACTACCCAAGTGGAGTTGTTAAGATTCGGCGACATCGACGGTCGGCGCAGTAACGATCAAGCGAGCAATGATTCGAGGGGCGCAACTGTACACCGTCCGATGGATCGCATAAACGACTATCGACACGCCAGCCGACATCGACAAACTCTGCGCAGCTGTGCCGAATGTCATTCGCAGGCACGCCGACATTTTTCCAGACGACCTACCGGTGGGTTTGCCACCTGAGCGAGCCCACGACCACAAAATCGAGTTGGAGCCCGGCGCGCAACCTACTGTTCGAACTCAATAGAGGCTGACTCAGCCTGAGCTAAATGAACTTCGACGCCAGTTGGATTACCTGCTCGAGAAAGGTTTCGTTCACCCCAGCACTTCCCCGTTCGCAGCTCCGATCCTGTTCACCCCGAAGAAAGATGGCGGTCTACGAATGTGTATTGACTACCGCGCCCTGAATCGGGTTTCCATCAAGTCCCGCTACCCTATCCCGCGTGTCGACGAACTCATTGACCAACTTAATGGAGCCAAGTTCTTTTCGAAAATTGACCTTCAAGGCGGTTACCACCAGATACGTGTGAACGAAGCTGACTGCTACAAGACGGCGTTTCGAACCCGGTACGGAAGTTATGAGTACACGGTTATGCCTTTTGGCTTAACAAATGCACCTTCGACGTTCCAGTTGACAATGAACGAAGTATTTCGGCCGCTACTGGATAAATGCGTCATCGTGTACCTCGACGACTTCCTAATATACAGCACTAACCGGGAACAGCATTTGAAGGATTTGGGAGCAGTCTTCTCTCTCCTGCAGCAACACCGACTCGTCACCAATGGCTCTAAGTGCGAGTTTCTCAAACAAGAACTGGAGTTTTTGGGACACTATATTTCCATCAACGGAGTTAAAATCGACCCCAAGAAGATCGCGACAATTCAAGACTGGAAGCCGCCGGCTAATCTCCATGAACTTCAAAGGTTCCTGGGGTTTGTGAATTACGTTCGCCGGTTCATTCCGAACATGGCGTGGGTAACTTCCCCTCTCACGGATCTCAGACAAGTTTTATGAGTGGGGGGGAGAGCAGCAGGCTGCATTCGAACAGCTCAAACTTTCCCTGACTACACTTCTGGTTCTTCAAATTGCAGATCCTCACCGTCTGTTCGAGCTCATCACTAATGCTAGCGACCTGGCTGTTGGCGCAGTACTATTACAAGACTTCGGCGAAGGTCTCCAACCCATCGCCTAACGAAAGCTGAATTCGGCCGAACGAAATTATCCTGTCCACGACAAGGAGTTACTCGCCATCGTCCATGCTTTCAAGGTCTGGCGCTGCTACCTGACGGGTGCTGACGTGACAGTCCGAACAGACCACAAATCACTACAGTTCATCCGCGCCCAATCGACACTAAATCATCGACAGATTCGCTGGCTCGATTACCTCGAGTCAAAATTTCACTACAGAGTCACCTACAAATGGGGGGTTAGCAACATCACCGACGCAGTGACCCTCCCTTCAGTCCACACCGCCGCAGTCCTAATTACCCAAGCTAATCCGCTGTTAACTGGTCTATTCACCCACGGATACAGTACCGATCCATTCTTCACCACTAACAGTCATCCCCAACTAACAGTCAAGCAAGGGGCCTATTACCTAAAATCTGGTACCAATCGGATTTGGGTTCCCGCCTACCGTACCCTACGCGAGCTACTGATACAGGAGGCACACGACTCGAATTTCTCGGGTCACTACGGCATCAAAAAACTGCCAAATTACTGAGCCGTAATTATTACTGGCTTGACTTGTCGACAGACGTGCAGCAGTACGTCACCTCCTGCGCCACGTGTCAAGGCATGAAGTCTTCACGGCTTCAACCTGCGGGATTACTGCAGCCGCTCGAGCCACTCAGCCGACCCTTGCAACAGGTGACGATGGATTTCGTCACTGGCCTGCCAGCTGGTTCAAGCGGTAACGACGCGATTCTCGTCGTCGTTGACCGGTTGACCAAGATGGCCCACTTCGCCACCAGCAAGACGACAGTTACTGCCGAGCAGACAGCGAAACTGTTCCTCACGAACATCGTGCGGCTCCACGGCATTCCTTCGACAAGCATCAGCGATCGCGACCCTCGGTTCACGTCCAACTTCTGGACAAAAACCTGGCAGCAGTACGGCACACGTCTGCATCTGTCCACGGTGTACCACCCGCAATCGGACGGCCAGACTAAGCGCACCAATCAGACGATGGAGCAGCTGATTCGCACAACGTGCACAGACCCGGCCCAATAGGAAGACTCCCTTCCCTTGATCGAGTTTGCGTACAACAACGCCCCATCAGCCACGACTACTCAGTCCCCGTTCTTCCACAGTTACGGGATAGACTCGAGAACCCCTCTATCGCCACCGATAGAAAATCCGGCACCAAGGTCGCAGCAGGTCGTCGAAAACCTCCGACAGTCTCAGCAAAAAGCCACCGATGCCATCCTCAAAGCCAACCAACGGGCTAAGCAGCAAGCTGATCGACGATGCTGCGACTTAACTCTTGCCCCTGGGCAATTGGTCCTGCTCGACACTAGAAATTTGGGAATTCCCCTCCCAAATAAACTACGACCAAGATTTTGCAGCCCATTCCGCATCATCCGCATGGTGACACCAGTCACTGCCCAGCTGCAACTACCGGTCGACTGGAGAATTCATGATTCATTCCACTTCAGCCTCCTGCGACCATTCGTCCCGAGTACGACTAATCTCGACCGTCAACACATCAATCCTACGGTCAACCCAGTATCTGAGCCGACGATCAAGCCATCGAAGATTCTCGCTCATCGCGTACGAGGCCATCGAGATACGGCAGCCGTTGATTTCCTTGAACAATGGGTGGATCGCACGATTGACGTCGATCTTTGGGTCCCCGCAGCTATGCTCGGCGAACACAAAGTCGTCCGGGACTATCTACACCGACGTGTCCCGGATGTGGGTAGTCTCATCCCGGAAGGGGGGGTGGTGTAAGGAAATTCCCTTTTCCTTACTGGGTTCAACTACAGCGCGTACGCCCTCGACTCTCGGAAGTCCAGGCTCGGCCAACTTCTTCGGTTCCGAACCACTTCATGAACCCAAACCTTGATGCGCAGCGCTTCCGTGGCTTTCGCCAACCGAATCGCCCCAACCTGTTCGCGTGGTTCTCGGCTAGCTGTGTTCGTGCCTATAAATGCCTAGCCCCTCATTTGTATAGACACTCTTGAATCACGACTCCTTTATTACACTACCTGTTATTACTCTGATTAATTCATAAAATGCATGCTGACGTTATCCCCGAGACCCGCGATGCCTTGCTGACGGTAGCACTCGGGCATGGTTACTTACTGAGAAACTCGATACTGCTAGCTACACCAAAACGGAACTTGTAGGAATGCAAAACTTCATATATCACAACACTCATATACCAGTACAAGGGTTCAACTCAAGACTTCCGCTGTGCTATCTGAAAGAATTTGAAAGGTGGTGCAGGAGACTAAGTATAGAATCTGCAGACACAAGTACTTGAAGTAGAAAGTAATACTGGAAGTACCTCCAGTAACAGCCAGTATTAACAAGTTGTAACACCAGAGTCAGTGTTACAGCCTTGCAATACTTCAAGACTTAACCAAGGATCTTTGCTGGAATGGTATGTTGTGATAATTGAAGTTTTGCATTCCTGCAAGTTCCGTTTTTGGTGTAGCTCGCAGTATCGCGTTTCTCAGTAAGTAACCATGCCCGAGTGCTAACGTCAGCAAAGCATCGCGGGTCTCGGGGATGACGTCAGCATACCGCTTCAGTTACGCGAATAGGCGTAACGAGCCGCTTCAATCACGCGAACAGTCGCGACTCTATAGAATGACGAATAGGTCACATAGCGCGCAATTAGCCGAACAGGTACTTTCCCTAGAGCTATAAATCCTTGTAATGCCATTGTATTATTAACCTTGACTTTCCACAGAATTACGTGCTCAGGTTATTCAACCTTCGACTACCCACAAGTTCATGTGCTCAGGTTCACTCCTATAAGACTTCCGCTTTCTTACTAGTCTACCATTCCAGCAAAGATCCTTGGTTAAGTACTCGTGGTTGCAGATTCTATACTTAGTCTCCTGCAAACACCTATCAAATTATTACATGGTAGACTAGTAAGACAGCGGAAGTCTTAGAATTTGTAAAGTGTTGACCAGAATTTACTGAAGAACAAGTTGATAATTGAAGTTGTACAAGCTACTTTTATATCTGCTAGAAGTACCTATTCGGTGATGTACCTGTTCGAGCTATTTGCGCTATGCGCTCTAACTGCTACTGAAAAGAGCGCGACTGTTCGCGTGACTGAAACGGCTTGCTGACGTAACCATCCAGACGAGCGCTATTTGCTGACGTCATTCTACGGATGCTAACTACAGTGTATCTCGACAATATCTATCGAGATTACTTACAGAAATGCTGAAGTATGATTATACCACAACACTATCAAGCAGTCTGCTACAAGGACTTAGCATTCTGGAAAGATCCTTGAGCTATTGTCAGCCCAACAGGGGGGAACGAAATTGTCGGAGGGGGGTGTCAAACATGTTTATTGATCATGTTTGTATAGACTGTATAGGGTAACCTCCTAGAGGGTACAACATTTAGGTATATGTGCATGTACTCTCTAACTCTATCAATTATTCAATTCTAGGTTTGAGATGGTATCACGCGTAGGTTTCGACCCCCCCCCCCACCTACCGCTTCCGCTCCTCCCGTCGCGTCTCCTAGCCTAGCCTCGCCCCTCCTGAGCCCAGTCGCGACCCCCCCCCCCCTAGCCCCGTCGCGCCCCTTCCAGGGCCTCGTAGCGCCCCTCCAGGCCCTGTCGCGCCCCCCTTTCAGGGCTTCGTAACGCCCCTCCAGGCCCCCGTCGCGCCCCTCCTGGGCTCTGTAGCGCCCCTCCAGGGCCCCGTCGCGCCCCTCCTGGGCCCCGTAGCGCCCCTCCAGGGCCCCGTCGCGCCCCTTAGCGCCCCTCCTGGGCCCCGTAGCGCCCCTCCAGGGCCCCGTCGCGCCCCTTAGCGCCCCTCCTGGGCCCCGTAGCGCCCCTCCAGGGCCCCGTCGCGCCCCTTAGCGCCCCTCCTGGGCCCTGTCGCGCTCCTCTCAGGCCCCGTCGCGCTCCTTCCAGGCCCCGTCGCGCTCCTCCCAGGCCCCGTCGCGCCCCTTCCAGGGCCTCGTAGCGCCCCTCCAGGCCCCGTCGCGCCCCTTCCAGGGCTTCGTAGCGCCCCTTCTGGGCTTTGTCGTGCCCCTCCTGGGCTTGGTAGCGCCCCTCCCAGGCCCCCGTCGCGCCCCTCCCTGGGCCCCGTCGCGCCCCTCCTGGGCCCCTTAGCGCCCCTCCTGGGCCCTGCCGCGCTCCTCCTTGGGCCCCTTAGCGCCCCTCCTGGGCCCTGCCGCGCTCCTCCCTGGGCCCCGTAGCGCCCCTGGGCCCCGTCGCGCCCCTCCTGGGCCCCGTCGCGTCCCTCCAGGGCCCTGTAGTGCCCCTCCTGGGCCTCGTCGAGCCCCTTCTGGGCCCCGTCACACCTGCTCGGCCCCGTCGCCCCAGCTCGGCCCCGTCGCAGCCGCTCGGCCCCGTGGCGCCCGCCCGACCCCTGTCGCAGCCGCCCGGCCCCTGTCGCACCCGCCCGGCCCCGTCACGCCCGCCCGGCCCCGTCGCCCTCGCCCGGCCCTGCTGTGTCCTGCCCGGCCCCGTCGCAGCCGCCCGGCCTCGTCGCTGCCGCCCGGCCCCGTCGCAGCCGCCCGGCCCCGTCGCAGCCGCCCGGCCCCGTCGCAGCCGCCCGGCCTCGTCGCTGCCGCCCGGCCCCGTCGCAGCCGCCCGGCCCCGCGTCGCGCCTGCCCGGCCCCGTCGCGCCTGCCCGGCCCCGTCGCGCCTGCCCGGCCTCGTCGCGCCTGCCCGGCCCCGTCGCGCCTGCCCGGTCCCGTCGCGCCTGCCCCGGCCCTACATACTTCCTGGTACTGTCCCCCTTTCCCCGCACCGCTTTGCACCCTCCTGCACTTCCCTGCCCCGCCTTGCACCGCATTGCACCTCACTGGACCGCACTGCACCGCACTGCAGCGCACTGGACCGCACTGCACCGCACTGCATCGCACTGCACCGCACTGGACCGCACTGCACCGCACTGCATCGCACTGCACCGCACTGCACCGCCCTGCACCGCACTGCACAGCACTACACCGCACTCCACTGTCCTACACTGCCCCTGATGGCTGCTGAGCTTCGTTTTGATGCTGAGGGTCAGCCTCTGGAGTTCGAGGCGTGGTTGGCTGACCTCCGCCGCCACCTCACTGGTCAGCGGCAGGACGGCCACCCGCTCTCTGACCACCTAGACGGTATGCTCCCCTGCCCTGACCCCCCTGCTGTGCTGCCCGCTGATCCCACGCCCGCTGAGCGCGAGTCCACTGCAGCCGATGCCCTTGCCCGCTCTGTCTAGCTTTCCCACGATGCCCTTGCTCAGCTCGCCATTAGCAATGCCCTCCCCCCCCCCGAGCGCCCTCGCTTTAGAACCCTTACTACCGCCCAGGCCTACCTCGATGCTGTCATCAAGCGCTATTCTACCCCTCCTGCTGCCTCAGTGGGTCGCCTGATCCTCCCCCTGCTCTTTCCTGACCTTGCGTCTTTCCCCACTGTCTCTGACCTCGCTGCCCACCTGCGCTCGATAGGTGAGACCTGGCGCGCTGCCTGCACTGATGCACAGCTTAGAGTCCACCAGCCTCCCATGACCTCTACCCTCTACCTCCTTGCCACCCGCCTCCCTGACCGCCTTGCCGCCGCCCGCGACCAGTTCCTTAGCATCCACCCCGCTGCTCTCACCCTCACCAACTTTGTTGACACCCTGACTGTCATAGAGACTCGTCACCGCTCCATAGCCCAGGCGAGCGGTACAGTACCGGTCCCTATCTTTCAGGGTTGTGCCCCCGCTCAGTGTACCTTCTCCGACGGCTCTGTCGCTGTGGCTGAGACTGCTGCTGCAATGCAGTCCCGCTCGGGGAAGGGCCGCCGCCCCAAGGTTGGGAGCGGCGGAGGCGGCGGGGGTGCGGGTGGGGGTAGTGGTGGAGTCGGGTCGTCCGGTGCCAGTGCGGACGTGGGGACCCTGCCCGGTCCAGCTGCCCCGCTGCCTCCACAGTTGCAGCAGCAGCAGCAGCAGCAGTCGCCGCAGCCGCAGCCTTCGCAGCAGCCGCAGCAGCTGCCGCAGACGAGGCAGGCGAGTGCTCTCCCGCCTGGGTGGCCTGGAGCTGGTGGTGGTCGTGCGCGTGGTGGTGCACCGGGTGGTGGTTCTGGAGGCGGGCCCTGTCAGTACCAGATCCAGACCGGTCCTCGCCGCGGCTTCGTTTGCGGTAAGATCGGTCATTCCACTCCTCGCTGTTTTCGTCGTCTGGACGACCTGTTCCGTCAGCGCTTTGGCCCGGCGCCCGACCTCCCGGACTGGCACAGCTTGCTTAGGCGTAGCATTCGGATTTTTGACTTGGACATGGATGCCATTGTAGCAGCCTTGCATGTGATGTATGCTGATGACTCTAGTGTGCTTCCCTCTTATTACCCCGTGTTGCCTAGTGTAGCTGTGCCTAGCGTAGACTCCCCTGCTGCATCAGGCGTAGGACCTTCTGCTTTGCTTAGCCTCGGTGCTTCCACCGCTTCACTGCCGCCCTGCGCGACTGCTGCGCTTTCCTTCACCTTGGACTCTGGCGCCTCCCGGTGTTTCTTCCGCGACTCCACGACGCTGACGCCGCTGCCTGTTCCCGCCGCAGTTACTCTTGCTGACCCCTCCGGTGGTCCCGTCGTTGCCCGCAGTTCCACCTCCCTTCCCTGTCCTGCGGTTCCTTCAGGTTCGCTCACCGGTCTGCATATCCCCTCGTTCTCCAGGAACCTAGTTGGTGTCGGCTGCCTCCAGGACCTTGGCGTCACCACTACGTTCCCTGGTCATGAGCGGTATGCTGTCTGTACCGAGGCCGCCACTGGTGCCCCCCTTACCACTTTCCCCCGGGACCCGGTGTCCGGCCTGTTCACACTTGACACCGCGACTTCCCCGGCTGGGTCTTCCCCCCAGGTAGCTGCGTCCACCCAGGTTGCTGCTGCGTGCTCCTGTCGGTCCCTCACTCACCCGACTCTCCTTTGGCACCACCACCTTGGTCACCCTGCACTCCCGCGTCTGCGTCACATGTCCCAGCACGGTCTCGTCCTTGGTCTCCCCGGTTCGTTCCCCGAGTTTCCCTCCTCCCCCGCCCCCCGTGCACGCCTTGTGTCGAGGGCCGGCTCCGCCGTGCCCCTCACTCCTCCTCTTTTCCCCCTACCACCGCACCACTGCAGACTCTGCACATGGACGTCTGGGGCCCAGCCCCGGTCCATGGGCCGCGTCGCGAGCGCTTCTTCCTAGTGCTTGTCGACGACTTCACGCGCTACACCACAGTCTTTCCCCTGGAGCGGAAGGCCGACGTGCCTGACGCTCTCATCCCCTGGCTTGTCTCTGCTCGTGTCCACCGCGGTCTCCCTGCCTTGCGCCTCCACTCCGACCGGGGTGGCGAGTTTGCCTCAGGTGTCCTTGGTCGCTTCTGTCGCGCTCTCACCCTATGTTGCTCCGGTCTCACGCGTCTCGTCCTCCCCTCCTCCCGTCTCCTCCTCCGTCCTCTCTTGTCGTTGCGTCTCCTCCTCTGTCTGACTACTTTCGTGCCGCTCGCCCTCTTGTTCCTCGGGTCCTTGCCTCTCTCGTTACCGACCCGTCTGTTCCAGTGTCGAGTCTTGACGCCCTTGTCGCTGCGGTCGCTGACTTCCCCTCTACCCGCCGCCTTGACTACGCCACCGCTCTTGTCTCTGACCCTGCCTGTCCTCCGTCTGTCGGGGGTGCTCCTGCCCTCGGCAGTGACGTCCTGGAGGACCGCCAGTTTGAGCTTGCTTTCCTGTCCGAGGCTGCTCCCCATCTCTGTTCCATGCTGCTAGTCCCTGAGGGTGACCCAGACGCTTTCGACATCCCGACCCCTCGTACTTACGCTGAGGCGGTTTCGGGACCCTGGGCCTCTCAGTGGATAGCTGCCATGGAACAGGAGATGGCATCTTGGAGATCCACCGGCACCTTCGTCGACGCAGTTCCCCCATCTGGGGTGAACGTGGTCGATGGCCGTTGGCTCTTCAAGGTGAAGCGCCCTCCTGGAGAGCCGCCTGTGTTCAAGGCGCGCTACGTGGCTAGAGGCTTCAGTCAGCGCGAGGGGGTGGATTTCTTTCAGACTTTCGCTCCTACGCCGAAGATGACTACTCTTCGGGTGCTGTTATACGTAGCGGCTCAGCGTGACTACGAGCTTCACTCCCTCGACTTCTCCACTGCCTTCCTTCAGGGCAGCCTTCACGAGCAGGTCTACCTGCGTCGTCCTCAGGGCTTTACTGGCACTTTCCCCCCTGGGACCCAGTGGCTTCTTCGGCGCCCAGTCTACGGCCTGCGCCAGGCGCCTCGTGAGTGGCACGACACGCTGCGTGCTACCCTTGCTGACCTGCAGTTCTTTCCGTCCTCTGCAGACCCCTCGCTCTTCGTTCGTGCTGGCCCGACTCCGTTCTACATCCTTGTCTACGTAGACGACCTGGTCTTTGCCACAGCTGACAGGGACGCACTGGCCGCCGTGAAGGCAGAGCTGCTGAAGAGACACACCTGCACTGACCTTGGAGAGCTGCGCCGTTACCTTGGCTTGCAGATCTCCAGAGACAGAGCCGCGCGCACCATCACCCTGACTCAGTCACACTTGGTGCGCCAGGTCCTTCAGAGGTTCGGCCTTCAGTTCTCCTCCGCACAGCCCACCCCTCTTCCTCTGGACCACAGACTCTCCGCTCCAGTTCCTGAGGAGTCGGTAGATCCCAGTGGTCCTTACGCTGAGCTAGTGGGTTGCCTCATGTACCTGATGACTTGCACTCGCCCAGATCTCGCATACCCTCTCAGCATCCTGGCTCGTTTCGTGGCCACAGGCAGACACCGACCTCAGCACTGGTCTGCCGCTAAGAGGGTTTTGCGTTATCTTGCAAGTACATCGGGCATGGGGTTAGTGCTAGGCGGACGTAGGCCAGTGGTCCTTACTGGACACACAGACGCTTCTTGGGCAGACGACGCCGAGACGCTCAGGTCTTCCCAGGGCTACTGCTTTAGCCTTGGCTCAGGTGCTGTCTCGTGGAGAGCTACCCGCTCCTCGTCTGTTGCCCAGTCCAGCTGTGAGGCTGAGATCTACGCCGGTGCCATGGCGGCACAGGAGCTCCGCTGGCTGACCTTCTTGCTCACTGACTTAGGTGAGCGGCCTAGCTCTGCCCCGGTCTTGTACGCTGACAACAGGGCCATGATCCTCCTGTGTCAGGAGCCTCGACTCGAGGGTAGAGCGAAGCACATCCAGCTGCGGTACTTCCTCCTGCGCGAGCTACAGCAGCGTCGCCAGGCTCGCGTAGTACACTTGGCCTCCGGTGCCAACACAGCTGATATCTTTACGAAGGCGCTTGCGCCTAAAGATCATCAGCGGCACTGTGTACAGCTTGGTCTGGTTCCTGTAGTCGCTCACTTACTCGGGCCTTGACTTTGTACTGTCCTATATATATGTGTACACTCAGACTGGACTTGTGTCCTCTCACAGTGGTTGGACTAGTAGTGCCGCCCTGTACTAGTTCTTGTCTTGTCTGTACTCCTTCTGACTGGTCTTTTAGACCCTTGTCTCAGAGGCTGGACTAGTAGTGCCGCCCTGAGCTGCTTATCTAGGACATTCCCCTATGCAGTCCAGGGGGTGTGTCAAACATGGTTATTGATCATGTTTGTATAGACTGTATAGGGTAACCTCCTAGAGGGTACAACATTTAGGTATATGTGCATGTACTCTCTAACTCTATCAATTATTCAATTCTAGGTTTGAGAGGGGGGACACAAGCAGTGAATTTGCAGTACAGATTTCCTACATATGGCACCTCCCCATGATTTCCTAGGCTGGCTGAGGTTTTGTTTTTCCAGGATGTGGTCACAGGGTAATCCACATCCCAATGTTTATAACTTGATCGGGATTCCGGGAATGTGTACGGCGGCTTTTTACTTGATCAGTCTGTTAAAGAAAATATCCCAAAGCTACAGCCCATAGTACACTGGCTTCCTTTTCTCTGCAAAGGCAGCTAACCCTTCCAATCTGTCTTTCGATTTCAAAACACCATGATAGCATCGCTCCTCTATTGCAAGGCCATCCTTTATTGCCACATCGTGGCCTTTATTGACCGCCTCTTTAGCGAGTCTAACCGCAAGAGGCCCCTGAAACGGCAAGCGCATGAAAGGGAGGAATCAGCAGAATGGAAGCAGGAGGGGATGGCAGACGATAGGAGGCGTGTCTGATAAAAGTTGTAGGAGCACACTCTGAAAGCGGGAGGGGATGGCAGACGATCACCAGGAAATGCAAATGAATGGTGACGCTTTTTAAATGAACCACTGTCGCCTCAAACGGAGGGCGATGGACGGAGAATGATATAGATAGATGTGGATGGATGTGGATGGATGTGGATGGATGTGGATGGATCGGGAGGGATGTGGATGGATGTGGATGGATCTGGAGGGATGTGGATGGATGTGGATGGATGTGGATGGATGTGGATGGATGTGGATGGATGTGGATGGATGTGGATGGATAGGTGTGTATTGTTGAGGGAGATGGGATGGGAGCCGCACAAATCAACTCAATCGCCTCAAAAGGCAGATCACTCGAATGATGGCGGATAGAGAATGATGCGGGAGGGGATAGATGCGGAGGGAGAGGTGTCTGTTGTCGAGGGAGATGGGAGCTGCACAAATCGACTCAAAAGTCAGATCGCACGAATGATGGGGGATACAGAATGATGTGGATGGGGATAGATGTGGAGGGAAAGGTGTCTGTTTTTGGGGCGCCTCAAAACCAAAAGTCGCCTCAGATGCATGGTGACGGATGGAAAATGGTGTGGATGGATGTGGGGGGGAAGGTTGAGCCGCACACTTTTGAGCAGCACACTTTTGAGCGGCACACTTTTGAGCAGCACACTTCTGAGTGGCACACTTTTTAGCGGCACACTTTTGAGCGGCATACGTTTGAGCGGCACACTTTTGAGCGGCATACGTTAGAGTGGCACACGTTTGAGCGACAAACTTTTGAGCATTTGAGCGGCATACTTTTGAGCGGCACACGTTTGAGCAGCACACTTTTGAGCGGCACACTTTTGAGCAGCACACTTTTGAGCGGCACACTTTTGAGCGGCACACTATTGAGCGGCACAAGTTTGAGCGGCACACGTTTGAGCGGCACACTTTTGAGCCGCACACTTTTGAGCGGCACACTTTTGAGCCGCACACTTTTGAGCGGCACATTATTGAGCGGCGCACTATTGAGCGGCACACGTTTGAGCAGCACACTTTTGAGCCGCATACTTTTGAGCGGCACACTTTTGAGTGGCACACTTTTGAGCAGCACAATTTTGAGCGGCAGACGTTTGAGCAGCATACGTTTGAGCGTCACACGTTTGAGCGACAAAATTTTGAGCGGCACACGTTTGAGCGACAAACTTTTGAGCAGCACATGTTTGAGCGACAAACTTTTGAGCGGCACACGTTTGAGCGACACACTTTTGAGCGACAAACTTTTGAGCGGCACACGTTTGAGCGACAAGCTTTTGAGTGGCATACGTTTGAGCCGGCTCACGTTGCACTGGATGGCTCTTGGGATCTCTAGGCTACGGTGTATGCTGTCCCTAGAGGCACACAATGGCTCACACTACCTGCATGGATGCATGCATGCATGCATGCACCCATGCACACACTTTGGAGCCGACTCACATTGCGTTGAATGGCTCGCGCGATATCAAGAGATGTGTCGTATGCTGTCCCTGCTGGCACACAATGGCTCACAACACCTGCATGCATGTAGGCGCAAAAGCATGCACATACGCATACCCACCCACATGCAACATGCACACACAAACACAAGCACAGAAATCAATTTAAAAAAAAAAAAGAGAATCGTGCATGACATGTATGCATGGGAGTGCACACTCCGCAAATACACTCATTAGCTCTTTGCGCCCTTGGCTTGATACGCAACGATAAGAGTAAGTATATGCTCTCTTGTTACTCAATAGAAACTCCTTTACAAGTAACAAACGGAATAACCTCATATGTGGACGGCCTTTTTCATGCGCGTATTTGTAGGGCAGTCCTCGGCGCAAGATGATTAGAGGAATTCAATAATCGGTCTAGAAAAAAAATTAGACTTGGTCATCATTACACAAACAGCTCACCAAGGGAGAGAGCCTCGTCGGCTCGCACAACCCAGGCCGTGAAAATGAGCTCCTTGGCTGGCGATGGTTAAAAACGCCAAACACCTTGATTAAGGTACAGTCACACTGTCACACCATCCGGCTCACCAAGGGAGAGCGCCTCATCGGCTCGCACAACCCGCGCCGTGAAAATGAGCTCCTTGGCTCGGGCGGCGCCAATCAATCGGGGCAGGCGCTGCGTGCCGCCCGCCCTGCAGCAATTGACCAGAGAAGTAAAGGTGGATACAAATGGGGGGGAAATGGGGGAATGCCTGGAGCACCCTGGGAGGATGGCGAGCGGCGCCAATCAATCGGGGCAGGCGCTGCGTGCCACCCGCCCTGCATAGAGTGTGTGAGAAAGGGGGGAAACTTGGGGCAATCAGACGCGGCAACGAAGGATTGTTGCCCGCCCTGCAGCAATTGACCAGAGAAATAAAGGTGGATACAAATGGGGGGGAATGGGGGACTGCCTGGAGCACTGGAAACACAGGCGAAGGCAAGAGGCCCAGCAGAGGCCCAACAGAGGCCTAGCAGAGGCCCCCGCAACAAAGTATGCAAATCACGCAACCCAGAAAAACACACATAACCTGCAAACACACATACCCTGCAAACACACATACCCTGCAAACACACATACCCCACGCAAACACACACACGCAGCTGCTATAGCCGGCGAGAATGGCGAGGGAAAGGGGCACCTGGGAATGATGGATGGCAACGAATGCCTCCCGATCTCAAACCGATCGCATTTTCACTTCCTGGAAGCCCTGGGAGCCCTGGGAGCCCTGGGAGCCCTGGGAGCCCTGGAAGCCCTGGGAGCCCTGGAAGCCCTGGAAGCCCTGGAAACAGGGCGAAACAGCCCGTACTGCCGAAACTAAATACGATAAACCCGTTTTCCCAAGAAAAAAAACCCGATTCTTCCAGACCAGAGGGACAGAATCGTTCATCGGCAGCACCCAGCCTGGGATGATGGCGAGCGATGCCTCCAGCAGGCGGGCCACACCGAGAAGCACCGATGAAAGGAACACACTGCACTGCCAAAAATAAATGCCATAAACCCAAGAGGGACAGAATCGTTCGTCGGCAGCACGCACCCTGGGATGATGGCGAGCGATGCCTCCGGCAGGCCAAAGCGGGCATTGAAGCCTGGGGAGGATCGATGGGGAGAGGAGAGGGTTGGCATGGCATGTGATGCTGCAGTGAGCATGGTGTTATGATGCAGATGCTGTAACCAACACCACATGTCTCTGGCAGGCCAAAGCGGGCATTGAAGCCTGGGGAGGGGAGGAGGATGGATGGGAGAGGAGAGGGTCGGCGAGGAAAGGGTGGGCATGGCATATGATGTTACAGGGAGCATGGTGTTACGATGCCTGTAACCAACACCACATGCCTCTGGCAGGCCAAAGCGGGCATTGAAGCCTGGGGAGGATAGATGGATGGGCGAGGGTAGGCATGGCATGTGATGTCACAGTGAGCATGGCGTTACGATGCAGATGCTGTAAGCAACACCACATGCCTCTGATTTTGCAAGGTGTTTTTGAGAAGTCTCAAAAACATCATGCAGATGATGTAACCAACACCACGTGTCTCTGGCAGGCCAGAGCGGGCATTGAAACCTGGGGAGGGGAGGAGGATGGATGGGCGAGGAGAGGGTCGGCATGGCATGTGATGTCACAGTGAGCATGGCGTTGCGATGCAGATGCTGTAACCAACACCACATGTCTCTGGCAGGCCAGAGCGGGCATTGAAGCCTGGGGAGGATTGATGGATGGGAGAGAGAGGCATGCATGGCATATGATGTTACAATGAGCATGTTACGATCCAGAGGATGTAACGCCAAATATCGCTGTACAGGCCGTTTTAAAGGTCAATGTGACTGAATCTCAATGGGTTATGTACCTGCGACTCTAATGTCACATGCTAGAAGCATTTCCAGCCCTCCCCCCAGTGCTGCTCCCTCTACTGCTGCCACTGTTGGTACAGGTAGATTCTGGGGGGAAAGGATTAGAAAGAAAATCAAGGGCAATAGTGATCGAGCAACAGGTATGAGAGCATAGTCAACACTGTTGGAATAATTGAGTTTCATTTAGCAGATTTTCTATTAGAGTTGTATTAGAGTTTCTATTTGAGTTTCTACAAGAGTTTTTATTGAGTCAGCTCAAGCAGAGAGCGTTTAGCGCACGCAGCATGAAGTCTCACCTCGAGGGCAGAGAATGCTCCCCTGAGGCTGCTGACAAACGCCTCTGCCTCTTCCATGGTCATGCTCTTGCGCTCCTGTGATTCAAAGGGTTCAGCTAGAGGCGCGTGGGTGTTTGGTCTAGTGGCATGATTCTCGCTTAGGGTGCGAGAGGTCCCGAGTTCAATTCTCGGAACACCCCTGTTACAGCTTTTCACCGAAGTACACTCCCCCGAGGTGCCCCTCGCGGTTTTCCTGCACAATGCAATGCAGTCCATGTAATGGCAGAGCTCATACACCCTCAAATTCGCCACGCCATGCGACAGCTACACACACCATACCTAGCATCGCCCCCTCGCATGTTCCCTTGAGTTTGACAGCTCGAGCACCCAAAAAATATTCACACCACACCATATTACACCATCGCATAAACACACACCATGTCACCCTCCATACAGTCACAAAACTCACCTTGAGGTCTGCTCCTGCACAGAATACTCCCTCCACTGCGCTCCTTATAATCACAGCCCGCACATCGCCACCATCACCCCCCCCACTCTTCGCGGCCTCACTCCCTGTCCGCACCTGCCACTCCCCCGCTCCCCCTCCTCCCCCCCCTTGCCCCACTAGTCCATGCTCTCCCGCCCCCACTGCTCTCCGCACTTCTCCCATTGCATGCAACAGGTCTGCCAGCAGTTGCCTGCTGATGGCGTTGCGGGCTGCAGGGCGGTTGAGAGTCAAAACCGCGATGCCTGGAAGGGGGCAGCAGGGGTTGCGGGGACGGTAGCAGGGAAGAGAGGGTGAAGGAGCGTCAGAGGGGGCCGTCAAATCTCTCACCTGCTGTTTGCTGATGGCGTTGCGGGCTGCAGGGCGGTTGAGAGTCAATACAGCGATGCCAGGTGACGGGGGAGGAGATGCGGGTACTGGAGGCTTTTCTGAGATTCGAGTAAATCAAGGATTGAGAAACAATCAAAATTGAAAACTTGAGCCGTTTCAAAACACCGACGCCTGTTGAAGACGGTGGCGATGCGGGTACCGGAGGGGTCGATGAAAAGAGAGTACATGAACTTCAACTCTTAAAGCGTGGAGGACAGATAGAGAACAAGAGAGATAGAAGAAAAGGGCCCGGTAGGTCAGGTGCTCTGGTGAAAAACCAGGGATAGAAGAACGAAGTTTGGAAAGGCTTTAAGTTTTTAATAAAGGGCCCGCAACAAGCCTCACCTTCGTCTTCCCCTGTTAGGTGGTCTAGGCGCACCAGCTCGCCGCCACGTGGATCCGCGTCGACCGAGTAGCGCCTCCTGGATGGCCACGTGGCAGCGACATCACCCACGTAGCCAGACGCGGCGAACGAGCTGAGTGACGTGGCAGTAACTCGACAGCAAGGAGTCGTGGGTCTCGTAACGGGGGACTGACGGAACGTGCCAATAACGGGGGGGCGAGCAGACGTTGCGGCAACGGGGACGAGAAGCGATTGTAACGGTGCCAGGACACCCCTTCCTTCACTCCCGCGCTGAGCAGGCGAGGATTCTAACGTTGGCGAGAAAGCGACTGCGGATGGTAATAGCCGCCGCTGGGCAGCACGAATGGCGGCGGAAGAGCCAGCCATGCGAAAGGATTCTAGTCGAATAAAAGAGATTATGGACCTGCGTAACCACCTGCGGAAATATCCGGAAGGTTCGAGCTTGATTGAAATCTCTTGGAAGATACCGAACCGCAGCCGCAAAGAAAGCGAGCGGAGAAACTACTTCAGTCTCCAGTTCGAAAGAGCAGGAGAGGAGGCCGTGACGGCTATTTTCACGCCGTGGGCGTGCGGGAAGCAAGCGATGCAATCAGCAGGAGCCGCTTACGGCCGGCCGGGATATGCTGGAATCTCCTGGTGCTTCGAAAATGGGAGCGGCGGGCCGTAAACTGCTTTGCGCAAGCTCGGGTGATGATGTTGAGCAACCGACGAGCTATGTTACCTCGGACTATGTTGCCACGGAACCTATTTCTTTCGCCATGTTTCCTCGGGCTCAACCAAATTCCTCATGCCCTTGGATTGGCGGGATAGTTGCACGAATGTGATTGTACAGGGCGAGGGCTGGTGAATGAAAGCGGAACGCCGTCAGTTTCCCGTGTGGCTGAGGCAGTGTGACGTGTGCGGGGATGCCAACAGCGTGGAGTGATGTCAGATGAAAGACGAGTAAATCACCGCTGAGAAGAAACTCGTTTTCAGTCCAAAATTTTGTCGTAGCATACATATTTTGCATGATGTATGTGAGTTGTAACCCTCGCTGACAAAGTGCTCCTCAATTTTGTCAGATGTCAGCGAACCAATCTCTAGGCCTCCCCTCCCCTGCCAATTTCCCGCCATTGTCAAAACTCCAGTCCTCGTCTGTCTGCTTGGTTCAGGCAGAAACTAGGCATTCGGTGTCAGTCGGCGATTCTGTTGGCTAGCAGTCCAGGTCTGGAGTTTTTAGAAGCAATAAGTAGAGGTTCCGCGTCGTTAGCGTTTCGCGTTGATCGAAGCCCCGCCAAGAGAGCAGGATGGCGAATAAGGGAGCGAAGAAGCGGAAGGAGGAGAACGAGAAGCACCTGAACCGCCTGCAGAAGCTCATCGTGACCGTTAATGTGCGTTGGATTGATCCAATCGTGTGCGTTCGCCAGATCACACGTCGTCGAGTGTGCGTCGAATGCCTTGTTGAATCATTTCCTTGCTGCGCCCTGAATTCCGTTCAGAGCGCAGACCTGAATTTCCCAGACCTGAATTTCCCAGACCTGAATCTCCCAGACCTGAATTCCCCAGACCTGAATCTCTTCCTTCTAAGCAGATACCCGCTCCCCATTCTTCACATTCGACTCCCATTTGACTGCTCCCAACCCCCCGACCCCCCTCCCTCCCCCCCCCATTGTTTCTATTTCTTCGTCCCGCCACGGTTCAGGCGATTTACATCCTGGTGCGTCTCTCGCCCTTTTTCTTTTCTCCTCAAAAGCAGAAATGGATTCCGTCCTTCCTTCCTTGTCTTTCTCTGGTTCAGGCGATTTACATCCTCGTGCGCCTCTCGCTCTTCTTCGCATCCTTCACCTGGCGCCATTGGATCGGCCTCGTTGTAACCACCTTCGCTTACAAGACGTGCTTCGACCAGATCGCCTCTCTTGCCGAAGCCACTTATGACGAGACAGGGCAGCTGATCGACGGCGGTAGCGACCTCAACATGGGCGGGCTGTGCGGGTGAGATGGAGGGCTCTGTAGGTTAGACTGTTGCAGGTGGGACTGGCGTAAGTATGGTGCAGGTGGGACTGGTGTTAGTATGGTGGCATTTCAGATCGCCTCGCTGGCCCAAGCCACTCATGACGAGACGAGACAGCTGATCGACGGGGAAAGTGCCCTTCACATGGGAGGCCTTTGTGGGTGAGTGAGACTGGTGCAGGTGGCACTGGTGCAGGTGACACCGGTGCCTGCAGCGGGTGAGACTCTTGCCTGCACTACCGTCTGTGCCCTTATGCTCAGTTCACATGCTGTCATGTTTCTCCCTCCTGCTACTTCACCCACCTTGCACTTTCCACCTTTGAGTTTCCCTGACCTTGCATTCCCCATCTATCTCTCTCTCCCTCTCGCCCGACCGCCTGCGTGACAGCATCACCCATACTCCGCTCCCCCCATTCCTCCCTCCATCCCTTGCTCCTTCAGTTAGTGAATCCACCAAACGCCCTCATCGCCCTCTGCAGCTCCCTGCAATCGTCCCGTGTCGTGTTCCCCCACCGTGTAACTTGATCCCTTTGCAAACCTTGTCCCTCCATCCGCTCATCCTCCAATCCCGTCCCTCCCGCCCTCCTTGCAGCTACCTGCACGGTATCATCTGCATCACCGCTTTGTACCTTACATTACTCCTCTGTTCCCATCCCACCCCCCCCCGCAGTTACCTGCACGACATCATCTACATCTCTGCATTCGTCCAGATCTCCTCCATTCCCTTCTACTAGTTCTGGCGTGCCTGCATGACATCATCGGCATCACCACTTTGTACCTCCCATTACCCATTTCCCCCCCCACAGCTACCTGCACGACATCATCTACATCACTGCATTCGTCCAGATCTCCTCCATTCTCTCAGACTGGTTCTGGCTCATCTACCTCATTGTACGTCTTGTCTTTATCACCTTGATATGCTCTCCGTTGCAGCCTAAAATCACATCCTCTTCTCTCTTTGAGTTGTTAAAAAACACATCCTCTAGCTCATTCACTTCTTGGTACAGCTGCCTGCTCTGTCACCGAGGGCCTGCTATGGACCCCCCATGCGCCCCCCCCCCCGCCCTGCTCATCCCTCTTGGTGCTCATTCACCTCTTGGTACTGTTGCCTGCTCTGCCACCAACGGCCTGCTATGGACCCCCCCGTCCCCCCCCCCCCCCCCCCACCCCCCTCTCGCCTGCTAATCCCTCTATCTCCCACGCATGTTTTGGCCATGCTCTGTTTTCCATGTGCCACGTTCAGATCTCTACTTCTGCCTCCTCCTCTTTACCATCTTCATTCAACTGCACCTTCCCCCTGGCATCTCCCCTCCTGTTGCCCTCTCTGCCTCTCCTCTTTCCTTCTCTTCTCTTCTTCGCCCTCTCCCCAGCGAAATCCCCCCAGCTTTCGTTCTGTTGAAGCTATGGGAGCTGATTTTTTAGTCGACTCAAAATTTCACCTTGGCATCTTCTCTTTCCTTCTCTCCCCATCTTCCCCCTCGTTCCTGTCAGATCCCAGCCTTTGCTCTGTGGAAGCTGTGGGAGCTTGTCCTCTATCCCTACTTTTTCCAAAAAGTGGAACCTGTAAGGCCTCTCCCTCTCCTTCTCAGCCCCCGTTCCCCCCTCCCCCCGCCCCCCATGCTGGAAAAAAATCCTTACCACCTCCGACAAGTTGTGGGAAAACTTACCGGTATCAGTTAGAGCTGTCTGCCTTTTTCATGCTGGTAATCTCCTTGTGTTTGCTGGCTTCATTCATTTCATGCTACAGCGCATTGGATAAATGCCTTAACATGGAAGAACTTAGTATGTCATTCCACAATATGGTGCTTTACAGGGGGAGGAGGATCCAAGGGATAGGAAGAAGCGAGAGAAGATGGAGCGGAAGGCTGACCGGGCTGCAAGACTATCCAAGGGGCGATGATAACGCATGCATTTTGTACAATGCTTGGGGGCGTACTAAAGTACATTCATTGTTGTTATGTGAGAGGATGCCTCCATTTATGTGTAGTAGTAGTACCGCAAAATGTTAAGTTGCGTCTCAAACCTAGAGTGGCCAGGCCTCATCACCCATTTCATATTCAGTTGCATCCATTCTTGTTGAAGGCTATCTATTCGGTTTCATTCACTTGTATGCATCCTTTTGAGTGTTCTTTTTCTAAACCGCTTGTCCGCGTTATTCGAATATCACACAATCGGGCAGGCGGGCATCACGTTTTCCCACGGCCCCCCGCCCCGAACCATCCCACCAAGAATGCGAGCCGCGACATTGAAATCCCAATTTTGTGGGAGATTCCAATTTTGTGCTGTACTTTCCACTTTCGCCCCAAATCCATCTCTCCCCCCACCCACCCAATCCGCACGCACCCACGTCCTTGCCTTCTGGTCTATGCTTTGACCACAACGTTCGGCACTGGGATTGCGCTGAACAGGAGTTTATGCTCGATCGAGAGAAACGCAGAAGCCGTTCAATCGCGTAAGTCTCCGCACGCCATTACTGTTGTGCTCCGCTCCGCACCCTTGAACCAAGCCGTGATTAGCTGAGGTGAACTTTCACTCGCGGTGTTGTAGAAACAAGGTGATCACTCGGTTTTCAGGAGCACCCTCACAGCTTCAGCATTTGCTTCAGTAGGACAGAGGTTTGAACGAAGACGAGTTAGCGAAACAAGGCGTGTTCCGTTCCTCCTGCGTGCGTCACGGCGCCACGGACCGGGGCTCAAACGCCAAATCGTTCGTTGTACTCGTTAAAGGAGGCCTCCGAGAAAAAGCTCTGCCCTTCTTCGCGCGGCTCCCCCTAGTCCGCCATGAAACAGCCGTCGGCTTCGAGACTTGCGATCCTGGTTCTCGCGTCGAGCCTGTTAATCGGCTATGCCGCGGCGCAATGCACGAGCGTGTGTATGGTTCCCGGCACGAGTCTAATGAACACCGACTGTGTTTCGCAATGCAATGTAAGAGCGACTCAGAGCAAGGTAAGAGTGGCTCGGTACAAGGTAAGAGTGGCTCGGTACAAGGTAAGAGTGGCTCGGTACAAGGTAAGAGTGGCTCGGTACAAGGTAAGAGTGGCTCGGTACAAGGTAAGAGCGACTCAGAGCAAGGTAAGAGTGGCTCAGTACAAGGTAAGCGAGAGGTGCATCGTAAGCGAGACGGTAACGCTGCATTATTGCAAGCCCCCCCGTCCTCAAGAGCACGAGCGCCCCGCGTCCTCAAGTGCACGAGCGCCCCGCGTCCTCAAGTGCACGAGCGCCCCGCGTCCTTAAGTGCACGAGCGCCCCGCGTCCTCAAGTGCACGAGCGCCCCGCGTCCTCAAGTGCACGAGCGCCCCCCGTCCTCAAGTGCACGAGCGCCCCCCGTCCTCAAGTGCACGAGCGCGTGTATGGTTCTGGGCACGAGTCTTATGAACACCGACTGTGACTCGGAACAAGGTAAGAGTGACTCAGTGCAATGTTAGCGAGAGGTGCAATGTTAGCGAGAGGTGCAATGTTAACGAGAGGTGCAATGTAAGAGTGCGACTCCAAGGAAAGAGTGACTCAGATCGGGGCTACTATCGCGCTGCATTGATCGCAAGCCTCCCTGACCTCAAATGCACGGTCGCGTGCATGGTTCCCGCCACGAGTATCGTGAAAACCGACTGCGCCTCGCGAGTCTAGTCAACCCCCCCCGGTACCATGTACACCCTCCAAGGTAAGAGTTGTTTACAAGCCCCCCTGACCTCAACTGCACGCCCGCGTGCACGGTTCTTGAGAATTCAAAAGAACTATCCTAGCCGTGCATGGTTCCCTACACGACTCAAAGGTTGACTACAACGAGTGTGACTGTGTCGCGCAATGCAACATAAGCGTCTAGTTTTGAGGCGACATAGTCACAGTCGGCTCAAAAATAGACTCTAAGCACGCGGTCCCGGCACGAGTCTTGTCTAAACCGACTTGTGTGGCTCGAGTTTCAACGCAGTACTGTTGGCGCGTGTGGCTCCCACTCACGGGGTCAGCGTTGCTTGGCAAACGAAAAACGGCTTCACGGCTTCACGTTGCTTCCCGTCAACACGGGCGTGCATGGTTCAAGGTGCACGAGTCTCGTCAACACTGCCGAAGGTGGTTTTTGGGTCGTGGTGAGTTTTGAGTCGACTCAAAAGTCACCTCGTTTTTGGGTCGACTCAATAATCACCTGCGGGCATGGTTCCACGCACGAGTAGCAATTTCACATAATCACCTGCGGGCATGGTTCCACGCACGAGTAGCAATTTCACATAATCACCTGCAGGCATGGTTCCACGCACGAGTCCCGTCACCACCGCCGACTGCATGACTCGCTGCAGTGTAAGAGCGCCAGTCAACACCTTGGGGACTTCCCCTCCACAGCCATCCCCTTTTCTTTACCTCACCCGCTGCAGAATAGCCATTGGACAACGCCGTACGGTTCCCCCTCTTCTCCTTCTCCCCCCCCCTTTCCCCTCCCTCCCTCCCCCCACTCTCTCCCTCAGCCAGTGCAGAATTTCCAGTGGACAACGCCTTAAGGTCCCCTCTCCCCCTTCCCTCCCTTCCCCCTCTACGTCCCTTCCCCCCTCTCTCCCTCCCCCGCTGCAGAACTGCCAGTGGACGACGCCTTACGGGTGTGCCACCTATTTCCAACCCGTTTGGAACGGCAACGGTGAGCATAGAGCGGGGATGGTATGGCGAGGGGCAGGTGATAATCGAGTGGGGGGAGCACACCGAGGTGTATTTTGTTAGAGCGAGATGACGGGGTGATTATCACGAGCTGAATCTGGTGGAGTGCGACGTTCAGCCATAGAGCTGGGTGAACTGCAGCAAAACTAAACTAAACTAAACTAAACTAAACTAAACTAAACTGTAACGAAACTAAACTAAACTAAACTAAACTGTAACGAAACTAAACTAAACTAAACTAAGCTAAACTGTAACGAAACTAAACTAAACTACTGTACCACGGATTATCACGAGCTGAATCTGGTGGAGTGCGACGAGGTAGAGGGTGCTGTAGAGTCACCTAAAATCTCAGACGCTATGTGACTGGCGGCTCTTTCTGAAATTGCTTAAAACCACGCATTCCCCATCTTATCTCCCCACTCCCCTCCCCACTCCCCTCCCCACTCCCCTCTCCCCACTCCCCTCTCCCCACTCCCCTCTACCCACTCCCCTCTACCCACTCCCCTCTACCCACTCCCCTCTCCCTACTCCCCACCCCCCGCTCCCCACTCAGCCTATGCATACGCCAACTCCTCTCTACTGCCCTCGCTTGGTGGTCCTGGCTGCTTCTTGCCACGTCACATATCATGTCACATTCCCCGTTTTCTCTCTCCCCTCCCCTCTCCCCCTCTTCCCCACTCTCCCCCTCCCACCCCTCTCACAGTGTGTGAACGCCATTGAGTCTACTCGTGCTCTACCGCCCTTGCCTGGTGGTCGTGGCTGCTCCTTGCCTACGTCACATGTCATGATGTCACATTTCCCTCTCATCTTCCCTTTCCTCCCCCCTCTTCCCTGCTCTCCCCTCTCCCCTTCCCGCCCTTCTCAGCCTATGTGCACGCCAGCTGCAGCCACTCGTGCTCTACCGCCCTCGTTTGGTGGTCGTGGCTCCTCCTTTCTACATCACATATCATCTCACATTCCCCATCACCTCTCCTCTTTCCCTCTTCCCTCTCCCCCTCCCACCACCCCTCTCAGCCTACTTGTCTGCCAGCTGCAGCTACTCGTGCTCCACCGCCCTCGCGTGGTGGTCGTGGCTGCTCATCAGCCTGGCCATCCTCTTCGTCTCCGTTGGCGTGGGCCTTGGAGTCTATTTCTGCCTGCGGGCTGCCCGCAGCTGATTGCACACACTAGGCACACACTCTCTAGCCTCACGTGGTCGTCGTGGCTGCTCATCAGCCTGGCCATTCTCGTGGTCTCTGTTGGTGTGGGCAATGGGGTCCATTTCTGCCCGCGAGCTGCCCGCAGTTTATGAGGACACCTGGACCCACATTCGTGGGAACCGACAAATCAACACGATGTTTCGATTCTCCACATTGTAATACCTCATCGTGTATCCATGTCACAATGTGTATAGAAATGTTACTATGACATGTGGCAATGTTTGCTACATAGAATCTATAACTTAAGGCAGTACGTTCACATCATCTACCACAAGTGGATCTCTCAATAACGGGACCTTGCTTTGTAAGCGTCTCAAACATCCACCCTCTCTTCCAGCGGAACGGAATAAGGCCTCCCATGCATACAGTCCCCTTGCGCCTTCCTCCCACTCCCACCCACCCCTCCCTCCCCCGATTCCACATCCCCACCACCACCGTTCACCAGCCCGCTCCCCTCTCCCCCCCCTCTCTCCTCCCCACATCCCCCATCTCTATCCCTTCCGCGCCCCTCCCCCTCTCCCTCCCCTCTCCGTCCCTTCTCCCATCCCCATCCTCCCAACCCTCCTCCTCCTCCTCATCGCTACTCCCAATGAAAGCAGTGGCTTCGGCCAGTTGTTCCTTTTCCAGTGCGGTGTGCTGCTGCCCCTTGGTGTGGTTGAAGGGCCAGATGCTGCGCTCTATGCAGCAGGAGAGGATGGCAGCTGCGCAGGTGATGGTGGCTGCTGCTGCGAGGAAGATGAGGAAAGGCAGCAGCGGGTAGAAGGAGTCGCCCTGTAGGAGAGCTGGGGAAGGGAAGGGGAAAAGCGAGGCAGGGGGGGGTGGGGGGAGGGGGGGGTGGGTATTAAGGGAAAGAGGATGATGCCAAAACAGATGATGGTGGCTGCTGCTGCGAGGAAGATGAGGAAGGAAAGCAGCGGGTAGAAGGAGTCGCCCTGTAGGAGAGATGGGGAAAGAAAGGGGAGAAGCGGAGAGGGGAGAGGGGAAGAGAGAGGGGGACAAGGGCGGGGGAGTGCGGAGCAGGCTGTATAGGTGAGAAGGGAGGCAGAGGGGCAGGCGCTGCTCCTTGGCGGTGTGGTTGAAAGGCCAGATGCATGGCTTTATGTATTGAGACGTCTCAAAACTAAACTTCTAACACACGCTCGGTGCCGCTGACTCGGTGGAAAAGATGCCAGCAGCACACCGAGTCAGCTCTTGAGTCGACCCGAAGGCACACCAAACTCCCCATGCACCCATGGGGTCACCCGCCCATAGGGAACACTGGCACCCCACCCCACCTTTCCCCCGCACATAGGGAGTGGCCGTGTCTATCGACGCACTCGCGGCACATCAACGCGACCTTGAACTCCCAATCCACCCACCGGCCCACCCGCCCCTCCCTGCTGCTCCTGAGTTAATTCCCACCGCCCACAGGGAGCACTGGCACCCCACCCTTACCTTCCACAGAAGCGTGGTCGTGTCTACCCAGGCAGTCTCGCGGCACATCAGTTTTGAGACATCTCAGAAGTGAACTACTTATCGAGGCACTCGCGGCACAACAACGCGACCTTGAACGCCCCATCCACTCTCCAGGTCACCCGCTCTTCCCCGCCGTGGCGTGTGAGAGGCGTAAACCAGTGATCAAGTCTTAACCTTCCACGGGCGTGTGGTCGTGTCGGTCGAGGCACTCCGGGCACACGAGCGCCACTTTGAACTCCCCAGCCGCCCATCGAGCCACCCGCCCCTCCTTGTTGCCTTGGAAGGCACGTACATTCCTCCCATATCCAAGGCAAACACCCAATGCGTACCTTCGACAGGCGTGTGGTCATGTCTCTCCAGGCACTCCGGGCACACGAGCGTCACCCACAGGCTCACCCGCCCCTCCTTGTTGCTCCTGAAGTCATCCCCACCTGCTGAAACAGAGGTGAATAACCCCCTACGCACCTTCTACTGGCGTGTGGTCGTGTCTGTCGAGGCACTCCGGGCACAAGAGCGCCACCTTGAACTCTCCAGCCACCCATCGAGCCACCCGCCCCTCCTTGCCACTCCTGAAGTCATCGGCGCACAGCTGGAACTTGTCAAACGTGTCGTCTGCCTTCCACGTGTCCGCCTCGTATAGGCCACATGTCTTGCACTGTGACGAGGCGAGCTCCACCAGGGGCTGTGTTGGGAATGAGCAAGGGGGGAGAAGGAGGGAGGGAGAGGGAGAGAGCTGAAGTCATCCGCGCAAGGGACTGTGTGGGAAGTTAGGGGTGAGGCGAGGTCGACCAGCGGTGGGGCGAGCCAGCGGCCAGCGGCTGTGTGCATGAGTGAGGTGCATGAGTTAGGGGTGGGGGGGGGGGGGAAGAGGCAATGTTAGGTCATCCGCACATAGCCGGAAGTCACCTGAAAGGACACCTGACCTGAGGCGTTGTCTACTCCACAGTAATCACTACTCACCTGGCAAAACTCCTGCACTGAAGCTGTAGACACTGGCCAGGATTGCAACAAACCTGGAAGGCTGATTGCACCTTCGAGCGGGTCCCAGGTCGGTTGCACCAGACAATTTTTGAGGCGCCTCAGGAAAAAAGAAAAAAAAGGAAAAAAAAGAGCCGCCTCAAAAAGGCAGGCTGATTGCACCTTCGAGCGGGTCCAAGGTGGATTGCACCAGCACGGACCAGCAACGCCCAGGAAAGTGATTTGCCTCTTGGCCAGAGTTGTAGGTGACTTAGCCCAGGATTACACCCCACCTGAAACCCACCTGATACCCACCTGATACCCACCTGAAAAGTCTCCTGGCCGGTGAATTTGTAGGTGACATTGGCCTGAACCACCCCCTGCAGGACGTGCTTCATCTCGCCCTCGCACCGGAAGCACAGGGAGGGGAGGGGTAGTGATAGTCTGCACTATAACCCACCTGAAACGCCTCCTGGCTGGTGAAGCTGTGGGTGACATTGGCTTGCACCACACCCCACCTGAAACCGACTTGAAACCCAGTTGAAACCCATCAGAGACCCACCTGAAACGCCTCCTGGCCGGTGAAGTTGTAGGTGACATTGGCCTGCACCACCCCCTGCAGGAAGTGTTTCATCTCGCCCTCGCACTGGAAATACACCGACGGCTCCCACGGCGAGTAGGGCGAATCGTGAGTCGTGTCCAAACGGAGATGCGTGATGGTCACGTTGGCAGCTGGATGGAGGGGGGTCCGGTGGGGCGGGGGTGGGGGTGGGGGTGGGGGTGGGGGTGGGGTGGGGGTGGGGGTGGGGGTGGGGTGGGGGGGGGAGGGGGGAGAAGGGGGAGGGGAGGTGAGGGGGCGGTAGATAGAGCGGCGAAACAGGATGAGGGAGGTGTCGCTGGAAGTACCCAGGGCCCCAGGGCCCAGGGCGAGTAGGGCGAGTACACCGCGCGGCCCCAGGGCGAGTAGGGCGAGTAGGGCGAGTAGGGCGAGTAGGAAAGTAGGACGAGTAGGGCGAGTATGGCGAGTCGAAAGCCGTTTGAAGAGCTCTCACAAGATGATCGCGAGCGAAAGCAACCGAAGCATTGCGAATGGGACCGCATCTGGTAACCACACCCGAGCGAGAAAACGGGGTCGCTTGACGGAGCGACGCACCTCTCGCGACAGTTGCGAGGAGTGCAAGCAGCGTTGACGAGATCGCAAGGCGCCAGAGCGACGACTCTCGGCATTGTGGCCCCTCCATTACCAAGGACTGTCGGCAGCAGCACAAATAAGGAGATCGAAATAAGAATATAGATACCAACGCTCTCCTATCCCCCCCTTCCCATTCGGGAATGGAGGCTAGTCGTAGTTGGGTTCAGAACCAATGGCGGAATTACTATGACAGTACCTCCCTCCGGAATTACTGGAGCAGATCCTAGGTTCTTGCAAGATGGTTGCATGTGTTCAAGTTAGGGGGAATTCAAGCTTCACGTTCCATGTGGTTACCCTGCGTAACAAGGCAGATTCTTGAGCCGCATTTCTTGGTGCTTCGAGCTCAAAATGGACCGCACGGAACACTAAAAGTTCGGCTTGAGTAGCATTATTCTGCGCCAATATGCAGTGGTGTGCTAAACGCAGAACCCGAGGAGCTATTTCTGTGTTCCTGCGTTTCTCTTATGAAGTCAGGAATCTTCAGAATTTGTCAGAAATGTGACAGATATCGAAATGACGTCCAATATCTGTAACACACTTGCGCGAGTGGTAACCACCTCGTCGAGCCTCTGTGAATGGGTCTTAGGAAGTGTTCAGACATGGTTCAGGTCGCACTTGGCACATATCTCCGTCATCAGGCCTTCGACCAATCAGGCCCTACAAGCCCACAGAAGTGACTCAAACGACGCCATGCCATGCCATGCCATGCCATGAGGTGATGACTGACCAAACACGTTCAGCTTTCCGCCTGGCCCGGATATTGGCACATGCACCGCTGCCACCAACCTCGACAGTTCCGTCGTTACACATTTTAGCGAAAATAAGGCGAAGGGTAATCTCGCCTCTGTTGTGCGACAACGACTTTAGCGAAAACCTCTGACCTGGGCTGGGTCCCCAATAATGACACGAGTCTTCAACATTGATCTTGTTAGCTGTTTGTTGCGTGTGAGGCAGGCTCTAGCGTCTCCTCGATTCTTGATTCTTCCCACAGAAAGCAAGCACAGCGCCAGGTAAGTAGAGCATATTCCTTCGTATGGCATCTCGCTGTGCCCAGTTGGCTCACAGCTTCTCCGCATACCCCGCTCATTTAGGATCGTTCCGACTCCATAAATGATGTTTCCAGAACTAGTGCTTGTAACTCTCGCGAGGTATCACTTTAGCTCTCTATTCTTCACGCAACGAATGAAATCGGTAGCATAGCTTCCGGGTAGTTGAGGCTGCTATCGTCTGCGAAACATGACGAATTCTTTTCATCTTGAACTCCCATGGACGCCATAGCCTCTCAGCAGCTTTTGACTCGACTCAAAAGTCGCCTGTGAAACATGAGCTGAGTTCTTATCATCTTGAACTCCCATGGACGCCATAGCCTTCCAGAGCGGCTCGTCCGCTCGCTTGGAGAAACTGACCAGTCCGCGTGACCCTCGCTCTCCATCTGGCAAGTCGATCTGGCGAGGGGAGCAGCAGCAGCAGCACTATAACCGATACCAGCAGCAACTGGAAGAGCAGCAGCAGCAGCAGCAGCAGCAGCAGCAGCAGCTGCTGCGCCAGCAGCTTCAACAGTTGCAGCGGGATCGTCATCAGCAGCTTCTGGAATCGAGAGCCGAGAGACTGCAGAGGGAGCTGCAGGCAGTATTGGTCGCAGATGTAGACAGAGACTGCACGTTCCAGGTCAGATGGAAGGGAAAAAGGATGGATCTGCGAGAAGAGAACGCTGAAATAACATCCTCGTGCTGATGGTTGACAGCAAAAAGCGCTGAGAAAGGTTTTCGCCTCTCCAAGAATGGAAAGAAAGAAGAAGAGAAAATGCAACCAACCTTTTTCTGCGGTCGCTTTTAGGCTTGAGCTTGCTGCTGCCCTGTTCTTTGTCATCCTGCTCTGCTTTGAGGCGCCTCAAAACTATAATCTTTGTCATCCTGCTCTGTTACACTCGAGCATTCCCTCCCCCAACATCTTAATCTGTCTCCGGCAACATCTCAACTCATCTCATCATCTTATCCGCCTCTGTCCTCTCTATCCCGTCCCGACAATTACCTATGCCACGTCAGCTGGAGCTCATGAGCCAGCTGGACCAATGGCATGCCCTTCATGAGAAAGCTCAAACGACGTCCCCAAGATCCGTGGAGGGGACTGGAGCCTCAAGCGCCCAACCTTCCAACGTCCACCTGCTGGAGCTTGACCAGTCTCCTGAGGCCACGTGTCCACCTGAGGGGGCAGCGTCTGCCCGAGCTGAGGTCGAAGATAGGGCAGCAGGGGGTGAAACGCGGGTAGCAGAGGTTGATACGCGGGCAGCAGAGGGTGATACGCGGGCAGCAGAAGGTGATACGCGGGCAGCAGAAGGTGATACGCGGGCAGCAGAAGGTGATACGCGGGCAGCAGAAGGTGATACGCGGGCAGCAGAAGGTAATACGCGGGCAGCAGAGGGTGAAGAGCGGGCAGCAGCATCTGAAACACGAGCAGCTAAAGCAGCGGAAGTAGAGCAACAGCTAGAAGCGGCAGTCCCTGGAGAGGCGGCTTTAAAACCGCTCCTGCAGCTGCTGCAACGGCACGAGCTGGAGGCGACGGCAGCAGAGCTGCAGGAGAAATTAAACGTAGGAGCGTCCAGGGACGCTGCTTTCGAAGCGTTCCTGCAGCTGCAACGGCAAGAGCTGGCGGCGAAGGCAGCAGATCTACAGGCGAAGTTAAACGCAGCAGCTACCAGAGAGGCGGCTTTCGAAGCGTCCCTGATGCTGCAGCGAGAAGAGTCAGCGGGGAAGGCCACAGAGCTGCAGGAGCAATTAAACGCTGCAGCTGTGAGAGAAGCCTCTTTTGAAGCGTCCCTGCAGTTGCAACGGGAAGAACTAGAGGCGAAGGCAGCAGAGGCCCTGGCGGCGCAGGCGGGAATGGCGGAGAGGAGGAGGGTGCGCGCTGCTGAGATGGCTGCTGGGCGATTGGCGGAGGTGGAGGGACGGCTGGGGGAGGTGGAGAAGGAGAAGGAGCGGGTGGGGAGGAATTTGGCTCGGTTGCAGCAACACCTGCTGGATAGGGTGAGTGGGTGTGTGTGTGGTAGGAGAGGGTGAGGAGGGGGGTGAGTGGGTGGGTGTGTGGTAGGAGAGGGTGAGGAGGGGGGTGAGTGGGTGGGTGTGTGGTAGGAGAGGGTGAGGAGGGGGGTGAGTGGGTGGGTGTGTGGTAGGAGAGGATGAGGAGGGGGGTGAGTGGGTGGGTGTGTGGTAGGAGAGGATGAGGAGGGGGGTGAGTGGGTGGGTGTGTGGTAGGAGAGGATGAGGAGGGGGGTGAGTGGGTGGGTGTGTGGTAGGAGAGGATGAGGAGGGGGGTGAGTGGGTGGGTGTGTGGTAGGAGAGGATGAGGAGGGGGGTGAGTGGGTGGGTGTGTGGTAGGAGAGGATGAGGAGGGGGGTGAGTGGGTGGGTGTGTGGTAGGAGAGGATGAGGAGGGGGGTGAGTGGGTGGGTGTGTGGTAGGAGAGGATGAGGAGGGGGGTGAGTGGGTGGGTGTGTGGTAGGAGAGGATGAGGAGGGGGGTGAGTGGGTGGGTGTGTGGTAGGAGAGGATGAGGAGGGGGGTGAGTGGGTGGGTGTGTGGTAGGAGAGGATGAGGAGGGGGGTGAGTGGGGGTATTGGGAAGGGGGAATGGTTGAGAGGGGGGGGGTGCGCGCTGCTGAGGTGGCTGCTGGTGGGATTGCAGAGGTGGAGGGGCGGCTGGGGGAGGTGGAGAGGGAGAGAGAGCTGTTGGCAAGGAATTTGGGTCGGCTGCAGCAGCACCTGCTGGATAGGGTGAGGGAGGTGGGAGGGACTATTTTTGAGGCGCCTCAGAAATATGCACGTACTGGAGGGGGTGAGAGAGGTGGGCATTGTCACTTGTTCACTGCTTAGCATCGCATCCCACCTCTCTCCACCTCTCTCCCCTGCCGCCCTCCTTCAGGATGCTGACGAGACCCTGCGCCTGGAGCGAGAGGCGGAGCGGATCTGCCAGCTGGAGTGCCAGCTGGCGGATAAGGCGAGGGCGCTCGGCCAATCAGAGTGCGAGAGGGTCGTTCTGGAGCGACAGCTGGCGGATAAGGCGAGTCAGCTCGGCCAATCGGAGCGGGTGAGAGCCCAGCTGGAGCAGCAGCTGAGGGAAAGGAGCAGGGAGGTCTGGGAGGCTCGGATGCAGCTGGTTCGGCTGCAGGCTCGAGCCGAGCCTTCAGGGCACGCTGGGGAGTTGGATTTGCAGGAGGGAGACTTATTAGAGGGAGGAGACATTGGTGGAGAGTTAAGGAGAGTGGGAGAGGAAGAGGAAGAGGAGAGTGGGAACAAGGAGAAGCAGATTGGAATTCAAGGCATGAGAAGAAATGGAGGAGAGGGTGGTGATGGTGTTAGTAGGACTGCTGGGGATGGGCCACGTATTGTGTTACCAGATGCGTCACCAAGCGGGTTACGAGAGACGTTACCAGGCGGGGCGCCCGGCGTGGCACCAGGCCTGTTACCAGATGTGTTACAGCAGGTGATGGAGGCGGCTCATCGGCCCATAGTAATGGGCCACCGCATGTGCGTGCATGCTGAGGTGCTGGTGAGGGATCCACCTATGCACGATGGAGACGCCTCATCGCGTGCTGATGTGGCATGCCATCATGGATCACATGCTGATGTGGCATTTTATGATGCGTCCCATGCTGAAATGGCATGCTCTTCCGTGGCCCAGCCTATTGGTCCATGCGGATGCGCGTCAGGAGCAGCAGGAGCAGGAGCAGCAGGAGCCATAGGCGAAGCAGGTGCAGCAGCTTTAGTTACTGCAGCAGCGCCAGTTACTGATGCACGTGCTGCAGACGCTCCCAGTGCTGCAACGTCAGCTTTTTCCAAGACAACTCAAGAGTTTGCTCCAGCGGCGGAGTGCTCATTGGCACAGACATCACTGAAAGCAGCGGCTGCTGCAGCAAGAGAAATCGCGGCAGCGAGAGAAATTGCGGCAGCATCAGCGTTCCAACAACCATCACCACCATCACCACCATCACCACCATCACCATCCCCGCCCCCATCCCCATCCCCATCCCCAACCCCATCCCAATCCCCATCCCCAGCAGCAGCAGCGGCAGCAGTAGCAGCAGTGAGCTTGCGCCACGGGCTGCCCTTTCAAGCCCTACTGGCCACACAAGACGAGACAGCTCCAACGGTAAAAGGGGTAGAGACGTTAGGAGAGAGTGGTGGAGCGCACGAAAGCCGGCACTCGTCCTCCCCGTCGCTCGGTTCTCAGGCGGCCCATGAGGCCCGAAGCTTCGAGGCGCCGCGATCCGGCGCAGAAGAGCAGCGCTCGGACTGCTCTCTGGATTGCGGCGAGGAGAAGGAGAGGCTGGCGGTGGAAAAGGCTTGGATGGTGGAGGAGAGGGTGACAGCAGAGGAGAGGAGCGCGAGGGCGGCTGAAGAGATCCGAGTGTTGCAGGACAACCTGCAGGTATGCTGCTCCGAGCCTATCCAGTAGCATTTGAGTCGACTCAAAAGTCAGCTTGCAGGACAACCTGCAAGTATGCTGCTCCGAGCCTATCCAGTAGCATTTGAGTCGACTCAAAAGTCACCTTGCAGGACAACCTGCAGGTATGTTCCTCCAAGCCCATCCAGTGGCAGTGGCAGGCTGGCTGGTTTGCTGGCTGGGTGAAATGATCCGTCTATTGCAAGAGAATCTTCAGGTACTGTTATCTTGGGTGGCAGAGAGCAGGTGTTATCTCAGGTGGCAGCAGCAGGATCAGCTGGAGCAGGCGTTATCTGAGGTGGCAGAGACCATGCATTGTGTTTTTCTCCCCTTCTTTTGAACCCCTCTGCTTCCCTCCTCTCCTGTTTCCCGTTCCCCCCCATCCGCCAGGAAACAGAGTCCGTATGCTGGCAGCGACAGGCTCAGCTAGAGCAGGCGTTATCTGAGGTGGCAGAGGGCAGGCGGGAGAGGGGGGTTCTAGAGGAGGAGCTGCTTCGGCTGCAGTGCGCTTTGGATCAGTGTATGCTGCGACTCAATAGCGATTCTGCTTATATGGTGGACAGGTGAGCTATGCTCATTGTACATCCATTATGTCCCCTTACACAACTGAGCTGGAAATCTCGTTTTATGGCGCCTCAAAACTATTTTCGTAATCAAGGACTTATGTGGTGTTGCTGCTACTGCCGTGGTGGACGTTGCTGTTGCTGGTGTTGTTGATGCTGCTGCTGTTTCAAGAGACACGCGGATTTGATGCTGCTCCTGTGTTGAGTCAAACTCACATCTTTCTGTCACTTGGCCTAAACAGTCACATGCATGAACAGTCACATGCAGAGACACTCGGATTCTGTTGCCGCATGTGTTGCCGTTGCTATCGCCATGGGGACATCTTTTGTTGCAACTCAACTTCCGGTTATTGGTGCGTGCGTGCGTTGCTGCATTTGCTGGTGCGTGCTGCATGTGTCTGCCATTGCTACTGGCACGGAGTAGGAGAATCGTGGTCAAGCTGCTGGTGGCTTACTTTCAGCGCAACCACAGCAGAGAGGTGAGCTAGTGCTGACTTTTGAGTTGAACTCAAACTTTTGAGTACAGGTATTAAGTATGGGCATGATTGGTCCTTTAAGAATTCTCAAAAATCACTTTCAACGGAACCACAACAGATAGGTGAGCACGTGCTCATGAGTGTGGGTATAAGTATGGGCATGATCGGTATGGTATGGGAATGGTTGTGGACATGGACATGGTGCGTGTAAGCACCCCATGCATATTCCCAATGCCGTCGGAATCGGTATGGGCTTCTTTGTCATCATGTTGCAACTGTTTGGGCCATGTCGTGTGGCGCATCGTTCAGTGCTTAAATTGAGTTTCCAGATCACTCCGAGGTCTCACCTCATTTGTGTGTTGTGTGTCGCACCACATGTCATCCTTTTAGTCGTGTCAGTGTCCGTGTCCGTGAGTGCTTAAAGTTTGTTTGCAGTCAACTCCGACGTTGTATATCACTCGTATTCCCCGTCGTCTGCTTTTGAGTCGACTCAAAAGTTTGTTTGCAGTCAACTCCGACGTCGTATGTCACTCGTGTTCCCCGTCGTCTGTGACTCGCACCAGGCGCTTGACATCATGTGTCGGAAGGACGAGGCAGCAGCTAGGGTTAGCAGCCTTTTGAGTCAACTTAAAGGGCACCCCATTTTCGTCCCATGTGCCCCGCAACAGGTGATTGACATTGTGTGTCGGATGCTCGAGTGCTCCAAGGTCGAGAGGCATCAGCTAGAGTCAGCTGACAGCAGCCTCCCGCCCCACCCTCACCAGAAGCACCAGTTTCAAACCCAACGTCTCATGTGTTTTCCATGTGCGTCGCACCAGGTGCTTGGCATCGTGTGTCGGATACTTGAATGCTCCCAAGGAGGAACGGCAGCAGCTGGAGTCAGAAGCCTTGCAGTTTTTTTAGATTTCAAAACCCATTCGTAGTCCCCGTCCGTCTGTCTCTCTCTCACCAGGTGCTTGACATCATGTGTCGGATACTCGAGTGCTCCAAGGACGAACGGCAGCAGCTAGAGTCAGCAGCCTTCCGCCCCACCCTCACCAGAAGCACCAGTTTCAAACCCAAAGGGCCTGCCCGGCAGCAGGGAAGCAGCAAGGGCAGCAGCAGGGGAGGAGTTTTCGGGCTGCCCGGCCGGATTGCGGGCGGGCTGTTGGGGGGGAATAGGAGAGGAGTGGAGAACGTGGGAAGGGCCGGGAAGGAACTTGAGGGGCAGCAAGAGGCAGGGAAAAAGTCAGGGACAAAAAGCCCCGGGGTAAGACGGACGGATTTTGAGTCGACTCAAAGCCCGGGGGTACGACGGACGGCATAACCATGTCCTTCACGTGTCCTACTTAAAGCTTTCCTTTCAGAATTCGAGTGCAAGGAGAGTGATAGTGAGAGAGAATCTCAAGGAGATCGAGAGTGAGAGAGGGGACCGAGGAGATGGAGAGCGTGAGAGAGGAGAGGAGAGAGAGAGAGAGGGGACCGAGGAGAGGAGAGAGTGAGTGTCGATGGACATCAGCACCGCATTTGGATATGAGCTAATGTCAAGAAGCGAAGTAGCGTTTGGCTTGCTCTCGAGGCTGTCAGGAGGAGTGACTTGATCATCTTTCTTCTTGCGCCTCCGCATCTTTGCTGCTGCCCAGTCATAACATGTCTAGCTCCTTGCCCTCCCATCTGCTCCAGTCCAGTTCAGGCATTCAAGGAAGGACTTCTGGGTATACTTTCTCGTGAGGGGGACAGAGGAGCAGAGAGCATGGAGGGTGTGTGTGCAAGTCAGCACGACTTAAAGCACTTCATTTCCTTCGGTTGTGCCTCGTGTCTCCCTCCCTGCAGTCCTTCACTGACCTCTGGGTAGATTACCTGGTGAAGGAGCCCGAGGAGCAGAGGGAGCAGAGGGAGCAGAGGCAGGGACAGCAGACTAGCCATAGTGCTCATGCCAGCAGCAGGAGCTCTCTCTCTCAAGCGAGCAGTAGTCCCGAGAGCGACTCCCACACTCACTCGTTCAGCGAACAGCTTCTATCCCCGCCAAACGCAGCCTACACTACCAGACAGAGTTTGCCGCCCAGATCCCCATCCAACTGGCATCAGCAGCAGCAGCAGCAGCAGCAGCACCAGCAGCACCAGCAGCACCAGCAGCACAGGCATCATCAGCACCAGCAGCAGAAGCACACCCGATCGCCCTCTTATCCCTCAAGATCCCCCTCGTTCCCGCCCAGGTCCCCCTCCTATGATCCTAGGTCCCCTAGTTGCCCATCTCCTGGATTCTCTCCTCGCTCGCCGGGCAGCCCGTCAAAAGTTCCTGGGCATGCAGCACTGCTTTTCTCTCGAGGCAGCCCACCCCTCCGATTTTCAAGCTTGTCTCCACGCTCTCCTTATGCTGCACATTCTTCTCTGGGCAGTCCGGCTTTGTAGGCTCTCTTGACATGTTTGTGGAAAATATATCAGAACTGCTACACCTGGAATTTCGACTTTCTGGGTTTGTCCTGAATGTGATGGATGATGGGTTCCACTTCTCTTGTTGTCGCTTCCCTTGCCATATTGGATGTATGATACATTGGAGTTCCATTTCTAGAGTGGAAAACTTAAAAATAAATTGTGATAAATAGGCTAATTTGACTAATGATTTACAGTGTCTGTGTACTAGCCATCAATGTAAGTGAACCAATGCTGGTATACGATGATATGGTGACGTGTCCTGGTCGTGCTGCCTTGCATTTGTTGGAGGAGTCACTGTTTCGTGGAAGTGGCAGTCGGTTTGGCGGCTTCCACGAACAAGTTGCATCTACACCTGACGTCCATTAAATCGTTCATTCATTAGATGCCAAGGTCTTATTTACCGGCTCATTGATTCGAACGCACGGGAAACGGCCCAATTGACACAGGCCCAAAAAATTCGCATCTTTACCGCATCTGATGCGGAGGCCTCCAAACGTGCAGACGGGACGTTCTCAAACCTTACACTGTTGCCCGAGAAACGCAAAACAAACAACAATGGTCACCCGCTTTAGACGGGAAAATGCCAACGAGGTAACCAGACTACCCTATATTGGCCCAATTCGCCGTGAAAGTTTTGTGCTCCTCTGAAGCACCCGCCCGAAAACAACGTGGGCCAGAAAAGGACTTCATGTGTATCACTCCCACAGGCAGCAGTTTCACTACGTACGTCGTTACATTGCGGACCGTACGAGCTGGGTACGCCTGTTGTACGGTGCCGATTTAGCCCAGTTGGAGAGAGATGCCATCTGGTCGTTTCAGTTGCCAGGCTCTGCCACACTGCCACACTTTGCGGCTGTGCTGTGCGTTCATCTCCCTCTGGGACTGTCACTTCAAATCTTCGTACCCAATCAAAGATCTCGAATATGGGATGCACTTCGCCCGTTTTCTGACATGCCACTGGTGCCGTTTCTTTGCCGTGTGGAGTTCATCTGGTTCGTTCGTACGTTCTTTCTTTGCCCGATGTTGGGGCAGGAATGTTTTGCCTAGCCAACCCATGAGTAGAATTTGCTATGAAGGAATTTCCGTCGTCCCAGATGTGCGGCTGTGGGAGGTACACGACCAAACCGAAACATACCGAAGTGTCACCACACCACCAACAAAACTAAAGATTTATCGAGCTGTTTCGGTTATTGGAATTTGCCATTGGAAACTAGTTGTGCGAACCAGGGCTTATGTTAGGTTTTTAAACAGCTTTGGCGCTCAGGACTCCCATCAAATTTCACCCTCAAAACCCAGGGCCAGCTGAAGAAATGCTCGGAGGGTGCACATTTCCACGGATTCTTTTTAAGGTTGTTCCCCGCTCCGCGGCTCATCGGAGTCACATCTGTTCTAGGGGTGTGTGGGAAGTACTCGTTCCCTACTTGTAGCCTGGTAGCCGGGTCCTAGGAAGAGTGACGGGTATTAGGAGAGTGGGAGACTCTTGTACTCTAGGGGGGGGGCACCGGGAAGGGGGGGGTGTGGGTAGTGGGAAAATCAGGGTCACCAAAAAATCTCATCGGAGTTCCCAGGGTCGCCTTGAGATCCTTCCGGATTCTGTCAGGGCCTGATGGAAAAGAACACAAAGAAAACCAGGAATTTTCTGGAAAATACGTTTGAAGTTCAGTAAAGTCAGGAAAAATGCCCTGATAACAAATGCCCTGGTGCGAACCCCATGGCCCCCTTGAATCGAATCTTTGGGGAAGAAGTTTTGGGGGCGATTTTGAATCGAAACCCCACACTTACAATGTGCCGACCACACCCGTCAGCTGAACACCGTTTCGATTTCCCTTACAGCGCACAATTTTCAACCAAAAAAAGTTGATGGGATCATCTCCCCTGTTGTTTTCGGGTGAAAAGCAATCAAGAAAAGATTGCTCCACAAGTGCGGTATGTGAGCGAAGAGCAGAACAATCGGTGAAACGCGGTGCGAGTTTTGATAAAAGCGGTTCATAGCAAAGTAGCCTCGGTGACGGAGGCAGACTAGCTAAAGGAAGTGAGAGACTAGTCGTTAGCAGCAGCAATGCGGGTGGGGGGGAAAGTGCATGTGACCAGGCAGGAGGAATGGACAGCATAGCATGGCGGGCGGAGCATAGCACAGCGTTCTTGGCACCGGAACCCTCGTGCAACTTCGGCGCGGCTGTAGATAAACACGAGCGCCCACCTCACATTCTTCCGTCTCTCGTTCTTCCGTCGTTCCTTAGGCGCTCACCCCAGCATTTTTTCTTGGCATATATCGATTGTGCGCTTTTCGAGGGTTTGGTCCATGGTTATTTACAAAGCCACTTATTGGAACCAGAAACGTTAACCCTTAGTAGTAGTACCCCTCACCACACGTCACCGCACCGCACGGCAGCGAACCGCAGGTCAGCCCGCTACGCGTCCCGGCAATGTCGCCTCGTAACCCCTCGCATAACCGCGTCCCACCGTGCAATAGCGTCCCAACGTCAACGTCGTCGTCCAGTCAGCGCCACATCGACGACATTCTCTCCCTCTTCGCGCGGTCCGTATCCGTCGATGGCGGCAACTCGTGCTACGCCGCAGGAGCCGCAGGATCCGTCGTCGCGTCCGAGTCGCCACGACGGTCACCCGCTGGTCAGTTCGCCTCACCCACCTCGTCGCGCCGCCTCGCGGTTCGGCTGCTCGTCGGCGGCGTCGACTCACCGCAAGTACCTTCGCCGCGACTCCCGTCGCCGTTACCGCGCGGTAGTACCGGCGCTACCGGGGGGGTCGAGTCTATCCCGTCGCCGTCGCCGCGACTGCCGCAGCGAAGGACGCCGCAACGCGCGGAGCACGTTGACGAGCCAGCGGCAGGCATTCAGGCAGCTGGACGGCAGCCGCCGCGGAATCCGGGCCACATCTCTCCCTCCTCGCCTTCGTCGCCCAATCCGCGGCTTTCCCGCGATGAACGGCGCGATGAACGGCGGCGCTTGCGGAAGGTTTCGCAGTCGGAGCGTCCCGAGAGGCCGAGCCGCTACCATTCCTCCTCATCCCCGCTCGAGCCGCAACAGGCGCAGCAGCAGCAGAAAACGAAGCAGCAGCAGAGGGGGATATTAAAGACGTCGCCGCCGCGCGAGGACACATGGGAGGTATGCGACGAGCTGAGTCGCATGAGCGCCGCTGCGATGGCTGCGTCGCCGTCATCCCCGTTAACAGCAACCTCGCGATTCCGTAAAAGCAAGCACAGTACTGGCAGCACCAACACTACTGCTGTGGAAGCGGTAACAGCGGGGCTTGAGGTGACCGCAGCAGCTGCAGCAGCGGCAAACGCGGCGAGGGACGGGCAATGGCTGGCGAGCGGATTTGAGGAGCTTCAGAGTAAGCTCGAGTCGTTTTCGCGCACCACGCAGCAACTCGCGGTGTCGCTGGAAGAGGCTCGGAAGGACGCCCGCGAATCGCGGGCAGCCATGGATGCGGCGCAGGCGGAGCGCGATTTGCTGGTGGTTGAAATGGAGGCCACGCTGGCAGCGTGGTCCACGTCAGACGCGGAAAAGGCGGAGGAGATGGGACGGATGGAGGAAGAGAAAGCAAGAGTGGAGAGGGAGAATGGGGAGTTAAGGCGCGAGTTAGTGGAGTTTAAGAGACAGAGCGGGGAGATTAAGAGGCAGCTGGAGGTGATGCGAGCAGAGAGGGATGCGGCTGTGACCCATGCTAGGGTTGCTGTGGCCAGAGCGGCTGCTGCTGCTGCTGCTGCTGCTGCTGCTTCTGGTGCTAACGGTGCTAACGGCTCAAGTGATTCTTTGTCTCCTGATGGCTCTCGCCTTCCCCCTCGTCACCGGTGCTTCATGCCCCTTCTGGTGGATCAAGCTGAGGATGACAGCAATAGCAGCAGCAGCAGCACTGGCACCACCGCCAGTAGCGGCAGCACTGGCAGCAGCAGCAGCGGCGGCGGTGGTAGCACTGGCAGTAGCACCAGTGGCAGCAGCAGCAGCAGCAGCAGCAGCAGCACTGGCAGCACTGGCAACAGCACCGGCAGCTCTGGTAGGTTGAGGAAGGGTCATCGGTCGCACGACGCTCTGCTGGCTTATGCAAGTGGGGTGGGGAGTGTGGTGGGGAGGGGGGGCCAGCAGGGGGAGAACGTGGAAGGGAGGATGGTAGGTGTCAGTCAGAAGCATGTTCAGTGGTCGGAGCAGTGCTGCTGATTGGTTGCACTTGACACTGAGTGATAGTGGTACTTGTGATATGCGTAATGGAGGAGTGGACTTGTGCTGCAGAGCTGGTATGGTACTTGTGAGCTTCTATGATTTCCACGGGCTACTCATGACCATCTGACCTGATATGGCCCAGCTAGTACCTAGGTGTGTGGGGGACTGCAGCTGTTGCAGTCATACCAAATTCTACCTGTTGTTTTGTGAAGCCTTGGTAGGTCGAGAACTGGCTTTTCTGACCTGTACCGCATTGTTGCTAAGGGGGTGTATCAAGTAGCTGAACTGAATAGCATGACGTCAAGTAACCGGCTCCGGAACCGTACTGTACCGCGTTGCGACATCAGGTCAGCTGCCGCTGTTTTCCTTACACTTGATACACGCCCTTTCATCTGATTGATGCATTGACACCTGGTGTCAGCCTGACCGGGGCATTTGCAACTGGTGTGAGGTAGTAGATCACTGTTAAAATTATATAAGTCATAATTTTATATAGGCTTGGTAGGTTGCTACTGAACCTTTCTGTAGGGGGTACAAACCCCTCCTTGTACTCCCTTCTCTTCCTAATCCAACCCTCTTTCTTCTCGACTTTCCTCCTACTCCTAGATCCGTTTTTCCTAGCGCCGTTCCATGGCGGCCTTGCTCCTATCCTAGCTAAGCTAGTGTCCTAACTTTAGGGACCTAGCATCCTAAGTTCTTAACATGGTATCAGAGCAGGAGATCCTTCCTGCTGGACTGCCTCCTCTCGCTTCCGCCATTTACTCCTCACCCTCATTCACTCCAGCGGCCATGGCGGCCGCGTTTTGCTGCAGTGGCGACGTCGCGCTGCCACTGGGCGCGTCGTGCCGCGACCGGCCCGACGCGCTGCCGCGGAGTCGGCCGTCGTTCTGCAGTCGCAGCGTCGACGCCCCGCTGCGGCATCGACGCTGCCATGGCGGCCGCGGCGGCGTCACGCTGTGGCGTCGTCGTCTGTTCGCCGGCTGCGCCGTCCTGCCGCGGCCGTCTCGACACGCGACCGGGACGACGTCAGCGCGACGCCGCGGCTGCGCCCCTCCTGGGCCTCGTCGCGCCCTGCCTGGCCTCATCGCACCCGCTCGGCCCCGTCGCGCCCTGCCTGGCCCCGTCGCCCTCTGCCCGGCCCCGTCGCCCCCTGCCAGGACGCCGTCGTCCCGCCTGTAAGCGCCGCGCCATTTATGGCGCGACGCTGAAGACTCGCCCCGCCCCCCCCCCCCCCCCCATTCCCCCTTCCCCCTGCGTCTTCCCTTCCTCCTGTCGCAGCTGCTGTCTTCTGCCCGGACGTTGCCACATCGCCGAGAGCCCTCAGCCGCGGCAGTCGCCGCCTGTCGTCGGCGACCCAGCCGCCTTGAGCCAGAGCTCCGCGGCTGCTTGTCGCTGACCCGCCTAGACGCCGTCGGCTGCCTCGTGTACGGGGGTGTGTCAACGCTTTGCCTGAGGGTCAGATACCCGGCTAAGCACGAGCCTGAGGGTGTGCGGGGTTAGGGGGTGGGTTGGGTGCGGGTGTGGGGGTGTGAGTGGGCTTGACACTACCAAGCCTAGGGGGTGTGTTAAAATTATATAAGTCATAATTTTATATAGGCTTGGTAGGTTGCTACTGAACCTTTCTGTAGGGGGTACAAACCCCTCCTTGTACTCCCTTCTCTTCCTAATCCAACCCTCTTTCTTCTCGACTTTCCTCCTACTCCTAGATCCGTTTTTCCTAGCGCCGTTCCATGGCGGCCTTGCTCCTATCCTAGCTAAGCTAGTGTCCTAACTTTAGGGACCTAGCATCCTAAGTTCTTAACAATCACATCACTAACATAACATATAGTTTATGTAGGCATTGATCTAGTTAACTTCAAATAGTGTATATGAACAGTACCACCACTCACAAAAGATCATGTATAGAGTAGAGACACTGCAGAGGGGGAGTATTCACAGCAATGAGTTGAAACTTGAACCGTCCCTGGCAAGGCAGCTACAGAACAGAACCATCTCACAAATGATCTGACAAGAGTAGGTAAGCAATGGAGGCAAAAGTGCTGACAGTTGTGCGTGCGGGTATCCGATAATCAGACTACAGCTCTGGTGGTGATACCAAGAAGGCTCTGGTAATCTTGTTGTACAAAAGGGCCGCAATTCTTGCAAGATGAAGAGCCTCAGTTCTTCTTGCCAAGACCAAAAGACATGTTGAAAATGCCCCTGCCCTGCAACACACCAACAACACACAAGAGTATGAAGCAAGTCCATAAGATTAGAAGCTGCACAAGCGGATAGAATAAGATGGGAAAGCCGAACAGCCTGCGGAGGAAAATAACAAAAACGGCCGTTTTCGGCCAGCGGCCTGAGAGAAGGTACAACCCCCTTGCTTTTATCTCAGAGTCGCTCCGACGAACGCAGCGAGATGTGGAAGTCTTAGCGCGTCCGTCCTTACATAAGCACAGCGGAACTCAGTGCGGTTCAGTACGGTTCCACAGTATGCTTGTAACAATGAGCACGGCGGCGCCCAGCGCGAACGGAAGGGATGACGACGCTCGCAATCCGGTCGCCTCATGTGCGCGAAGGCACAAGCCGACTGCAACGGCTTCTGCGGAGCTCAGTGCGATCCCATGCGATTTAGTGCGGTTAAATGCGGTTCAGTGCGGTTGAGTAGTATGCTTCTTACAATGAGCACGGCGGCTTTGAGCGCGAGGGCTTTTAGATAACGTCGCTCGCGATCCGGTCGCCGGGAGCCTTCAAGTGGGTCAAGGTGCGAGCCGACTGCAGCAACTTCCGTGCGGAACTCAAAGCGGTTCAGTGCGGTACGGTGCGGTCAGTACGTTTCTTACAATGAGCACGGCGGCGCCGAGCGCGAGCGCGGAGGGGATGATGACGCTCGTGATCCGGTCGCCGGGAACCTTCATGTGGGTTAAGGCGCGAGCCGACTGCAGCAACTTCTGCTGCTCGCGAATCGCACTGCTGACGTCCGTCATGGTTCAAGCGCCGCTCGCCTGAAGACGAAAGCGTTTAAAGAAAGAGACGCGACGAGAAGATCTGGCGAGTTATCTCACGCGTGAAACACGGGACGACTGGCGATACATTTTGAAACAAAACCGGAAACGACGGGGGAAAAGTGGAAAAATAGGCTTACGGCTCCGGAGACAAGTCACTTACCCGGAGATTAATCGACGGAACGTGAAGGATGGTCCGAGACCACTAGGAGGAGGCGAAGAGACAAGCAAGAGGCAATACCAGGGATCCTTCAGAAGCTCTTAGCGCTCGCAGCTTTTAGGGTTGCGTGGCGTTGTTGGAGCTGAGGTGATTTGGGAAAGTGCAGGCGCTGTAAAGAGCACCTCCGTAACGCGAAGCCTTACAAAGCAAACACACCAGTAAAATACAAAATATTACGAGCTTACAACCAACCACATGTAAGAGGTAAATAATTTTAAGCTCCCTCTCCTCCAACCAAGATTTTTTTGGATCAGGTACTACTACATCAAAGGAATCCACGTATGTCCACAAATCGAAAGTGATACAAAGGATATGCACAAACCGAATAGAAAACTAATTTATTTGGGTAATACTGCAACGGGCATCAACTCGTTCGGCAATTACTGCTCAGCATTAACCCGTTCGGCTTCATCTATCCATTCAGAAAACCTGCAAGCAACAGAGCGAGGCTATTAGAATTCATCACTCATTCAATATAGAGGTATGCATGAATGCACGTGCAGTTTTGAGAGTAAGAAAAAGAGGGGCTCTAGGATTGTCTGGGGCAATCGTGTCAAGTAAGAGAGACATCGAAGGGGAAAATCCCGAGGCGGCAAAAAAGAAGGTTACTGTACGTTAACGTACAGATCAATGGGCTCGCTCAAATCTGTTAATGACGCGGCAGGTCGAAGCAGAAGCGTTGTAGTCCGGGTCGAAGGGAAGGAGGAAAAGGAGGGGGCGGGATGGGAGGAGGGGCACAGAGGGGAGGGATACAAAGTCTCGCCAAAAGCAGTAAGAAACATTGGATTGTAGCAAAGGGGAAAAATGATGTAGTAAGGATTAGTGGGGAGCATTGTTGTGAAAAATATGGATATTAATGAGAATAGTGGATGGGATGGCAGCAATGGCCCAAATGAAAATGTGAGATCGATAGTTGGATGGATGGATGGATGGATGGAGGGATGGACGGACGGACGGACGGACGGACGGACGGATGGAGGGATGGATGGATGGATGGATGGATGGATGGATGGATGGACGGACGGACGGACGGACGGACGGACGGACGGACGGACGGACGGACGGATGGATGGATGGATGGATGGATGGACGGACGGACGAACGGACGGACGGATGGATGGATGGATGGATGGATGGATGGCGGTGCGCTCACTGTCGATGGTGGTTTGGTATTGCTCAGAGCACACACGGCAAGACACCGTCCCGATGCCTGCATTGCGGTCCCTGCATGCATGCAAGAGCAAGTACAGATCTCGGGAACTCATCAGGCGAAGGGTATCATCGATAACCAGGACGCCACCCACTGCTGGCTTGTGAGCACGCAGTGCAAGACACCGTGCCTTTGCCAGCATGGGGGGAACTCATCAGGCAAAGACGGATCATAGATAGCCAGGACAGGATGGCGTCCCTGTGCCTGCGTTACGGTCCCTGCAAGAGAAAGCCGGTGTCGGGAGAGAGGACACGAGCACCGCAAGGCAAAGACCCGTTGGAGAAGAACCGCCACTGCTCGGCGGGGGAACGCGGCTTATGCAGCAGAACCCGGGCCACGCGCGCGACGGTACATGGCGTTCAAGCGTACAGAGAATCGGTGTGGGTGGACAGGCAGTGTCGCAAATTATTTCCAACCAAGTACCGCGAACCGTGAAGTTCTCGACGAGCGGGAAATATAGTAAGTGTAAGATCCCGCGATCTTAACCAACAGGGCGAGACGAGAGTAACATCCGCAGAAGTTACAACAGAACCTCGCAGAACCTCGCAGCGGCCAGGTAACATCCGCAGAAGTTACGGTCTGCGCTCGTTCTACGTACAGTTTGCACTCGACGCTGGCCTCATGGTTGCAGAACGGGCAGTTGAACGTCGTCGGAACCTTCTGAACCCTCCGCGCCTCGGGCTTCGCGGCCGACTTGCGCTTCCCCATCTGCAACGACTCCGACGCGGACTCTGAACTCTTGGAGGCGCCGGAAATTAGAGTAAACTAGAACGAACTAAGTAACGGCATTCACGCAGCCGTGACGCTGCAATATAGGTGATCGCTCTGAGGGACGAATACTCCGTAAGCTGTCAAGAGCCGGAAATCCCAATGAGAGCTCTTGACACGGAAACTCAACTGCCAGGGATACGGAGCTTTCCGGTGCTTTCCTAGACTAAAAGGTTTCGAGGAACAAGGCGCCAGGATGAGAATGATTGACGGTGAAGCACAGGGAGGGGAAACGAAGTTAGCTTTTGCATAATCGACGGATGAGAGATTAGAGAGAAGTGGGATGATTGGCTCGGCCTATCATCATAGTAAGAAGCTGTGTCAGAGCTGGGGGTGGGGGGAAGGGGGGGTGGGGGGGTGGGGGAGGGAAGGGAAAGCTCGTACTCGCCTTTGAGTTTTGATGCGATTTATGACGAAAACAGGAGTACAGTGACTACACTTACAAAAAGTCCTGGTTCAGCCAAGGAGGCACATGCTTCCAAACCTGCCCTACTGGTTCCTTATTGGCTCAAAACTTTCCTTTCACTTCATCACAGTTTTCCTCTGCCCTGACTGACTTTCGGCTCCACTCCAGGTCTCCCTTCCCTGACTTGACCCGGACATTTCGTCTTGGTTACTCTACCCAATCAAGTTCTCTCTCGGGCCGTTTTTTAACGGAGCTTTGCCACGACTTGACGGAGAGCCTTGACTGACTGACGGGTTTCTCCCTGTGACGCACAATTTGCAGATTTCCAGCCCATCACTCTGCAGCGGGATTGACGGCGGATTCCCGCCAAATATTCCACCTCCTCCCCTTCATGTAACTGCTGGTATTGACTTTGCAGTGCACTGTAGTGTCCTTAGTCAACAGCAGGTATTGAATGTAGCAGCTTCTTAGGTTCGTGAAAGCAGCAGACCACAGCTCGATTCAATCAGCGTTTCGTAGTCGGTAGGCGATTATGCTGCAATGGCTGTTCTGGCCACGTTAGCGGTTAGAGAGGGTCACTGACAGTGCGATTATCGTTTGGATGACGTAGATTCGTAACGAGCGGTTCGTCGTCCGTCGTCAGAAACGGAAAGCGTCGGAGGCCGTCAGTAGCTGGCACGATGATGGACGTGGCGCCGCTCACGTTCCTCTTGGTCTTTATCGTCTGCACCGTGGGAGCATGGATCGTCTCCAAGTAAGAGAAACAAGTCCGATTTCACTTTAGTCTATCGATTTTAGGAGCACTGTAGCTCCATTGTCAATTCGTGTGACCTTGACAGCTCACGATGCCATGATGCGACGAAAGACCCTCCAGTTCAGCACTTCAAGTGGAACCTCCGATTGATCGCGAGCGATGTTCCATCAGCTACTATATCAGCCGTTGCTCTTCTGTCTTCGCTCTGTTGTGTGAATCGCTCTATTCGTACTATGCGTGCAACATTATACGAATCAGATCAATCAGCCTCATTTCGCTCCCAGGAAAGCAGTTTTCCCTGAACCGCCGCCTCAATTCCGTTAACTGTATCATTTTCCACGATTATTTTTAACGCAGGTTCTTCACGCAGATCGTAACCCTCGCGATCAAGGTTACCACAGGAAACTCTCTGAGCTTTCGCGTGCTCGGCCTCCTGAAGATCAAGGACATCCACTGCGCTTTCAAAAAGGTCCTTTCATTCCCCTCCTCACCTTTTACGTCCAGTCCACCCTCCCTTAACGCCACTGCCTGCACAAGCACCCTCCGTTAACACAAATCAAGCTACAATGTGTCACACCTCGTTACTAGCACAGGTTCCCACTTCACCACTAGAGCATGTCGTCTTCTACTGGACTCCATTGTCACCTTCCCAGATGTGTGTTTTATTGTTCAATGCCGTCAATCAATTCCACCATACTGTGTACTGTAACACAATTTCGTCACCCATCTCCCTCCCCACAACAGGGTCCAATACAGAGCATGACTATACGCGAGGTGAAGGGCCACCTGGCGGCCGTCAGCTCAAGTTCCGCCTGCAAATCAAGCTGAAGGATGTCGAGTCGACGTCGTGCTGCGCCCCTCGCCGCCCTCTACCTCCTCATCCTCAATGCTGCCGTACTGGATTTAGTTGATCGGCTTCCCTTTCCTCCATCCACCCCCCCCCCCCCCCCCCCCGCAACAGGGTCCGATACAGAGCGTGACTATACGGGAAGTGAAGGGCCACCTGGCGGCCATCAGCAGCCTCAAGTTCCGCCTGCGCATCAAGATCAAGGATGTCGACATCGTGCTCCGCCCCTCGCCGCCCTCCACCAGCAAGAAAAAGAAGAAAACGAGCAGCCCTAGGAGGAAAGCCGGGGCGATCGCAGCCGCATGGGGGCGGTGGAAGCTTCTGGGGAGCTTCTTTCGGATGGTCCGCCTGTGCGTGTTTGATGTGTCGGTGCGGTCGACCCAGGCGCCTGATGTGTGCTTCCAGCTGAGGGAATTCGACCTCTTCTCAACGGCGGACACTGCAGGGAAAGGGCAGCTGGCGATGAGGCTGGAGCTCCTGGGTATCTCCCTCTCCCACCGCCCCTCGTCCTCTAAGAAGGGCCCTGCTCCCCGGTCCCGGTCGCTGAATCTCTTCAGGATTGGGGGCGTGGGGGGCGAGGAGGGGGGAGGAGAAGAGGAGGGGGGAGGTGAAGTGGAGGGGGGAGGGGAAGGTGGTGGAGGAGGGAGGAGGGGGAGAGTGGGAGGAGGGGGTGGGAATGGGGAGGATCCGCTGCCGCTGCTGCTGCTGGAGAGCTGGACGACTGATGTGGCGCTCGGATTCGACAGGTCCGCTTGGTTATTAGTAGTTACCAATGGTCGCACGCACACCCGCTAAATTCGTGCAAGGCAAACACTCCCCTCCATTCAGCTTCTCTAGCCTTCCAATGCTCGTTCTGCAGAAACGAGGGGCGTGCAGATGGAGCGTTGAAAGGACGGGAGTGTTTCCAGCTTCTCCAGCCGTTCAGCGCTCCTTCCTTCTGCACGCCTCTCGTTTCCTCCCTTGGCGTCCATAGTTGTGCTCCTCACTCTCGTCCAATCCCTCCCATCCCATGGTTCTCTTCCATTCCCCAGTCCCCTCTTTCGTCCTCCCCAGAGAGGTGAGCAGGGCAGCAGAGCCATACGTCTGGTGCACCTGCAGTCTGCAGACTGCCATGTCTATTTTTGAGGCGCCTCAAAAGTAGACTTCCCAGATAGGTGGAAAGAGCCATACGTCCGGTGCATGTGCAGTGATCTGAACTGGAGCTCAACCTCGCCTTCCACTCACTCGCGTACTCCCTCCCCCCTGGTCTCACTCCCTCACCTCCCTATCCCCACTCTTCTCCTCCCGACCCGAGTAGTGGGCACTGGGCACAGCCACGCGGCTGGTGCACGTGCAGTGGTTGGAGCTGGAGCTCAGGTGTGTCCCCTCCCCCCTCCCCCCTCCCCCCTCCCCCTCCCCCCTCCCCCTCCCCCCTCCCACCCCCACCCCCTGCCCTCCTCCTCTAGCTCCCTGTTTCGTTCTCTTTCCCCCAGCAGGGAGGTGGGCATAGCCACGCGTCTGGTGCACGTGAAGTGGTCGGAGCTGGAGCTCAACCTCTCTGAGCGCCTGCTCTCTCACGTCCACGCCCTTCTCCCCTAACCCTCTGTCCCGCCCTCTGCTCTACCCCCCGCCAGGGAGGTGGGCATAGCCACGCGCCTGGTGCACGTGCAGTGGTCTGAGCTCGAGCTCAACCTGTCCGAGCGCCTGCTCGCTCTGCGCATCGTCAAGCCCCCCAAACGCCCCCCTGCTGCGCAGCCCACTCCTGCTGCTGCTGCTGCTGCTGCAGTGGCCGATGTTCCCGTGCTGGTGAATGAGAAAAAACGGCCCAACCTCCCGGAAAAGGTGCGTTGCACTGGTCTTACTGTTTTCTGGCTTCTAAAAGTTTTTATCGTGCATTCCAGCGTCTCCCCCTCATTGCTTTTGAGTCGACTCAAAAGCAGTCCTGCATTCCAGCGTCTCCCCCTCATCATTGCTTTGCTTCTCCACTCTGTGATCTCTTTCGCCCTGCTGTGCTCGGCCCTCCCCTCGTGCGAGTCACCTTGCATCGCATCATGGTGTGTGGCGCCACTGCTGCAGGCTATTGCTGCTTCTCAGTATATAAAATCGTCTTGTTTCCTCGCCCAAAGGTGCTAGTCGCCCTGCCGCGCATCATGGCGCGCCTGTGGCACCACCGCTTCTGCGGGCTCCTACTGCACTGCATCTGCCGGCCCATCACCCTCTCCTCCACCCATACCGCCTTCCAGGCTTCTTGCCCTGCATCTCTCAGAACGCTCTCCCTGCTCGCCGCCCCTCCCCCAGGTGCAAGTCGCCCTGCCTCAGAGATCACGGTGCGCCAGAGGCACCATTGGTGCAGGCTATTGCTGCTCCTCAGCGTATCCAATTTCCCTGTTCCCCCCTCACCTCACCCCCCAGGTGCAAGTCGCCTTGCGTCACATCATGGTGCGTCTGCGGCACCACCGCTGCGGGCTATTGCAGCGCAGCACCTGCGGCTCCATCACCCTCTCCTCCACGCTCCCCTTCTCCCTTGCAGTCGCTGAGGCTCGTTTTTCCTTCATCTCCCACTCGCTCTCTCCGCCCCGCTCCCACCAGGTGCAAGTCGCCTTGCCGCGCATCATGGTGCGCCTGTGGCACCACCGCTGCGGCCTCCTACTGCGCAGCAGCTGTGGCCCAATCACCCTCTCCTCCACGCTCTCTCGCCCGGCCCCCGACCTCTCTGTAATTGAGGCGGACATGAGCATCGGCATCGTGGAGGTGAGTTCATGCTGACGCTAGCAGCAATGGGCTCTTTTTCTTTTTTCCCACCATGGCCTCCCCTTTCCTCTCCACCTCCTCTTCTCTGTGGCCCCCCTCCTCTCTCCAATTTGCTTGAACTTAGTCAGGTTGTGCAAAGAACTTAAGTTTTTTTTTTTCCTGGAATTACCTTCTCTGACAGTGCCATTCCGTTCCGTTTTTTGTACACCACCCCCTCCCCGCCCTGTTACTCCCTACCAACCGTCTTCAGATCTTGAAGAGTGCGGAGGGAAGTGCCCTGTCAGTCACTCGTGTGTCCACGTCAGCATGCCTCTCCTTCCCTCACTATGTGAGCTCATTCCCATTCCACACCGTGCCACTTCACTGTTCTCACAAGCTTTTGCTGACATGCTGTGCTCCTCATGAATCACGTGCCTCTATTGGCCCTGCCCCTCACTCACCCCTCCTCCTCCTCCTCCTCCTCCTCCTCCTACTCCTCCTCCTCTTCCTCCTCCTCCTCCTCCTCCTCCTCCTCCTCCTCCTCCTCCCCCTCCTCCTCCTCCTCCTCCTCCTCCTCCTCCTCCTCCTCCTCCTCCTCCTCCTCCTCCTCCTCCTCCTCCTCCTCCTCCTCCTCCTCCTCCTCCTCCTCCTCCTCCTCCTCCCCCCCCCCCTCTCCCACCTGCTCCCTCTTTCAACCCTCTCGTCACGTGGCTGCCCCCAACCTGATCTTCTCATCCTCTCATCCCCCATCCTTGCCTTCTCATGTACCACACGCTCAGACGGCAGAGCCGGTGCGAGCAGAGGTGGACGTGTCGCTATCCGCCGTGGACTGGCGGGTCTTCCCCGCCACGCTCGCCCCATGGCTGGCAGCAGCGCTGGAGGAGATGCGGCGGAAAAAGGCAGCCAAGCTCAGGCGCCAGCACCTGCAGCTCCAGCAGGAGCTGCTGGAGCAGCAGCAGCAGCAGCAGCATGGGTATCTGGACGGGCTTCTGTCCCCGCGTTTGAAGGCACGAGGGGCAGCATCTCACAAAGGCTCTGTGCTGCCAGGGAACAGGGCAGCCGCAGGAGGGGCAGCAGCAGGAGACGCAGGAGCAGCTGCATCAAGAGCAGCAGCAGCAGAAGGGGCAACAGCAGCAGGAGTGGGACTGAGGGCACAAGCAGCAGCAGATGCAGCAGCAGCAGTGGTAGAGCGTCCAACGCCAAAGAAGCCCAAGCGGCCGTTCAGGCTGGAAGCAGTGGTGGGGGCAGTGGGGGCGAAGCTGACAGTGCACGACTACGACGGCACACCGCTCTACAAGGCCTCTGCTGCCAAATTCCACGTCTTCCTCTCCCAATCCGCCGGCCCTCTGGCTGCCTCCCACCCCCATTCTGGTGGCTCTTTTGGCGCCTTTGGGCCGGTTTCGCCTGCCGCCGCTGCTGGGAAGGCAGGGCAGGGCGGCAGAGGAGGCTTTCACCCGTTCCTGAGTCGGAGTAGCAGTCCGGGCGTGTCTAGAAGCAGCAGCAAGGCTGAAGCAGCCAGGGTTACTCTTAGCAGGACTAGTAGCAGCAGCTTGGGGGCCAGTCCAGGTGCTGCTGCTCCTGGTGCCTCTGCCTCCTCCTTCCCCTCCTCGTCCTCCATCCCGTCTGCCTCTCCCCCCGACGCTGCGGCTGCGGCTGCTGCTGCTGCTGCTGCTGGTGTTGTTGCTGGTGCTGGCAGTCACATGGAGGTACAGGTGGAGTATTCAGGCGTACAGGTGGTGCGGCTACCCAGAGAGGAAGACTTTGCTAGGCTGGGTGGGACAGAGGGTGCTGGTGCAGCGCATGTGGGCTGGGCTTCCTATTATCCTTCTGCCTCTTCTGCTGCTGCTGCTGCTGGTAGTACGTCTGGCTCTGCTGCTGCTGCCTCCGCTTCCTCTGCTGCTGCTGCTGCCTTGCCCCGGGAGCAGGTGTTTATTCAGGTGTCTCGGATGGGAGTGGAGTGGGGCCCTGGGATCCCTGACAACGTGGAAGGGCTTGGGGATGGGGACACGCCAGGAAGGAGGGGAGACAGGGAGGAGGGCGGAGGGGGAGGAGGGGGAGGAGGGGGAGGAGATTTGGGGGGAGCAGAAGCAGGAGGTGCCAGTTCGTCTGGAAGAGGCGTGGGAGGGGGAGCATACAGAGGGGTTGGTGGAGAGGGAGGGGGGGGAGGAGGGGGCATACTGGACAAGGTGCTGATGGTGCAGGTGGGGGTCAGGGGACTCAGGATCCGCCCCTCCTTCCCTCTCCTGGGAACCCTAGCGGAGGAGGTCACCCGAGCAGAGCAGTTTGTCAAGAGGGAGAAGAAGAGAGGTGCGGCTGATGCTGCTGCTGCTGCTGCCAGTGCTGCTGGTTCCCCTGCTGCTGCCGCTGCTGCTGGGGGTGCTGGGGCCGGGAGTGACCCTGCTGGCGCTCCTGCCACCGCCAAGAAGAAGGGCAAGGGCAAGGGGAAGGGAAGCAAGGGCGTGAAGGCGTTCCGGGTGGTCCTTGACGACGCGCTTCTGGAGCTCTCCTGCCCGTGCACGGTGGCTGAAGCCGACGTGCTGGACCCCAAGAAGGTGCACTTCGGAGACGAGTTGGGCGAGCGGGTGTTTGACCTAACTCCTGAGGGGGATCTGAGGGTGGCGAAGGTGAGAAGGTTTGAGTGGGAGGGTAAGGTCCATGGTGCTGTGGAGTGTAGGCTGAGGGTGGAGCTGCCACAGGTGTCGGTGGGGGGGAGGACGGGGGGCAAGCAGCTGCAGGTGCGGATGGAAGGGGCGAGAGTGGTGTATGTGGAGAGAGGGGAGGATGGGGAGGAGGCGGTGGGGAGTGGGGGAAGTGGGAGAGGGGATTTGGAGAGGAAGGGACAGCAGGTGGCTGGCTCTGGTGGGGGGACGGGAGGGGAGGGAGGTGGTGTGAGGAAAAAGGATGGGGTGATAGTGGAGGTGGTGGTGTGCCGGCTCCAGAGTGCGCATGTGCTGCTGCAGAAGGGGCTCGTAGGTCCGGACGGAGGTCCGGCGCCGGACCGGGTTGTGGTTACCGCAGCTGGGCTGGAGGCTCGGTGGGAGCCGGATGTGCAGGTGTTGGTGGTGGAGGTGGGGGAGGAGGTGAAGGAGGTGACTGGTCGGCGGAAAGCAGTGGTGCAAGCATGGCGGGCGATGGCTGAGAGAGAACAGGAAAGGGAGCAGGGGGTGAAGGTGCAGGCGCAGCAGCAAGAGCAGCAGCAAGAGCAGCAGCAAGAGCAGCAGCAGGCGCAGCAGCAGGCGCAGCAGCAGGCGCAGCAGCAGAATGCAGGGAAGGGCGAGGGAGGGAGTGCGGAGAAGCTAGCTACATCAGGTGGCAGCCTGGATTTTAGTCTTCTCGGAAGGGAAGGTGGGAGCCAGCTAGGTGCAGCAGCCTCCCCTAGGCTTCCCACGGGCATCAGCTTGCCTCCTTTTTTCTCCCCTCGCCAGTCCACCGCCCTCCCAAACAAGTCACCTGGCAGCACTCCCCGCAGCAGCAGCATGGGGGCATGGGCGTCGCTGCCCCCGGTAGCTCCTGGGGGCGATGGTAGACGGTCCGTGGGGACTGCCAAGTCAGCCGGTGCTGCTGCTACAGTGCTAGACGGTGCTGTCGTAGGGGGGTTAGGGGGAGGGGTTGGTGGCGGTGGCGGTGGCACTGGCAGGCGCAGAAACAGTGACAGCAGTGTTGGTACCGCTACCGCAGCAGGCGGTGCAGCTGCCAGCTGGCAGCAGTGGAAGCAGGGAGAGCACGTGGCAGGAGCATCAGCTGCTGGAGCAGCAGCGCCCGGTGATTCGTCTGCTGCTCTGGGAAAGCAGGGCAAGCCTGGCAAGCGCAAGAAGCCGAAGCCAGTGATAGCAGTGGATGTGACGGGGGTGGTGGTGACAGTGGGGATAGGCGACGAGACGGAGATGCGGGTGGAGGCCAGGGGGCTGTTCTCTGAGGATGCTGCCATGGGGGCGCTCCTGGAGGGGATGTGTCTGCGGATTAATGACGCTGCCATGCTGTTCAGTGACTCGTTCCAGGTGAGAGGGGGCTGGGGAATGCAGGTCTGGGGGCTAGTGCTCTTATTATATGGGGATAGGCGACGAGACGGAGATGAGGGTGGAGGCCAGGGGGCTGTTCTCTGAAGATGCTGCCATGCTGCTCAGTGTCTCGTTCCAGATGAGAGGAGGGGGTTAACATGAGTCAATCGGGTCAATGAGTGAAGGACCGTGTGTTACATTGTGGGGTCCTGTGTGTGCATCATGAGGCTGCCAGCCCTTCTCCTGACTGACCGACTCGTTGCAGGTCTGGTGAGTAAACTTTTGAGTCAACTCAAAAGTCATCTCGCTGCCAGCCATACTCCTGAGTGAATCGTTGCAGGTACAGTGAGAAAAATCCCGAGATATTCCCACAACAGTCACTGGCCTATGGCCTGTTTTCACGTCACCTTTCGAGACTGGATTTTTCCCTATCCCCTCCCCACTTTCCCCCTGCCCCTGTTCCCTCCCCTCCCCCAGGTCTCCCGAGTCCCAAGTGCCACACCAGTGGTGGTCGCGCCCCCCTCTGCCCCCCCACCACAGCCAGGGGAAGACACCTCGACGGTGTGGGACTATGTGATCCAGGCGAGCTCGTCGCGCTTCATCCTGCCGTTCCAGTTTGAGGTGCGCGCCGTGGAGGACAGCGCGGAAGACATGATGCGCGTGCTCAAGGCGGTCACTGCTGCGCAGAAGATGGCCAGAAACGCCCAGCGAATGCGGCAGGGGAGAGCTGGTGGTACCGGTGTTGCTGCTGCGGCGGCTGCTGCTGGTGCTGCTGGTGGTGCTGCTGGTGGTGGTGCTGCTGCTGCTGGTGATGCTGGTGTGGGTGGTGCTGCTCCTGCAGCGCCTCCTGCTGGTTCAGGGCCAGCAGCAGCCGTGAGGGACCCAGCAGCAGTGGCAGCAGCAACGGCTGCAGCAGTCACAGCAGCACAGGCGGAGGGCGTCATCCCCCCCACCGTCCCCTCCTCCTCCTCCGCCCCCAAGCCCAAAAAACCCCCAGCGCGGCGCAAGGGGCTCATACGCCTTATAGTGAAGGAGCTTCTATTGGAGGTGGAGGAGGAGCCTATACAGGGGTGGCTGGACGAGAGGCGGCAGCTGATGAAACCGTTGGTAGAGGATAGGCTGGTGAGGGAGAGGCTGTTGGAGGAAGAGGAGGAGAATCTCAGGGGTGGAGATATAGTCCCCCCCGGTTCGGAGGGGTTGGCTAGAGAGGCTTCAGGTGGGGTTGATGCTGGGGAGAAGTCGCCTCAGGATGCGAGGGTAGGGGGAGGAGGGATAGGGGGAGGGGGAGGGGGGAAAGGGGTGAGTCAGCAGGTGCTGGCTGCGGCAGCAGCTGCTGCAGAGGCTGTGGGTCCTGCTCCGCTTGCGGGCGAAGCCAAGGGCGCGGCAGTCAGGATGAAACTTCTCCGGGAGCGTTTCCAGGCTGCCCGGGAGGATCTGCACCGGCGGGCAGGTCTGGCGTACAAAGCGGCGTGCGAAAACCTAGTGAAAGACCCGGGCACGGGCTGGGCATACAAAATCGGGTTGAACGAAAAATACCCGATGACCACCACCCGCAGAAGTGCGGCCAGCCTGTGGTTTGCCTTTGCTGAGCTGGCTCTGATACCAATAGAGCACGGGCGGCAAGGCACGGTGGCTAAGATTCGTGAGCTCGACACTATTCCAGCCTCAGAAAACGTGCCGATTGCGAGGATGTATGCGAGAGCAGTGGAGCTGTCCTGTGTGGGGCTGAGGTTTTCCCTGAGGGACTATCCGCTGCCACTGTTTGCGGCAGCTTCCGGGAAGCTTCGTGGGACAGCGATCATGGCAGCGCAAGCCACGGTGTACCAGCCGCAGCAGAAGTCCGACGTGTTTCTCGGAAGGTTCCGGCGAGTCACTGTACTCCGGACGGCCAGCGGAGCCACCCCTCCCCTGAAGTTCTACTATGAGGCAGATGCGGAGTTTGAGTCCGCGGACCTGTCGTACGGTGTGGGGTATGAGCCCATGCTGTTTGCCGACGTGAGTTACGCGGTAACCTGCGCCGTGCGCAAGGGCCAGCCGACGACCCGGCAGGCGAAGGTGATCGCAGCAGCAGCCGCGGCAGCAGGAGCAGCAGGAGTCCCCTACCCTCCTGTGCAGAACACTCTGTCTGTGCCGGCGCTGGCGGCTGCGGCTGACCCTGCTGCCGCTCCGCCTGTGTGGCCTCCTGTGGAACGGAGCCTCCCCTGGTGGGACATCATGCGGTATTACATGCACGGGCATGCAGAGTTCATAGCCCTGGACTACCAGGTGTTTCTTCAGGCGACGGTGGACCCCTACGAGCAGAACGACATGCTCACCCTGGTGGGGTCCCGGCTCGTGTTTTCCCAGAAGAAAGGGCAGATGTTTGTACGGGGGGAGGATCTAGAGGCGCATGTGACGAGCGTCCCGGAGGACCCGCTGAGGAAGGCGGATGCGTGGGTGAGGGAGGGGGGAGGGGGCGCGTTCGGGAGGGGAGGAGTCGGAGGGGGGATGGACGGCGGGCGGTGGGAGGGTGACGAGTTTCTCCGAGCCCCTGCGATCGAGACACCGGTCTTGGAGCTGGATATTCGGCTGGACTGGGAGGTGGAGGGGGATGGGGATGCCTGCGCGCACTACCTGCATGCGCTGCCAACAGAACGGGGCATGCGGACGGTGCTGTACGACCCGTTCCGGTCGGCTGGGATGAATTTCCGCTGGGACTGGCGGTTTTTGTCCAAGGAGCAGGCGAGGGAGATCCACAGCAGGGGGGAAAAGCACGGGAAGAGGGGGGGGGACAGTGGGGGAACGAGGGTGGGGCGGAGTAGCAGTGCTTGTGATCTGGGCGCTGCTGCTGGCAGTGCGGGTGGTGCGGGTGGTGCTGGTGTTGCCAGTGCTGGTGTTGCCAATGCTGGTGGTGGTGCTGGTGGTATGGGAAGGCCCAACCATGCGGCATCAGCCATACCACGCTCCACCTCTCTCTCTTCTGCGTCGCTCTCCCGCGCCTCCTCCTCCCGCCGCTACCACGACGACGAAGATTTCTTCTCGGGCAGCTCGCCTGCCCACCGGTCATCCAGTGGGGGCTCGTTCTCGTCCGTCGGATTCGAGTCCAGCAGCTCATCGCAGGCTGGTGATTGGCCGAGAGGAGGGGAGTCTGGGGTGGGGCCAGGTACGCATGGGCACATGCAGAGGCACAGGCGGACCTCCTCTGGAAGCATCCCTTGGAATGTAGGTGGTGGAGGTAAGGGTGGTGGTATGGCCGCAGCAGGTGCTTCAGGGGAGGGAGGATCTGGGGTAGGTGGCAGCTTTGGTGCTGGTATGGGCAGCAGTTTCGACGGTCTAGGCATGGGGTCAACAGGAGCGGGCGGTGGGACCGGAGGAGGGGGGGAAGGCAACGGGGGGGGAGGAGGAGGAGCAGGAGGTGGGTTTGATGTGGGTTCGAGCATCCGGCAGCCGACATTCAACCTGGCGAGCCACGACATGGTGTGGCTGTTCAAGTTCTACAATCTGATGTACCTCTCCTCCCACAAGCTCCGCAACTTCGGCCGCCGCCGCTACGGCATCGCCCGCAAGCCCAAGTCCGGCAACCTGAACCTCAGCCAGGTGATGTCAGAAATGCTAATCCGGCTGCATATTGCCCCGGGGGCCTGGAGGCACTACTCGTTTCGGAACCCGGACCCGGCGGAAGGGGTGGTTTTGTTGGTTGAGGAATTGGTGTACGAGCTGTGCTATAGTCGGAATTTGAAGGCGTGGGACGGGAAGACGAGGCGGCCATCGTTTAAGACGGCGCATACGGGGCTGGATGTGGTGAGGATGAGGATTGTGGTTGAGGAGCCCGGGAGTGGGGAGGGGGAAGGGGAGGGGCAGGAAGGGGGAGTGGCGGGACGGAGGGCGGCGGAGGAGGGGGAGGAGTTGGAGGGGGGGGTGTTGGGGGGACGAGTGGGCGGATTCTTGAAGGAGATGAAGCTTCTGGGAAGATTCTGGAGTTGTTGATGGGGGAGGATGAGGTGGGGGGTGGTGGGAGGGAGGGGGGATTGGGATGGGCGACTGGGAGGGGTCAACTGGGGAAGGCGCTGGTCGGCAGACGAAGCACCGGCGGCAGCAGCTTTGGCTGGGGGGTAGCGGGAGGGGGAGCAGGGGAGGGAGATGTAGGAGGTGGGGGTGGGGGGACGGATGCTAGATTCAGGAGCAACAGCCGGGGGGTGGGAGGTACGGTGGTGGGCGAGGGGTGGACGAAAGCGGACCAGAGCTTTCTGATGTCGTGCGACGGGATAATGATCCGCAAGCAGGCGCCGGATGGGAACGCGGAGCAGATCCAGAAGTGGCGCGTGGGCGAGGGGTGGAAGAGCTGGCTCATGGGGGCAACCGGGAGTACAGCAGGTGGAAGGGTAGCGGGGGGCGAGAGGGAGGGAGGGATGGGCAGCGGTAGGAAGGCTAGCCACTGCCGAATCAGCGACCTGGACGGCAACTCGGAAAGCGACGAGGAGGAGGAGGAAGAGGAGGGAGAGGAGGAGGGGGAGGGGGAGGAAGAGGGAGAGGAAGAGGCAGAGCAGGACTATGCAGATATCCTTGCGCTGCTGGTAGCAGACAACTGCTGGCGGATCCTGGTCCCCGGGCTGCGACTCCTGCTCACAGTGCGCAACAGAGACGCCCTCTGGGCGTGGATGGCGGAATTCCAAAGGGGTTTTGCCTCGGATAAGCCGTCCCCGTCGCGCCAGATGGCGCAGCGCAAGAGGCTGGAGGCGGCCGGCGGGGTGCCGCCGCCGCTGGTGGGCGCTGCTGCTGTTGTGGCACAGGTGGCGGCACAGATAGCAGCGGAAACAGCGGCGCAAGCGGCGGAGAAAGCGGCTGCTGCTGCGGAGGCAGCGGCACAAGCAGTGGCGGAAGCAGGGGGGGCAGCGGGAGTGGCAGAGGGGGGCCAGACAGGAGGTGGTGTGGCTGCTGCTGCTGGGGGTGGTTCTGCAGGGGGGGGAGCAGGAGGAGGAATGGGAGTTGGGGCAGCGGGTATGGGGGTAGGAGGGGGAGAGGAGGACAACTGCTCGCTGAACTATATGATCAACATCATTCGGCCTCAGTTCAACTTCCACTCTGAAGATGCTCATGTGAGTTCTGCTATGCTTGTAGCAGGGTTATGTTTAGGACATGTGCAGTAAGTAAGCCCTCTCTTCCACCTGTTTCTCCATATATCACTTCTTCCTCTTCACTCCGTCCCTTCGATTTCGTTTTTTTTGTTTTACAGAAAGTCTCTCCTCCCTATTTCCATCCTCCATAATTTCCTCCCCAGGGTTGTTTCCTCCACACAGCCAAGAGCATTCATTTGCCCTTCTTCCTTTTGCTCGCACCTTCCCCTCCGTCCCGTAACGCTTCTTCCTCTTGCTCGTGTCTCTCTCCTCTCACCACCCATCTCTCCCCAGGGTCGTTTCCTCCTAGCACCTAAGAACGGGTGTCTCCTCGCCCGCACCTCCCACTCTGTCTTGGCAGGAGCCATCGAATCCCTCGCTGCCAGTCCCAATCACTACTCTTTGTCCCAATCACTACTCTTTGTCCCAATCACTACTCTTTGTCCCAATCACTTCTCTTTGTCTCCTTTTGATCTACTTTCTCCTGCCATTCCGCCCCACCCTTTCCTCCCCAGGGTCGTTTCCTCCTAGCAGCCAAGAGCGGGCGTGTGCTCGCCCGCACCTTCCACTCTGTCTTTGCCGGAGCCATCGAAGCCCTCGCTGCCATTTCCCCTCCTCCTCCCCTTCCCTCCTCCTCCTCCTCCGCCCCGCCTGCTCTTTCCACCACCGCCACGAATGCCACCGCCACCACTCCTCCCCCCACCACTCCTCCCCTCACCACTCCTCCCCCCACCATCCCCCCTTCTCCCTCCGCCACCCCTGCCGCCTCCTCCTTCTCGTCCTCCGCCCCTCCCTCCTCTCTCGCTACCTCGGACTCTGCCCCTGCCCCATCAGGAACTGTAGCAGCAGCAGGAGCACAAGCAGCAGCAGCAGCGCCAGCAGCATCAGTAGCAACACTGGCAGAAGCAGGCGCAGGCACAGGTGCAGGGATAGGAGCAGGAGCAGGGATAGGAGCAGGAGCAGGGATGGAGGTAGTAGGGGTAGAAACAGGAGGAGTTGCAGCAGCAGGAGTGGCAATGGGAGAAAAAAGACCGGCAGCAGCAATAACAGCAGGGGCAGCGGGAGCAGCTGGAGCAGCACCAGCACCAGCAGCATCGTCCGTTGCCCCTGTGGCACCGCACACGTCAGACATCATGCCCGGATTCGGGGAGGATCTAGATACGATCCAGTGGAACCGGCACGAGCTGGCGGTGATGCTGGAAAACGTGCAGGCCTACGTGGCACCCACTGACGTGGACCTGACAGCTGGTGTGCAGTGGCTGGCCCACGTGCCCATGGGAGGGGGGAGGAGGGGAGGGAGGGGGGCAGGGAGGGGTGGAAAGGGGAGGAGGAGGGGGGGCGCAGGAATGGTTGGGAGGGGGTCTGCAGGTGACCTTGCTAGTGGGAGTGTTGCTGCTGCTGGCTATACGGCTGATGGGGGCGATGGGGGTTATGGTGGTGATGATGGTGGTGCAGGGGGACTGAATGGGTCGAGCGGGATGCTGATGCTGGGAAGGGGGTCTGCTCATAACGGGGACATGGAGATCAGTCATCTGTTGAAGCAGGTGTTCCAGCCGTGCACCATGTACCTGCAGTATACCCGATACAAGAGTGGCTCCCAGGGCGCGCAGGTGAGCCAGTAGGAATACGGCCTGTGGGTTACTTACATAGCAACTGAGAAATGGTGCGAGAGGTAATTTGGTGATAGTCGTGCGTGCACCATGTACCTGCAGTATACTCGATACAAGAGTGGCTCCCAGGGGGCTCAGGTGAGGGACGGGGGGTATGCCTGGAGTGGCACGAGATAGCACGAGCTAGTGGAGTGCTTTTGAGAATTCTCAAACACACCCTGCAAAATTGGGGGCTCAGGTGAGGGACGGGGGTATGCCTGGAGTGGCACGAGATAGCACGAGCTAGTGGAGTGCTTTTGAGAATTCTCAAACACACCCTGCAAAATTGGGGGCTCAGGTGAGGGACGGGGGTATGCCTGGAGTGCAGATAGCACGAGACAGCACGTGCTAGTGGAGTGCAGTCACCTGTTGCCTGAAGGAAGTGTGTTTCAGTATCCCCAACAACAAGGGCACCATCACCTTGTCTCCCTGTTCCACATTTCTCTCCCTCACTCCGCACCTTGTACGCTTCCTTCTATGCTTCGATGCGTGCCGAAGAAGCCCCTAAAGGAGGTGAGTTTCAGCGCGCCCAACATCACGGCTACCACACCATGACCTCCTGACCCCTTCTTTTATTTCCCCATTCCCCTCCCTCACTTCCTCCCTCCCTCTTCCCCCCTCCCTTCCTGACATCCAGAAGAAGCTCCTAAAGGAAGTGAGCTTCAGCGCGTCCAACATCACGGCCACCATAACCTCGTCTCCCCCTCCCCTTCCTCCTTTCCTCCTCTACCCTTCCTTTGTCTTCTTTCCCTCTGCCTCTCCCCCTTCGTTTTTCTGCGTGCAGAAGAAGCCGCTCTGAAGGAGGTGAGTTTCAGCGTGCCCAGCATCACAGCCTCCATGACGTCCTCTCCTTCCCCATTACCCTTCCTTCACTCCCTCCCTCTCTCTCCCCCCCACTCCCTTTCTCCCTGGCGTGCAGAAGAAGCTGCTCTGAAGGAGGTGAGTTTCAGCGTGCCCAGCATCACAGCCACCACCATGACCTCGTCTCCTTTGTTCCTCTCTCCACCCCCGTTCTTCTTTCTTCCCTCCTCCTCCCCCCTCACATTGCAGAAGAAGCCCCTTAAGGAAGTGAGTTTCAGCGTGCCCAACATCACGGCCACCATGACCTCGTCTCAGTTCCAGACGCTCACTGACATCATCATGAACCTCGCCCTCGCGCCCACGCCCAAGTGAGTGCCCCAGGTGCCCAACGCCCAAGTGAGTGCCCCAGGTGCCCCACGCCCAAGTGAGTGCTAGGTCCCCCACGCCTGAGTGAGTGCTAGGTCCCGCACGCCCCAGTGAGTGCTAGGTGCCCCACGTCCCAGTGAGTGCTTGGACTCGCACGCCCAAGTGAGTGCTAGGACTCGCATATGGCACTCGCCCCCACGCCAAAGAGCGGTATGGGAAATGAGGGGACAGCAAGGGCACTCGCCCCCACGCCCAAGTGAGTGCCAGCACTTTGGGAAGTGTCTTCTCCTCAGGTCATGCTAGCTACGGTTACTTCCATTGCCGATTTGATTCAGTACGCGCTGCCATACTTACTCCTTCTCCCATGCCGCCCTCCCTCCCGCCCTCTCCCCTCCCTCCCTCCCTCCCTCCTGCCCTTCCACCCACACGCAGTCTGAAGAAGCCCAAGGCTAGACCCGACGCAGATGAGGACGACGAGGAGGAAAAGGAGTGCGGGTTGCGGCCCGGCGGAGTTCCCGAGGGGAAAGCTGCGGAGATCAGAGGCCGAGGTGGCCCAGCGCGCAGTCAAGACGCCCATCAAAGAGCTCTGGAGCACCGCGCCCCATTTCACTCCCCCACGCTCTCCCTCCCCATCCACCTATTTATCTCTCTCCGCCCAACAGGCTGAAGAAACCCAAAGTGCGTCCCGACGCAGACGAGGACGACGAGGAGGAAGAGGAGTACGGCTCGCACCCAGACGGAGTTCCCGAGGTCGAAGCAGCGGAGATAAAGGCCGAGGTGGCACAGCGGGCTGTAAACGCACTCATTAAGGAGCTCTGGAGCACGGCGGCGCTCACCGCGTCGGGGATGTACGGGCCCGAGATGGCGCTCGCTGGCAGCTGGGAGCGAGGCGTGGGGGGAGGGGGAGGGAATGCGTGTGTGTTTGGGTCGGGGCGGCTGGTGCTGGAGGAGGAGGACTCGAGTAAGAGGAGTTTGGTGCTGGCCCCGCCAACTGTGCTGGTGAGTCTGTGCTCTGGTTAGTGTGTCAATGCACTCATAAAAGACCTCGGGAGCACGGCGGCTCTCACTGCGTTGCGGATGTATGGGCCTGAGATGGCTCTCGCAGGCAGCTGGGAATGCGTGTGTGTTTGGGTCGGGGCGGCTGGTTCTGGAGGAGGAGGACTCGAATAAGAGGAGTCTGGTTCTGGCCCCGCCCACAGTGCTGGTGAGTCTGTGCTCTGGCGAGTCTGTGCTTTGGTGAGTCGGTGCTTCTTTGGGCAGGGTGTCCTTTTGGGTGCGTTGATTGCTCCTCGGTGTGCCCTTCTCCCCGACTTACCCCCCAAACCCCCCCCTCTCCTGCTCCTCTCCCCTCCCAAGCGTGTCTGCCTGTACCACTCTTGCAGGTCGCTGCGCTGAAGGGCGAGTACCTCAGAACAAGAAGTCCAATGCGTTTCTGCCTGAGCACAGAGCTGTTGTGGTTGTGGGGCATTTCAAACCAAGAGATACATGCCACTCTCCTCTCTGCTTCTCAAGAGAGAGGAGATGTTACCATCTGCTTCTCCTCTCTTTTTGTCTGTGCCACTCTCACAGGTCGCTGCTCTCAAGGGCGAGTACCTCATGCGCCAAGCCCATCTGGCACGTCTCGAAGCAGGAGTTAGCAGTTTGATACTCGTTCTCTTGCTTCCCTGTCTTCTCTGCCTTTTTCCCACCCCCGCAGGTGGCTGCTCTCAAGGGCGAGTACCTCGTGCGCAGAGCCGATCTGCGGGCGGCGCGGATGGAGAGCCGGGCGGCGGTGGGGCGGGCGGCGCGGCAGCAGAGGGAGAAGCAGAAGCAGCCATCGTCGGCCGTGGCTGTGATCTGGACAATCGACCGTGCGGCGTGGTCTCTGCTGAGCGACGGACATGTCTTTGCAGAGGCAGAGATCCAACACATGGTAGGGGGCGAGGGGTGGAGAAGGGGGGGAGAGGGGTGGAGACGGGGGGGAGAGCGGTGGAGAAGGCGGGGAGAGGGGTGGAGAAGGGGGGAAGAGAAGGGCGGGAGACGGGGGGAGTAGGGGGGAGTTGGGGCAATGGGTGAAAAGAGTTCACTTTGGTCTTTGCTGGGTGAAGGGCACGTGTTTTGGCGGAGATCCAACACGTGGTAGGTGGAGAGGGGTGGAGAGGGGCGGGGGAGGGAACTGCACAGGTGACACGAGTGCAGTTTGGGCTCTGCGGACTGATGGGTTGGAAACGGGTGGCACGCGTTTGCAGTGGCGGATGTCCAACAAACGGGTGGCACGCGCTTCATAGGTTTAAGTATGGGGTAGAGAGGTGGGGGGGGGGGGGGAGTTAGCGGAGTTTAAGTAGTTGACTCAAGGTCGTTGTTTCTCTCCACCTCCCATCACCTCCCCTCTTCCAAACGCTGCCGTCTTAGCTGCTTTTCGCGGTTTTTTTTTCACTGGCATCGGCATGGCGTGTTTCGTCATCAAGCCAATTCGACCCCTGAGGCGACTCACCCCACCTGTCACCACTCAACCTCCATCCTGGCATCCCCCCCCCCCCACATTCTTGCACCATCGCAGCTTTTGAACGTAGATCGTGACTTCAGTGACATCAGCATGCCGTGTTTCTCAATGCTGCCCCTCCACCCCCCCCACCCTTTCCCACTCCCCCCACTCTTTCCCACTCCCCCCACCCTTTCCCACTCCCCCCACTCTTTCTATCTACCACCCCCCCCACTCTTTCTATCTACCACCCCCCCACCCTTTCTATCTACCACTCCCACCGGCGCAGCTGCTGAACGTGGACCGCGACTTCAACGACATCGGGATGGCGTGTTTCGTCATCAAGTCCATCACAGTGCGCAACTCCCTGCCGCAAGCCAAGTCGCGCCTCGTGCTCTCTGCCTGGAACCCGCCCCCCGACTGGTCGCAGTGAGTGCTCGCCATCTACACACTCACCCCCCACTCCCTGTGACCAGTCGGGTCTGTCCTCACCTCCCCACAAGCCAAGTCGCGCCTCGTGCTCTCTGCCTGGAACCCGCCTCCGGACTGGAAGCGGTGAGTGCTTGCTGTACGCCCACGCCCACACACAATCTCACCCCAACGCGGTGTGACTAGTTGGGTCTGCCTTCCCCTCCCACCAAGCCAAGTCGCGCCTCGTGCTCTCCGCCTGGAACCCGCCCCCCGACTGGTCCCGGTGGGTGCTTTCTTGAGGGCCTCCCCCCTCGCCCTCCCCCCTGGGCTGGTCATATCTAGCTAGTAATCTTCCTGCCCTTTCAGTCGACTCAAGTCGCGCCTCATGCTCTCCGCCTGTAACCCACCCCCGGATTGGTCACGGTGATTGCCTGCCCATTGTCTCTCCCCCCTCTTTCTAGCCCCCCCCCCCTTGTCTATACTAGTTTGGTCCCAACGCCGCTCCCCAAAGCCAAGTCCGGCCTCATCCCCCTCTATGCCCCCGACATCCCTTGTTTCGTCCCACGACCCCTCTTTTGTCCTCCAGTCGTTGCATGTCTACAGGCTACAGCCATGCCATGATCCGGGTGGTGGGCAGGACAGGCAAGCCTGTCCTTGGGTCGCTTAAAAATGTCCCTCCGATTTCCCATCCCTCCTTCACCCCCCCCCGCCCCTCTCGCGTTGCAGGCATACCATGATCCGGATGGTTGGCAAGATAGGCAATCCTGTCCTTGGGTTGCTTAAAAATGTCGCTTAAAAATGTCCCTCTGATTTCCCATCCCCCTTCCCCCCCCCCCCCCTCGCCTTGCAGCCATGCCATGATTCGAGTTGTGGGCAAGATTGGCAAGCCTGTGGATGGTGTATCGCCTATTGAGACGTTCGAGGTGAGATGAAACTGTTGAGGTGAGATGAAACGCTTGAGGTGAGGTGAAACGCTTGAGGTAAGTTGAAGCTGTTGAGGTGAGATGAAACAAGCTGTTGAGGTGAGATGAAACGGTTTAGGTGAGATGACAAGTTTTGCTTGGAATTTATCATTTGCTCGTCACAGAGTAGATCTGTTGAGGTGATGTGATCTGATACATACAAAAGAATAATTTCTCATGTTATATGCATGCCTGTGTGCTTGTGCATGAGTGTATGCAGGTGGAGATCTATCCGTTGCGCATCTACCTGACAGAGCAGATGTACCGAGTGGTGTGGGACTACCTCTTTGCCAAGGAGCCCGACGAGCAGCTCAGGAAGCAGGTGGGCCTTTTGAGGCAGAGCCCCTCACGGATTGGCTGACAAAGTATCAGCAGTATGGGCTCACCAGGGCGTGAGTCGTGTGTGGCTACCTCTTTGCCAAGGAGCCCGACGAACAGCTCTTGCCAGCTCTTGCCAGCTCTTGCCAGCTCTTGCCAGCTCTTGCTACAGCCATGTGTGGATCACCTGTGTTTGTTCCCCTAATTCCCTGATTTTGCAGGGTGTTTTTGAGTTCTCAAAAACACCCTGCAAAATGTGTGGTGCACCTGTGTTTGTTCCCCTAATTCCCCTCCCTGTCATTGCAAACCACCCCTGCCATACGCCAGGAGGTGTGGGGCCCTGTGGCTCTGCCAGTGAAGCAGAAGGACAAGCGCCGCGCCACTGCTCCCGACGCCTCCTCCTCCTCTGCTGCTGGCAGTGCGGGTGGCGGCCTGCCTTCGTCAGCCACTGTTGGGGGTGCCAGTGCAGGTGGCGGTGGGAGGAAGGGAGGCGAGGAGGGTCGGCCGCTCAAGCACCAGTCGTCGGCTCCATCCTCTGCAATGGGGGTTGAGGAGATTGTAAGTCTCTCGCTTTCTCAAACCATGTCTCTCTCCTTCCCTACTCAAGTCATCTCTCTTCCCCCTCCCCCTTCCCCCCCCCCTCCCGTGCTTATGTTGGCTGCACCTTCTCCCGTGTTCTTTTGAGTCGACTCAGAAGGCATCTTCTCCCGTGTTCTCGGATACTTCCCCAAAGTTTACGAGGTGACGTTTGAGTCGACTCAAAAGTCACCTCGTTGCTTATGTTGGCTGCACTGCATCTTCTCCCTTTTTCTCAGATGTGACTTTTGAGTCGACTCAAAAGTCACCTCTTTTTCTCAGATACTTCCCCAAAGTTTTTTGGTCTTCCAGATTTCCTTTTCCTCCCACCTTCTCCTCTTGTTTCTTCCTCGTCACCATGCTTGAGGAGTCTATGTTTGAGGCGCCTCAAAATAGACTTCTGGTCTTCCAGATTTCCTTTTCCTCCCGCCTCCTCCCTTGTTTCTTCCTCGTCACCATCCTTCTTCCACCCCTTCCCACCGATGGCCTCATCCCCCACTCCTGTATCCTCAACCTCCCACCAGTGTCACTCCATGACGGACAGCATCAACTCCACTGGCTCCGCTCCCAGCTCCCTTGTGCCTTCACGTCCCCTCTCACAATCCCCTCCCCTCTCCCTCCCCCGCACCCACCTCTTTCCCCCCCTCCCCCCCACCAGCGCCAGTCCACGACTGACAGCATCAACTCCACTGGCTCTGAACCCCGATCCCTCTCTGTCTTCATGTCCCCTCTCCTGATCCCCACCCCCTCCTTTCCTGCCCTTCTTGCCCCCCCTCCCCCTCTCCATCTTCCCCCCCACCAGCGCCGCTCCACAACGGACAGCATCAACTCCACTGGCTCCGCTCCCGGCTCCTTCCCCGCCCCACTCCCCTCTCTCGTCTCCTCCTCCACCTCCCCCTTCCCTGCGTCCGCCTCGCCCTTCCACTCCTCCCTCCCCCCGACTCGCTCCCCGCTGCCCTCGTACGTTGTCAACCGCTCCCAGAGTAGCCCCACCTTCCGCGCGCACGCAAGTGTCTTCTCTGCGGATCGACACCCCAATGGCGCCGCTGCTGCTGGTGCTGGTGCTGCTGGTGCTTTTGGCGGTGATGCTGTTGGGCCGTATTTGGGTCCTGGTGATGGTGATAGTGGCCCTGCTGGAGATGCTCTCAATCCTCCTCTCGCTCACTCCTCATCTGCCCCTCTCCCCTTGCCTACCGCCTATGGTAGGGGGGGGAGTGCTGCTGGGTTGGGATACAGGGGAGGAAGGGGGGGTGCAATGGGTGGGGCAGCGGTTGGGAGGGGTGCGGGTTTGGAAGGGATACGAGAGGGGGGACGGGATGGAGGAGCGAAGGGAGAGAAGGACGTGGGGGGGGCGAGTGATAAGAAGAAGGGAAGGGATAAGAAGGAGCAGGAGGAGAGAAGGAAACTGAAAGCAGAGGAGAGGGTAGCAATGAGGGAGAGGGAGAAGAGGGAGCTGCTGGAGAAGAGGAGGGCGAGGATGGAGCAGAAGGAAGAGGAGAGGAGGAAGAAGCTCGCTCTGGAAGAGCAGAGGAGGACGAGGAGGCAGGCGGTGTACATTCAGAACCTCAAGTTTAGTCAGGTGTGTGTAGTGAGTCGAGTTTTGAGTCAGGTTTAGTTTACTCATTACACATTCATAACCTCAAGTTTAGCCAGGTGGGTGTAATGAGTCGATTTTTAAGTCCGGTGTGTGTGTTTGTCAGAACCTCAACCTACACATTCAGAACCTCAACCTACACATTCAGAACCTCAACCTACACATTCAGAACCTCAACCTACACATTCAGAACCTCAACCTACACATTCAGAACCTCAACCTACACATTCAGAACCTCAACCTACACATTCAGAACCTCAACCTACACATTCAGAACCTCAACCTACACATTCAGAACCTCAACCTACACATTCAGAACCTCAACCTACACATTCAGAACCTCAACCTACACATTCAGAACCTCAACCTACACACTCAGAACCTCAACCTACACATTCAGAACCTCAAGTTTAGCCAGGTGGGTTCCGGTATGTGTGTTTGTTTCTGTCGACACAAGAGGAGAGGAGGAAGGTGGAATTGGAGGAGCAGAGGAGGGCGAGGAGGCAAGCCGTGTGCGTTCAGAACCTCAAGTTTAGCCAGGTGGGGGGTTGCTGAGTTTTATTGTTCCGAAACGAATCACTCAGGATAGTCTGAGCCAGCGGGTGGTTAACTGTGGTGGCATGAGTCATGGATGAGGGTTCAGCGTTGTTTTCTCCCCCTCGTCGCTTCCGCTTTATCAGGTTAGGCTGCTGAGCACCTTCGAGGGCCACCCAGGATCGGTCACTCCCCTGCACTGCGTCTGCTCATGCAGGGTGTTTTTGAGAATTCTAAAAAAAAACCCCTGCGCTGTGTCTGCTCATGGACACCTTCGCCCGCAGCAAGTGCACGGGTTCTTAACCCTGTCCTCCTCCTGTCCTCTCCCTTGACTTCCCTGCTTGACTTCACCCTGTCAGGTGGAGCTGCTGATCACATATGAGGGCTACCCTGTGTCGGCGACGGACCCACGCTGCGTCTGCTCATGGACACCTTCGCCCGCACTGAGTGCACCTTGACTTCAACGCTGTCTCTCGTCCCCTCCGTCCCCCTGCCTGCCCTGCTTGACTTTTGAGGCGCCTCAAAAGACCTCCTTCCCCCTGCCTGCCCTGCTTGACTTTTGAGGCGCCTCAAAAGACCTCCTTCCCCCTGCCTGCCCTGCTTGACTTGACTCCCCATCATCAGGTGGACCTGTTGATCACCTACGAGGGCTATCCGGTGTCCGTGACAGACCTGCGTCTGCTCATGGACACCTCCACACCGAACAGACTGTTCTAATCCTTTCTCTTCTCCCCCTCGCCTCTTCCCCTTAGTCAGGTGGAGCTGTTAATCACCTACGAGGGCTATCCGGTGTCGGTCACCGATCTGCGTCTGCTCGTGGACACCTCCGCACGCACCGAATAGACTGCTCTAAGCCCTGGACCCTCCGCCTCTTCTCTTTTTCTTTTCAGGTGGAGCTGCTGATCACTTACGAGGGGTACCCAGTGTCGGTCACGGACCTGCGGCTGCTCATGGACACCTTCGCCCGCACCGAGTACACGGGCCCGTGGCGAAGGCTCTTCTCGCGCCTGCGCAAGCACGTCATCTGGGGCGTGCTCAAGTCCGTGACAGGCATGCAGGTGAGATGCACTAGTGACTGTAAGCCGCTTTGTTGCACCGAGTACACGGGCCCATGGCGAAGGCTCTTCTCGCGCCTGCGCAAGCACGTCATCTGTGGCGTGCTCAAGTCCGTGACAGGCATGCAGGTGAGGTTAGTGTGTAACTGTAACAAGCTGGCTACAGTTGAGGTACTAGTGTTATATGATTCGGGATTCTGGTCACAAGGTCATGCTCTCGAGCAATAGAGACCCCAACATGGATGGCTGTTTTGCCAACCCCGCACATCTGGTGATTTTAAACCCGGCGTCTCATTCCCCTTCTCTCTCTTTCGTTTCTCGCTTACCAACCCTGAACCCGAAACCCTAACCCCAGGGCCGCAAGTTCAAGGACGCGCACCTGCAGGGAGGCAGCAGCAGCATCACCACCACCACGCCTTCCAAATCCCAGGCAGCAGCAGCTGCAGCAGCAGCAGCAGAGATGGCTGACAGCGATAGTGACGAGGAGAGCGCACCAGCGGGGGCAACAGCCGCAGGCGCGGGGGTGGCTGGCCGGAGGATTGCGGCAGCAGGAGGGGCAGGAGCAGCAGGGGCAGGGGGGGGAGGAGGAGGCGAAGGGGGTGTTGATGCGAGCAGTGGTGGCAGTGCGGGTACAGCAGGGGGAAGGGTAGGTGCATCTGAGGCAGGTTCAGCTGTTCCTGGTGCTGCACCCACTGTTGCTGCTGCAGCTGGCAATGCGGGCATCACCAGCAGCAGCTCAGGAGAAGGTTCCTTGATTTCAGGCGCAATTTCTGCTGCTGGTGCTACTGGTGCTCCCACTGCCACTCCTGCTGCTGCGGCAGGTGCTGCTCCAGGTGCTACTACCCCTGGCTTGGTTGGCAGCAGCAGCACAGCTGCAGCAGGAGCTGCAACTGCGTCTGCCACTGCTGCTGCTGGTGCTAGTGGTAATGCTAGTGCAGGTAATGTGGCTACCGCTGCCAGTCCTCTGAACGCCCTGCCAGTGGCAGGAGGCGGGGCGTCGATGCTGCTGGCACGGCTGGGCAACAAGGGCGAGCGCATGGGGGATGGGTTTGTGTCGTCGGTGAAAGGGTTGTTTAAAGACCAGCTGGGACGGGCGAAGCAGGTGCTCAAGAGCCGAGAGCAGCAGCAGCAGCAGCAGCCGCATCACCACCATCACCACCACCATCGGCATCATCAGCACCACCAGCCACAGGAGAGCAGTGGCGGTTTGGGGAGTGTGGAGGAGGGTACGGGTAGTGAAGGGGTGGTGGTGAAAGGAGAGGGGAGTGGGGAGTCTCAGGTGGTGCAGACAGGGAGTGGGGAGGAGGAGAGGGAGAGGGAGAGGGAGAGGGAGAAGGAGAGGGAGAAGGAGAGGGGGATGAGCTCACTGGTGGCGAAGGGGCAGGCTCTGGTGCCGAAATTGTGGACGCCTAAACAGACTGCAGGTATGTGAGGGGTGGGGTTGGGAGGGGATACAAGGGGCCGGCTTGTGAGGAGGAAGGGTTTTGGGTGGCAGATTCGGGAGCATCAGAGCGTAGTGCAGGAGGGCGGGTTGAGGGAAGGAGGCTTCTTATGAGGGTGGTTGGAAATGGAGAGTTTTTGGGATCAGGAGGACAGGTGTCCATATTTGTTTGTCTTGCTGTCCCTGTTCTTATCGGCCTTCCTTCTTCGGTATGGATTCCTTATGGTGTCTGTGTTTTTTTCCCCTTTCTGTTGCCATTGATGTTGCACTGATGAAGCTACGCCAGAGCAATCGGAAGATGGTGTTGCTTTGTCCAAGACAACCTCGGCAGTATCGGATTCAGCAAGTTGAGCTATTGTGGTACCGAGAAAAGCACGTCGTGATGGCTATCACTCTAATATACGACTCACTAGAGCATTGTTGCAAGAATCATTGGCTAATCAGAATCAGAGAACCGGTACCTGCGTGACTAAGCCACCTTTGATGTTGGTGGATACCACTTCGGATATTATGCGATTCCCAGCTTTCTCAATATACCCATGTTTTCTAGACGCAGCGCGTTGTAGCGGAGATCGAAAGGAGTATGCACAAACAATTGCCGCTTTGCTGTGCTTCACGACTGAAATCAGATGTCGAGCACGAAACTGATGCTCTTCGATTGGCAAATCTGTGTAGCAGCATTGATCGGCAAATCTAGCATCCATTGATCAACAGGAGCTGGTAGACAGATCCATTGGCTGATCACTCGTTTGTCATGGCTGCTAACGCTAAAGGCCAAGTCCGTAAGCCGCTTCTCAAGATTTCGCCGTTGTCGTAGCTCCGTGGCTTACGTTGTTTCTAGTCTTGTTGGCAGGCTGATCTGTTGGACTGCATACAATGGCCGTCAGTGGAGTGCCTGAATGCAAAGCCTGGGAAGGATGTAGATAATGCACTCAAGCAGGTCGGTTTCACTAGTCCGCTTCGACGGTCCTGAAGTACTTTAACTGTTTCGCCTCGAGACGCACTTTTTAAGTGAACTCCCTTTCAACGATCTCAGGGATACAGAGAAGATGATGGCTTGGTCTTGGAGAGCGATGTCGATGAGCAACTATTAGTTTACATTCCATTCAACCAAGTTGTGAAGCTTCATTCGATTGTGATCAAGGGTCCTGAAGAAGAAGGTACGAATCTTTCGAGTACGTGATTGAGCTCTTCTCCAATCATTCAGCCAAGTTCATTCACCATTCTGGCGCTCGCAGGACCCAAATGCATCAAGCTTTTTGCTAATAGGCCTAACATGGGCTTCAGGTACGTTGCGGAATCCTTTCCGTTTTCCCTCTGGATTCATCATCGTGTAAATGAAGTCTGAGAAGGATGCCTCGTATGACGCAGTAATGTGAGCGATATACCACCGAGTGACACCATCAATCTCACAGCTGATCAGGTTCAGGTGAGGCGAAGATTAACGTCCAGCATGAAATGTTAACTAGTTTGCTGATTTTGGGATCACCACCACCATCAGTGTGTTTTCTATATTGCAGGAAGAAAAGGCGACACCCCTGAAATACGTGAAATTCCAAAACGTCAGAAGGTATCATCAGATGGATCTCCACGTCTCGCAACTAAGTTTCATCTCATAGCTCCACGCTTTCAGCTCCAACTTATACTCCGTCTTCCGTTTTGCAGCCTTACGATATTCATTGAGAGCAACCAGTCGGGTGATGATGTGACTAAAGTTCAGAAGTTGGCGATACTCGGAAGCACGTGAGTGGCCAAGCCCTTCCTCTCCCCCCCCCCCCAGGCCTTGCCCTGCTTCTCGTCTCGCTCTCTTGCTCGTCGACGTGCCTCTGCTATTCTCATCGTTTAACCACTCTCCCTAATTTTGCAGGGTTGAGACAACCAATATGAAAGACTTAAAGAAGATTGATGATAAACAAGGCTGAAGTGGGCACCACGGAGTCACGGGCAGACTAGACCTTATGCATGTTAGCAGATGCAGGCCTTCGAGTATGAAAACTGAGGAAGTTGAAATTTTTTAAAACATCAGTGCCTGTACATAGAATGAGTAGCAGCGCAAGGCCTGGCTGTCTGAAGAGGTGCCTTATGAACTAATGTCACACCTAATTCCGAGGATGACAACCTTGTGACCTAATGTCACTCACCTGCCTCCGAGGATGACTAACTTGTGAACTGATGTCACTTACCTAGCACCGAGGATGACGAATTTATGAACTAATGTCACTTCAGTAAATCTGTTGACTGGCGCTTAGAGTACTTAGAATATTCAGCCAATTTTCCTGTCTTGATTAGGCCAATCCCAGTTTGACGAGTATTCTATCTTGTCACCCGTGTATTTCTCCCCGTTCTTTTACACCAGGTTTGTCTGTTCATTGCTGATCATTGCCTTGCGAGTATCCTTGAGACGGCAAACAGTAACTACATTGCAGTATCAAATTACAAGTCTGGCGCAGGGTATGAACTATACAGCTAGCTAGTACTCCTCGTTCTCATCATCACCAGGCTCAGTGGAGTCAGCACCGACTTCCTCATAATCCTTCTCCAGCGCAGCCAGATCCTCGCGGGCCTCAGAGAACTCGCCCTCCTCCATACCCTCACCGACATACCAGTGGACGAACGCACGCTTCGCGTACATGAGATCGAACTTGTGGTCGATACGGCTGAACACCTCGGCCACGGAGGTCGAGTTGGAGATCATGCACACGGCACGCTGCACCTTGGCGAGATCGCCACCAGGCACCACGGTGGGGGGCTGGTAGTTGATGCCGCACTTGAAGCCGGTAGGACACCAGTCGACGAACTGGATGGTCCTCTTGGTCTTGATGGTAGCAACGGCAGCGTTGACATCCTTGGGAACAACGTCACCGCGGAACATGAGGCAGCAGGCCATATACTTGCCGTGGCGAGGATCGCACTTGGCCATCATGCTGGAAGGCTCGAACGCGCTGTTGGTGATCTCAGCCACGGACAGCTGCTCGTGGTACGCCTTCTCGGCAGAGATGACCGGCGCGTACGAAGAAAGCATGAAGTGGATGCGAGGGTAGGGCACCAGGTTAGTCTGGAACTCCGTAACGTCGACGTTGAGGGCTCCGTCGAAGCGGAGGGAGGCAGTCAGGGAAGAGATGACCTGAGACACGAGGCGGTTCAGGTTGGTGTAGGTGGGACGCTCGATGTCCAGGGAGCGGCGGCAGATGTCGTAGATAGCCTCGTTGTCGAGGAGAACGGCGACATCTGTGTGCTCCAGCAGGGAGTGGGTGGAGAGCACGGAGTTGTAGGGCTCAACCACGGAGGTCGACACCTGAGGAGAGGGGTAGACCGTGAAGCCGAGCTTAGACTTCTTGCCGTAGTCGACGGACAGACGCTCCAGGAGGAGGGAGCCGAGACCGGAGCCGGTACCACCGCCGACGGCGTTGAAGACCAGGAAGCCCTGGAGACCAGTGCAGTTGTCGGCGAGCTTGCGGATGCGGTCCAGGCACAGGTCAACAATCTCCTTGCCAACTGCCAGAAGGAAAAAAGGCTTAACATCAGTAAGATGGTTATTTTAACAAAATAACATGTCGATCAGTAAGGTTATATGCAATTGGACTAAATCGAGAAAACGAGAAATAATCACTTACTGGTATAGTGACCACGGGCAAAGTTATTGGCAGCATCTTCCTTGCCGGAAATGAGCTGCTCGGGGTGGAAGAGCTGCCTGTAGGCACCGGTCCTGACTTCGTCAATCACAGTGGGCTCCAGATCCAGGAACACAGCGCGGGGGACGTGCTTGCCAGCGCCAGTCTCGCTGAAGAAGGTGTTGAAGGCGTCGTCGCCTCCTCCGCAGGTCTTCTCGCCGGTCATAAGCTGGCCATCAGGCTGGATGCCATGCTCCAGGCAGTAGAGCTCCCAGCAGGCGTTGCCGACCTGAATACCGGCCTGGCCGATGTGGACAGAGATGCACTCACGCATGATGGCGAAGTTGCTAAGACAAAAACAAAAAGAAGGCTAGGAAAGCTAGAAGGCTTGAAGGCGGACAGCGCTAAGGCTCTCGTGTGACGATATCAGGTCGTCAACACTCGATGCGTGAGATCGGAACGGCTTCAGCGAAGGTTATATAATCGCTGTCACAGCTAAGCCAGCAGGCACTGGGAGCTTGGCTGAGCTCATCCACCTGACAGGCTTGTGTGCCTGAGATCTGAATTCAGGGAACGAGCCTGCCTGGTTTGGTGAATTCCGAGCGCCACAGGGCGGGACAATCCCCAAGGCAGAGCCGTGCGAAACCTTCCCAAGGTGGACAGATCCCAAAGCTTGTGAGCTTCGGGCTGTGCCGAAGCTGGTCCTCACCAAACTCAATGTGGTCCTCTGAAGTTGCCAAGCACGAACCGCGGGGATAACGCGGGAACGAGCTGACATGTGTCAGGCACTACGGCGCGAGGAATTCCATGCACAGGCCAAGTGGCGGGGCAACCGCATTCGCCAGGGCCGTGCAACGGAAAGATCAAGGTTGTCTGGGAGCTCATTGGGTATTGGCTCGGCTCTGTTCGCTGGCGGGAAACTTCTTTTATTAACTTCCCCGAGGGGTCTACAACTACGTTGATCTTTCAAATATTTCATCAATATCATGATTTTCCTAATGTACATCATTTTTATATTGTTGCTTTCAAATTTAGGGTTAGGTTTTAGGTGGGTTTTATTCTCCAGCATGTGAACAACCACGCGTCACAAATTTTATTCCTTCATGGTCCAACATAGTGACACATGAGCAACCGCGCGTCTATGATGTGCTAAATGTTACCCCTTTTTTTGTTGCATGTTTGGGTACATTATAGAAGGGATGCGCTATGAATCAATTATGTTTGGTAAAATTCAAAGCTTTACTACCGCAAGCTGTCGCATGGTGCTTCTGATTACTACCATCGTCACATGCACCATGCGTTACATTCTCATGTGCTACAAATGTTTAGAAGAGTGACCCCTTCATCAGGGTTCTCTTTTGGAAAAAAGCGTGTCTGAGTAATCAAATACGTTTTGCGCACTTTGTCTGATGCGCTTTTTCAGGATCAGAGAATTTTTGAAAAACTTGTCTGATTTTCCAGAGAATTTGAGAATCTTTGTCTGAAAATACAGAGAAATTCTACTGCATAGTCTGTTATTGTGTGTGACAATAGAAGATACAGTTTAGCAATTTGATTAAATTAGTACTACTTGCAAGTTACAAACGAACGAGCATGCAGGCAGATGACCATTCCCTCCCTCCCTACATTTACGGTACCTACTCCTCATCATCATCAAATTCCGCCAGCTCCTCCTCTACCTCCTCCTCCACCTCCTCTTCCACCTCTCCTTCCTCCAGCCCATACTCCTCAACCACAGCCATCCCCTTCCACTTCCTGATCTGAGCCTCGAGCTCAGCGACCTTCCTTCTCTTCTTTGCCTCGGCCTTGCTCTTCTTCTTCCTGGACATTGGGGCAAGAATGGGGGCAATTGCATCTTGGCTAGGCCGCCTTGGCTTGGCGGCCTTCCACATGTCAACGATCTCATCCCACTTCATGTCGTAATCCTGCAGGAGGGAGATGCACACAAGGTCGCCCAAGCGGGCATCACAGAAGTTGCCCCAAGACCAGCTCTTAAGACGTTATGGCGGGAAAATCCCCGCTCGCACTCCACCGTGCTCAACGGGAGCACGGCAGTTGCCACCCAAATCTTAACAAGATTGGGATAGGCATCTTCCCAGTCGCGTGTCCCCAGCATGTGCCGCAGGCTGACGTGGTACGCCATCTCCCCGTGATGCGCGTCCATGATGTTGACGAATGAGGCCAGCTCTGCCTTGGCGCGCTTCCAACTAACGCCTGGGAGGGGGAGGGGGGGGGACATTGCGAGGGGAGGGAATCAACAAAGTATGAGTATAACGCATGGCATCGCACTTAGATAACAGGCACACTGAGTAAACATTAGAAGGGTAATCCAGAAAAGCACTTGGAAAAGTATGTTGGTTTAGAGAACTTACCAGGCAGGGGCTTGTTGTTGAATAACTTTTTCAGAAGCGCCAGCCACTCAAGCGCTTTCTTCTCGCGGTCCGATCACGCAGTGGGATAGGCGCTTGAGAGAAAAAGCTTGGTTCCTCCGAGCTGCTGCAGGTCGCTGAACCTTGACTCGATGCAGTCGATCGTCTCTTGGGCCATGGCACGGCACAACACGATGCAAGACTTCTTGTCGCTCTTGAACTCCGAGTCCAAAATCGACTTCGTGTGAAGGATGTACTCGTGGCGGACCGGCTCGCCATCCTTCGCCTCCCCCTCGACGACCACACGACCTTCAGGCTCATGGGATGTCAAGAACTTGTGCAGGTGCTTGCTTCTGGGGCCGCCAAAAGAAGAGTCGCAGTTGATGTACCGTGCGCGAATCACCTCGGTGGTGCTCTGCACCATGCTTCCCACCCTGGCGATGTCGACCTGCAAGTAGCACGAGAAAATCACATAGCCAAGGCATGTTTAGCACAGCATAGAACATGCATGTGCGCGATCGAAAGTATGTGCGCGATCTGAAGCGTTAGCGTATACGTTACCTGGCGTTGCTGAAACTTCTTGTTAAGCCGGTTGAGCTCTGTCAGCAGGTCGGCAAGGAAGAAGAGGCAGAAGTGGAATTTATAGCCCCTTGCAACCTCGTATGAATCCCGGTCGTACTTGTGCAGCAGCAAGATGGCGGCGGGAAGAACTGCGACCAAGCGGAGTATTGCCTCCGTGTGTGAAAGCCAGCGGATAGCGAAGATAGACCGCATCTCCAGGAAGGTCTTCATCAGGATCTCTTGCAGCTCTCAGAAGCGGTCGTGCCACACTGAGGAGCGTCCCAAAATCTCGGCCAGCATCCTGATGATGTCGTCGATCATGTTGAAGTCGGGAAACTTCTTGGCAGTGTCCTTAGCTGCCAAAGCCTCCCTATTGAAACACGGAACATCATACATCAGAACCAGGAAACATAAATCAGAACTAGTCGATGAAGTCGGGAAACCTGCCAAGGAAGTGGTGCTGCACTACGCCTCACCTGTGAGCAATGCAGTGAGCAGAGACGAGGTGCGGCACGAGCTGCCGAAGGCGGGTGACCAGACCCTGTCGATCCCCCCTCATGACGCTGGCCCCATCCGTACTGATGCCTGAAACCTTATTGATGTCGACACATGCCGATTCGAGATGGGTCTGCAAAACGGCTAAGAGGGATCCAGCATCGCACTTATGCACAGTGAGTAAGGCAAAGAACTCAGTGACAACCCTGTCATTCTTCACGAATGTCACGTAGACAATTAAGTGCTTGCCGCGCCGTCGATCGGTACCTTCGTTGACGCTGAGACCGATGAAATGACTCTTTAGGATGTGCTCGAGCAGCTTCTGCCGAAGGTAATTCGCCGTCGCCTCTGTCAGCTGTCTGAATCCGTACCTGCAACACATGGCAAGCAACGAGAAGCATTAGATGACTCTAGCGGTTCGAACAATGGGAGATTTGCGAAATCCAAAAAACTTACTCTGTGTGGTAGGTGCCGTAGTCGCTCTCACCCAAGTCCGGTTTCCAAGCGAACCGCCGACGATGGTGTGGGCGACTGCAAGGGCTGAGGCAAGGACGGACTGGACGAACGCGCAGGCGACAAAAGGGGGGATGCTAGTGGCACGGGCCATGGCGAGGGCTCGGCTGAGGAAGGTGCAAGCATAGGGTCAATAGCGGCTGGGCGACGGGAGGTATCTGCAGCAAGGGTGCGCGACAGCTTTGAACGCAGGAAGTCTAGGCCTCGCATGGGAGGCGGGGATTCACTACACCCTTCTGGCTGATCGTCGCCGTCAGCCTCGACAACGACAACCATGTTGGCCCTACTTCGAGAGGGGATTCTAAACCTGAAACAGAACACGAGCAAGATAACATGACGCCCGACAACAACACTAGAACGTAAGAGGAGTGGGTAGAAGAGACAGGTGGAGACGAAGGGAGCAAGAAGCGGTTGGGGAGGGGGTTTCTTGGTCAAGTGCCATGGCGGCATGGACTGGCAAGTGACGAGACGACGCGTCGTGATGGGCGGGATGACGTACAGTAGTGCACGTATGCTGCAGCAAGTTCACTGCATGGGGTGAGGCATGGTCTGATCCCCACCGTGCGCTGCAAACCCAAGTAACGCACCGCAAAGGCCTCTGACTGGTCTACTTTTCTGCAATACCGTAAAGTATCCAATCACATGTGCTCTAGCCACATCAGATGTTGCGACAGAAGGCTCGGGAAGGCTCACATATGCCAAGGATGTGGAGGGGGGACAACGTGTGGCGACGCGAAAAAGGGAATATTCGCATGGGAGCACCTTACACCTGCATGTCTTTGTTTCAGAGAAACTCAAAACACTTGTCTAAAAATAAGAGAAACTGGTACACCCAGTCTGAAAATTTCAGAGAAATCTTAAAAGTTTGTCTAGTCCAATCAGAGTTTTTGAAAGCCCCTGTCTGAAAAATCAGAGAAACCCCAAAAAACCAGTATGAAAATCAGACCATCAGACAAAAAAAGTCTGCTATTTAGGACCCTGCCCTTCATGTGCTTAATGTATTCGGACATTTCAGAGGCTCAGTTTATCGAGGACGGTTGGGATGCGTACGACTGGAAACACACATGTGATCTACGGGGGTGAAGGAGAGCTTGTAGGGACTATATGAAGGTGAGGACAAACGGATGTTTAAAGATATACCTCGGGGTCTAGAAGGGCAGAGAGGGCACACACATTGATAGGTAAGTAAAGCATGGCATGGGAAGGAGAGAAGTGTCAACTTATACATATCTGTTATATGACTAGTTATAGGCTAGATGGGTAAGTTCTCTTAGAGAGTACAATACCCAACCATATATCCCACATGTATGCCCTCCTAGAGTTTACTTCGCTATTCTAAAATGGTGTCACGCTAGGTAGGTCTCACCCACCCGCGCTTCCGCCCTAGCCCACCTTAGTCTAGCTGCGCCACGCCCTTAGAGCGCCCCGCCCTTAGCGGGATGCGCCAGGCCCTAGCGCGCCACCGCGTTGGCCCCCTGCTCGCTGCTTCGGACCTCTGCTCGCCGCGTCGGCCCCAGCTCGCAGCTGACCCCTGCTTGTCGCGCCGTCCCCTGCTCGTCGCCGGCCCCTGCTCGTAGCGCCGACCTCTACTCGTCGACGGCCCGTGCTCGCCGAGACAGCCCCTATTCGCCGCGACGGCCCCTGCTTGTCGCGCCGGCCGCTGCTCACAACGTCGGCCCAAGCTCGCCGCCGGCCCTTGCTCGTCGCGCCGGCCGTAGCTCGCCACGCCGGCCTCTGCTCGCCGCAAAACCCTAGCTCGCCGCCTACCCCTGCTTGTCGTGTCGGCCCCAGCTCGCCTCTGGTCCCTGCTCGCCGCGCCGGCCCTAGCTCGCTGCGCCGGCCTGCGCTCGCCGCGCAGGCCCCTGCTCACCGCCGGCCCCTGCCCGCTGCGCCGCGTCGATGCCATGCCGGCCTCTGCTCGCCGTCGCGCCGGCCCCTACTCCGCACCGTGCCCGACCTCTACTCTCCACTAGCCCCGGCTATACTGCTCTTCATCGCACTCCACTGCCCTCCACCGCCCTCCACCGCTCCCCACCGCACTCCACCATTCCCCACTGCACTCCACCGCTCCCCACTACACTCCACTGCTCCCCGCCGCCCAATATTGCACCCGCATGCTCACAGCTCCTCCTCCTCCTCCTCCTCCTCCTCCTCCTCCTCCTCCTCCTCCTCCTCCTCCTCCTCCTCCTCCTCCTCCTCCTCCTCCTCCTCCTCCTCCTCCTCCTCCTCCTCCTCCTCCTCCTCCTCCTATGTCCTCGGCTGCTGCAGCTGTGCTGTCGTGCGCCTCCGCTGACACGCGGGCGCCATGGCGGACACCGCCCTCCGCCTGGACGCCAAGGGCCGCGCGGTGGATTTCGAGGCGTGGCTCGCCGACTTGCGCCGCCAGCTGAAAGTTCAGTGCTAGGATGGCGAGTCTTTGGCCGTCAACGTCAACACAAAGCTGCCCTGCACTCCCGCGCCTACTGCCCTCGCTACCGATGCCTCGCCTACTACGCGTGAGGCTTCCACAACTCCTGAGACTGCTCGCTCAGTCTGGGAGTCGCGTGACGCCACTGCGCAGCTAGCTATCAGTCACGCCCTCACGCTGTCCGAGCATCCCCGCTTTCAGGCCATAGAGACTGTAAAGGAATACCTAGATGATGTTATCTCTCGCTATTCTACTCCTTCCTCCGCCTCTACTAGTCGTCTCCTCCTGTCCTCACTCTTCCCTAACCTAGCTTCATTCCCCAATGTCGCTGATCTGGCCAACCACCTGCGTCCTCTCGAGTCCAGCTACCGCATCGCTAGCACCGAGGCTCAGCTCACTGCACTCCCCCCTCCCATCGGCGCCACTCCTTATTTCCTCGCCACGCACCTTCCTGACCACCTAGCTACCGACCGTGACACCTTCCTTAGTCTACACCTCGCTGACCTCACCATTGACGACTTTGTCACCACCCTGTCGATGATACAGACCCGCCAACCCACTATCACTCAGTCTAGCGGTACTGCGGCGGTTCCTAACTTCCAAGGGTGTGCTCCCTCCCAGTGCACTTACTCTGACACTTCCGTCACTATTGCTGAGACAGTCCCTGTCGCAGAGACCGCTGAGGCGGCCTCAACGTAGTCTGCTTGCTTCTTCTGGATCAGATAGGATCTGCTGTGTATGCTATGTATGCTCATCACAATAGTGTTACTGGACCCTATTACTCTGCTGTGCGTAGACTAGGAGCTTCTGCTATCTGTGGTCTAGGCATCCCTGTTGCGGCAGGCGTAGGACCAGTCAACCAATGTGTAGGACCTCCTGACATGTGTAGCCTTCGTTCCACACTTACACCCCGCCGCCCAACACTACCGCCGCGCTCTCCTTTACGATGGACTCTGGTGCATCTGCTTGCTTCTTCTGCGAACACACCACTCTCATGCCGCTTCCAGCACTGGCAGCAGCATCCCTTGCAAACCCCTTTTCCGGTCCGGTAATCGCACGCAGCTCCACCACACTTATGTGTCTGGCGGTTCCCTCTGGCTCCCTTACAGGTCTGCACATCCCCTCGTTTTCCAGGAACTTGGTTGGTGTAGGCCGTCTTCAGGACCTTAGCGTCACCACAACATTTCCTGGACACGAGCGGTACGCAGTCTATACTGAGGCCACCACTGGTGCTCCCCTCACCACGTTTCCCTGGGATCCGGTATCTAGCCTATTCATGCTGCACACCACGTCTCCCAAGTGGCTGTGTCCCCCCAGGTGGTTGCATCCCCGCAGGTCGCTGCAGCTTGCTCATGTGGATCACACACTCACCTGTCGTTAATCTGGCACCACCGTCTGGGTCACCTCGCTCTCCCGCGTCTCCGTCACATGTCCTAGCACGGTCTTGTCTCAGGTCTCCCTGTGTCGCTCCCTGCCCTCCCTCCATCGCCCGTGCCTCCGTGCACGCCTTGCATCGAGGGCCGGCAGTACACTTCACCTCACTCCTCCTCGTTTCCCCCCACCACAGTGCCGCTTCAGACCCTGCACCTGGACGTCTGGGGCCCAGCCCGGTCCCTGGGCCGCGCCACGAGCACTACTTCCTTGGTCTTGTGGACAACTACTCGCGCTACACCATGGTGTTTCCCCTAGAGCGGAAGGCCGACGTGCCTGACATTCTTATCTCGTGGCTTGGAGCTGCCCGAGTCCACCGTGCCCAGCCTGTGCTTCGTCTCCACTCCGACCGTGGGGGCGAATTTGCCTCCAGATGGTTTGGCCAGTTTTGTCGTGCGGAGGGCATCACCCAGTCGTACATACTCACGGACTCCCCATAACATAATGGGATTGCTGAGCGACGCATCGGTTTGGTCATGGAGGTGGCTCGAGCCTCCATGATCCATGCCGGTGCACCCCATTTTCTGTAGCCGTCTGCGGTTCGCTACACCGCCCACCAGCTTGACCTGTAGCCCCGTGTTTCGCGCCCGCAGGTTTCGGTGACCCTCCTCTAGACCGGATCCCCTGGTGACGTGCTTGCGTTTCACATCTGGGGCTGCCTAGCTCACGTCCGCGTCTTTCGCGCGGACAAGCTCACGGCCCGCAATACCCCTTGTGTCTTCCTTAGTTTCCCCCTTGACGCTCCTGACTGGCACTTTTACCATCCGTTGTCTCACCGTTTCCTGCACTCGCGTGCTGTCACCTTTGACAAGTCTGTCTCCTTCTACACCCGCTTCTCGCACTGAGGCCTCCCTGTTACCCCACCCCTGTTACCCCATCCCTGTTACCCCACCGTTGTCCCCACTCCCCTGGTAGCTCCCGCTCCCCTCCCTCCCCATCCTGTCCCGTCTGGTGTGTCTCACGTCACTCCCCTCCCATCGGTTGGCCCGGCGGAGGAGTTTGCTGACTCCGGGGGTCCGAGGGCTCCGGGTGCGCTGCCTGTTTTTGTGGTGCCTGCAACCCCGGCCTCGGTGCCTCCGCCACCCCAGCAGTAGCAGCAGTCGCCGCCCCCGCAGCAGCAACAGTAGCCGCCGCAGCAGCAGGGGCTGGTGGGCTTTGGGGGTGTTGGCGCTGGGGGTGCTAGTTCTGGGGATGCTAGTCCTGGGGGTGCTGGTCCTGGAGGTGCTATCTCGGTGAGTACCGGTGGTAGCTGTGATGGGGCTGGAGGTCTTGGTGTGTGCACGGAACAGCAGCAGCAGCCGCCGCAGCAGAAGCAGCAACCGCCGCAGCAGCAGCAGGTAGTGTCCGCCCTTTGCCTTCTCGGTCTTCCCTCCGCCTCCCCTGACCGACGGCCCGCGCCTCCCCCGACACCGCCTCTTCCTCCTGTCTACGGCCCCATGTTCCCTCTGCCGGACTCGTCTCTGGCTCATTTCCCCACTCGTTCTCCTCCTGTGTCTCCTCCTTTGTCTCCTGACCTGACACCTCCCTCCCACTTTTGGTCTCACCATCCCTCCCGTGCTAGCCTCGTCTCTCCCGTTCTGAGTGTCCACCCTATGTTTCTCCATTCTCACGCGGCTTGTGCTCCTACCGCTCCTGTTCTTCTGTCGCCTCCTCCGTCATCCCACTCTATCTCCTCCCCTCTCCGACCTCCTCCATGGTGCTCGCCCTCTTGTTCCTCGTGTCCTAGCCTCTCTTGCTACCGACCCTTCCATTCCTGTATCCACTCTCTCGGCTCTTGTTGCTGCCACCGCTGACTTTGCCTTTACCCGTCACCTTGACTATGCCACTACTCTGGTCTCTGAATTGTCCGTCCTCCGTCCGTCAGGGGTGCGCCTGCCCGTGGCAGGGACGTCCTAGAGGACAAGCAGTACGAGCTAGCTTTCCTTGCGGAGGCCGCTCCTCATCTCTGATCCATGTTGCTAGGCCCTGAGCGTGACCCAGACGCTCTTGACATCCTGACCCCTCGCACCTACGCTGAGGCAACTACGGGACCCTAAGCCTCTAACTGGATAATTGCAATGGACGCAGAGATGGCATCTTGGAGATCCACCTGCACGTGCGTCGATGCAGTTCCCCCACCTGGGGCGAACGTAGTCGATGGCCGGTGGCTCTTCAAGGTGAAGCGCCCGCCTGGAGAGCTGGCAGTGTTCAAGGCGCGCTACGTTCCTAGAAGCTTCAGCCAGTGCGAGGGGGTGGACTTCTTCCAGACCTTTGTCCCTACCCCAAAGATGACCACTCTTCAGGCGCTGTTTTACGTAGCAGCATAGCGTCACTATGAGCTCCACTCACTTGACTTCTCCAGTGCATTCCTCTAGGGCCGCCTGCACGAGCAGATCTACATGCGCCGTCCGCCAAGCTGCGCTGGCTCTTTCCCTCTTGGGACCCAATGGTTCCTCCGGCGCCTGGTCTACGGTTTGCGGCAGGCGCCCCGTGAGTGGCACGACGCGCTGCGTGCTACACTAGCGGACCTCCAGTTCTTTCCGTCCTCTGCTGACCCGTTTCTTTTCGTTCGCTCTAGCCAAACTCCGTTCTACATCCTAGTCTACGTAGATGACCTGGTCTTCACTACTGCAGACAGAGACGCGCTGGCCTCGGTGAAGGCTGAGCTGATAAGAAGACACATCTGCACTGACCTAGGAGAGTTGCGCCACTACCTCGGGCTGCAGATCTCCAGGAACAGAGCAGCGCGCTGCATTACTCTCTCACAGACAGACTTGGTGCTTCAGGTCCTTCAGAGGTTCGGCCTTCAGTTCTCCTCCGCATAGCCCACCACTCTGCTTGTCGATCACAGGCTCTCGGCTCCAGTCCTTGACGAGCCGGTCGAGCCTAGTGGTCAGTACGCAGAGCTTGTGGGCTGCCTTATGTATCCTCACACGCTTTGTTGCGATAGGCAGACACCAACCTCAGCACAGGTCGGCTGCCAAGAGGGTGTTACAATATCTGGCGAGTACATTAGGTATGGGGCTAGTACTGGGAGGACGGAGGCCAGTGGTTCTCATAGGACACGCAGACAATCCGTGGGCAGACGGCGCTGAAATGCTCAGGTCCTCTCAGGGCTACTGCTTTAGCCTTGGTGCAGGCGCTACTCTATCTCGTGGAGGTCCACCCGCTCATTGTCTGTCGCACAGTCCAGCTGTGAGGCTGAGATCTTTGCTGGTGCCATGTTGGCACTGTAGCTCCGCTGGCTGAAATTCTTGCTCACTTACTTAGGTGAGTGGCCTAGCTCTGCCCTGGTCCTGTACGCTAACAACAGGGCCATGATCCTCCTATGTCCGGAGGCTCAACTAAAGGGCAGAGCGAAGCATATCCAACTGCGGTACTTCCTCATGCGCGAGCTACAGCAACATAGCCATGCAGCGAGCCAGCTAGCACGCTCGCCAGCACGGTACGCTAGCTAGCTAGCCACCAGTAGCACTAGACAGCTCGCCACCAGCCGAGCTCGCCAGCGCACCGCCAACAAAGTTCGCCAGCTTGACGCCAGCAGAACTCGCTAGCTCGCCGCGAGCAGAGCTCGCCCGCTCGCCGCTAGTCGGACTCGCCAGCTAGTAGCCAACAGCGTCCGCCAGCTCGCCGCCAGCATTTGCTGATAGCTAGTCGACAAGACAGCCGCCGCCACTGTAGCCGCCACTGCTGCTGCCTGTGGCACTCCCACTGCCGCCTCTACTGCAGCCACTGCCACTACCGCAACCGCTGGAGCCACGGCCGCAACCGTTGCAACCACTGCCGCTGCTGCAGCCGCCGCTGCCACTGCAGCCACTGCCATTGCCACCACCGCCGCTGCCACTACAGCAGCTGCTGCCGCCACTGCCACTCCGCCTTTGCCGCTGCAGTTGCGCTGCCACCTCTACCACTGCTACAGCCGCTACCGCCACCGCCGCTGCCTCTGCTGCTACAGCTGCCAGATACAGCTGCCACTGCCGCCGCTGCCCTTCCAACCACCACTGTCGCCGCTGCCCTTGCAGCTGCTGCTAACATCGCTGCCCTTGCAGCCGCCACAGCCGCCACTGCCGCCGCTGCCACTGTTGTAGCTGCTGCCACTGCCGCTGCCGCCGTTTGCACTACCACAGCTTGTGCTGCCGCCACTGCCACTGCAGCCCCTGCCGCTCCCGCCACTGCCGCTGCCGCTTCAACTGACAGCTGCAGTCGCCACTGCCGCCGCTGCCCGTGCAGCTGCCACTGCCGCCACTGCCCTTACAGCTGCTGCTGCCACAGCTACCCTTGCAGCTGCAACTGCCACCATTGCCGCCACTGCCCTTGCAGCTGCCGCTCCAGCCGCTGCCGCCGCTGCCGCTGCAGCCGCCGCTGCCACTCATGTCACCGTCAGCCGCTAGCTGCCACCACTCGTGGCCCGCCACCGACCACTAGCCGCCAGCGGCAGTCGGCCGTCAGCCGCCAGTCGCCAGTCGCGAGTCGGCCGCCAGCTACCAGTCGCCAATTGGCAGCCAGCCTCGTGAGTCCCCTGTGCCTTGTGGACTATCATTCGCCCAGTGCCGCCAGTCCTAGTGACTCCTAGCTAGCTCCTTGGCGTGCTGTTCCTAGTAGCTCCTCTTGCACATACTTCCTCCTCGTTTGCTCCCTACTCCTCTTTGCATTTCCTAGCTTCCCGCCAGCCGCTCATAAGCCGCTGTCCACCGATCCCAGCTTGCCGCCTCTTGCTACCAGCCCACCGCCAACTAGCGCCACTTCCGTCTTAGTGTCACTCGCTCCTGCTATCGTCAGCCTACCGCTAGTCACTGCTACTAATAGCCTCCTGCTCACTGCTACTAATAGCCTCCTGCTCGCTGCCACTGCTCCGGCCACAGCCGCCACTGCTACTACCTCTGCTAGTGATTTTGTAGCACCTAGTGCCTCCCACTAGTTTCCTCCTCATTTCTAGAGTTCCTCGATGCCTCTCCATTCGGCATAATGGCCTCGTTCGGGTCAGTCCCTCGGCCAGACCGCTTCGACATTCTCCGACGAGAATGATTCTACGTCAAGTTATCCAAGAGCGAATTCGCCCTCGAGAAAGTCCAATTCTGAGGACACATGGTGAGCGCTCAAGGAGTTCACATCGACCCCAAGAAAATCGAAGCCGTACGCACAAGACACCCGGGAACGAGAAGGAGTTGCAGCAGTTCCTAGGCTTCGCTAACTACTACAACAGGTTCGTGCCACAGTACACGAAAATCGCAACGGTCCACGTCGAATCTGCTGAAGAAGAACACGCCCTATAAGTGGGAACCAAAATATCAGGAAGCGGTGGAGCAGCTAAAACATGCACTCACGTCCGCACCCGTACTCATCTTGCCAGACCCCGAATGTGACTACATCATTGAAGCTGACGCCAGTGACCAGGCAGTGGGAGCAGACTTGATGCAAGACCAGGGGAATGGACTGCAACCAATTGCCTACCTCAGTAAGAAACTACACGGGGCATAACTAAACTACCCGATACACGACAACGAGGCCCTTGCTATTATCATCGCCTTCAAAACGTGGAGATGTTATCTCGAAGGACAACAAAGAACCGTCTACACCGACCACTGCAGCCTGAAATATCTGAAGACACAACCAAACCTCTCCACGCGGCAGGTCCGATGGATTAAATTCCTTGAGACGCACTTCCACTTCGACATCGTGTACAAGCTCGACCACAAAAACAAAGCAGACGCTCTCAGTCGGCCTGCACACGTTGCTGCAATCCAGGTCGAAGGGATGAACCCACTTCTCAAGGGTCTCTTCACACACGGGTACGCCATCAACCCCGAAATTCCTTTGGCATAAAAACGATACCTGGTACAGTGGAACGGTGACATCGCATACCGGAAGGGATTAACAAAAATCTGGGTACCCAATTACCCTCCTTTGCGCCAGTTACTACTCGAAGAATACCACGATGTCCTATACGCGGGACACTTCGATAGCAACAAAACACTCATCGGTATTGCAAAGCACTACTACTGGGCCCACATGGCAGCCGACGTCCAACAATTCGTCACTTCGTGTGCTATATGTCAGCGGATGAAGAGCAGCAAGCAGAAAAAAGTAGGAATGCTATAGCCTCTTCCTGTCCCAGAACAACCATGGCAAGTGGTTAGCCTAGATTTCATCACTGGGTTACCAACTACCACTAGCGGTCATGACGCAATCCTCATCGTCATCGACAAATTCTCCAAAATAGGACACTTCATCCCGACACACACGACAGTACGCACCGAAGAAACAGCACAACTATTTGTTCGCTACATCATCTCACAACATGGCATTCCAACCACACTCATCTCCGACCGAGACCCCAAGTTCACCAGCAAATTCTGGAAGGAACTAATGTTTCTGCTCAGGACCAAACTCACCATGTCATCTGCCTACCATCCGCAGACAGATGGACAAACCGAGCGCCTCAACCAAATTGTAGAGCAACTCCTCCGCGCAGCATGCAAAGACGAAATCTCTAAATGGGACTTGCATCTGCTCGTCCTGGAATTTGCCTACAACAACGCCACTCACGCCGCTACTAGACAGACACCGTTCTTCCTCTGCTACGGATGCCACTTGCTCTCGCCACAAAAACTGACAGCATCAACCACAGTTCAACCCGCACACGACTTCATCACGACCATGCATCAGCTTTGGGATCGGACCCACAAGCGCCTCCTCGACATTCAGCAACAACAGAAGCGCCACGCCGATCGCCACCGCACTGACCACACCATCACCGTGGGAGACCAAGTTCTACTCGACACCCGCAATATTGTTGTGTGATGTCATCATATGTTATCACATTCTGTCTGCCTCCCATCCCTTGTTTCAATTCGCACGTATGGTTTGACTGTGTGTGAAAGAATTTGTGTGGTGTGTTCTGGAGTTTGGGAATGTGTTTTGTGTTATTCTGTCTGAGCAGGTATTTGTGATAATAGATCTTGAGAAGATCTTTCCGACGCAACAAGAATCGCTTCAATCGGAGCAAGAACGCGAAAGCTATGAAGATTCAAAGTTCATGAGCTTGCGTTACAATTGCGGCGGTTACTAAGTGAAGTTGTGGGGTGACTTTATATGGAGTTGGGACCTTTGGGGTTGGGGAAACTTGTCACTCTACTGTAACAGCTGCAAATTGGTTGGGAACAACCAAGCTAGGTTGGCAAGGGTGGCCAACTTGGATGGATTGGTTGGGAAGGGACAAATGTCAAAGTTGGGGTTCCTATAGGGAGGGAATCTTTGTGCTTATGGGGTTTCCTTGGTTGGGGACTCTCTTGGGACCTTCCCTCTCATCCCTCTCTTCTATCCCAACCTTTCTCTTGCTCCTTCTAATTCCTTGTGAGATTCTTGAACTTTGATTGAACTCTTGAGATTGAGTTAAGTTCTCCTCCTACAGCTTACCCCCTAGTGCGTCGAAAGCCATAGCGTCGCGAATACTTCATCAATCAACGTGATTCAAATTGGGAACGGTAGCTGAGATCAAGAGCTACAACATATCCAAGTTTCGCGACATTCCAACGGCTAGTGTTTTGTCGACGTCGTTTCTTGTGAAGACGACTTTTCTGTCCAGAATTTCGGATTTATATTTTGAGTAATTCTAGCTCCTAAGTTCACCTAGACTCTGTCCTTAATCCTAACAAGTGGTATCAGAGCAATATTAAGGACATTGAGAGGAGTCTACAGAAGTTTGAAGACCCTTCTAGACCCACCATGGCCTGTGGGTGTGCCTAAGTGGTGTTCTAAAGGTTGGATGTGTCTTCCGCTAAGGGGAAACTCTGCCGAAATTTCGTGGACGCCGACACTTGTGAAAATATCGAGGGAGCTGAGTGTGGACAGCAAAGGGGAGCTGAAATTCGTCATTTCTCAAGGAGAAGATGAATGAGAGAGGAGGAGATGCTAATGGAAGAGGAGCTGTAGCTGAGAAGACAAGTGAGCCGCCGCCATCAAAAGTTGAAGCTTTGGATGGCTCCAACTATGAGGAATGGAGCGGACGGATGAGGAGTGCCTTCAAACGCTACAAGCTACTGAAGATTGCTGTTGGGGAAGAGAAGATGCCGGAAGAAGGCGAAGCACGTGAACGGTGGATTGAGAAAAGCACGGTGCTTTTCGACCTCATCCTTCAATCGGTCAACAAGGAGATGTTCGAGCACATCAAGGATCTTGTGGAAGCGGATGATTCGGGTCCAAGGGCGTGGAAACTACTACGCGATGTGATTCAGCCCAACACTCTCCTGATGGTGATCGTGCTCGAGAAGGAACTTGCTGCCATCTCCATGCGACCAGGGGACGATGTGAAGCCGGTCCTTGACAAGATCAAGGACACCTATGCAAGGATGGCAGCAGCGGGCAGCAGTGTATCTCAGCTGCAGCAGTGCACCAAGATCATCTCGGTGTTGGACAACTCTTGGGACAACCTCATCCCCACCCTCAACTCTCAACAAGATCAATGGACACCTGAGTGGCTAAGGCAGCAGATTCTGCAGGAGGACTTCCGCAGACGCCATGTGGGAGGCGGTGCTGCCACTAAGACTGCTGAGGGGTATGGAGCTGCAGGGCGCGGCAGAGGAAGAGGGGGTTGGAAAGGCCGAGGCCGTGGGAGGAGCTTTGGCAGAGGTAGAGGCCGAGGTGACTATAATGAGGGGCATGGGAGCTCTAGTGGCAGGGGGAGTACCAGAATGGAGGGCACCTGCTGGTACTGCAAGAAGGTCGGGCATCCTTGGTTCAAGTGCTTCAGCAGGCTGGAGGGATGGTCACCTCCAGGCATGAAGCCGCCAAGTGGTGAACGCGCACAAGGTGGCGCTGTGCAAGGCTCAGGTGCACAAGGTGAAGGTGCACAAGGTAACGCCTATCCTGGGATGTATCTCATGGTTGAGGATGTGCATGGGCATGAGGGTGATGTGGGATCTGTCGGAAAGGTTGTGATGCACCCTCTCACGCACTGGGTGATTGATTCGGGTTGCACCAGTCACATGACTCCACGGGCAGATTTGCTTGATGAGGTAAAACCCCCTGGGAAGATTAAGTATGTGGCAGCAGCGTCAGGTGCTTTGCTCCCCGTGATTGGTGTTGGGAATGCCAAGGTTAAGGGAGCTAATGGGGAGCTTGTGGGGCTTGGGAATGTTCTGCTGGTTGAAGGCTTGTCTGCTAACCTTCTCTCTGTGCGACGACTGCAGAAGAGCAAGGCCGAAGTGACCTTTGGACCAACCAGCTGCCGTGCTAAGCTTGGGAAGAAGGTGCTGTGGAGTCTGGAAGAGGAGACCAGCTGCATCAAGGACCTGTGGCAGCTGCCCATCATCCCATGGAATGGGAAGACTCCAACAGCAGCAACGGCAGCAGCGGCAAAGGCAACAGCAGGAGGAGATGCAACTGCACCAACTGATGGGGTCCTGGAAGCAGTCAAGAAAGTGCAGCAGCAGCAGACACATGGTGAGGTGCTTGCTGGTGTGGATGCAAGTGCGGCATGGGCTAAGGCTTCACCAAGGAGTGGAGAGGCCGATTGGGAGACATGGCATGAGAGGCTGTGTCATGTGAACTTCCCTATGCTGCAGAAGTTGGTGAAGGATGGGAGCCTGAAGGGCTTGGAGGTGAAAGGGGGAGTGAAGGAGATTGGGAGCTGCCCTACATGCTTGGAGACCAAGTTCTCCAAGTTCCCCTTCAACAGCACTACAGGACCAGCCAAGACCCCACTTGCACTTGTGCATATGGATGTGGTGGGGCCCACAAGAGCCCCTTCCCTCTCAGGCAGCCGCTATTTCTTGACAATTGTGGATGACCACACTCGGGCAGTGTGGGTTTACCCTTTGAAGAGCAAGGGGGAGGTGGCAGCGGCTGTCCTTAAAGAGTGGATGCCGAGAGCTCAGAGGGAATGCGGACACAAGGTGAAGGTGATCCGTAGTGACAATGGTGGGGAGTTCATTGGAGCTGATTTTGAGGGGGAGTTGAAGAGGAAGGGGATCCAGCATCAACTGACAGTGCCCTACAACCCGCAGCAGAATGGCGTGGCTGAGAGGTTCAACAGGACCCTGCAGGAGGGGGCACGCACTCTCCTTGGGCGTGCAGGGCTACCTGATCCGTTTTGGGTGTCTGCACTGAGGCAGGTCGCCCTTGTGAAGAATAGAGTGCTGGCTACAGTTGGGGATAAGGAGTGGATCCCATATACCAAGTGGTATGGGAGTGCTCCAGCTGTGAATATGCTGAGGGCATTTGGGTGCATGGTAGTGTTTCATGTGCCTAAGGAGAAAAGAGGGAAGTTGGAGGCTTCTGGAAGATGGGGTGTGCACTTGGGGATTGCAAAGGATCACAAGGGATGGCTTCTATGGGACTTGACCATCCAGAAGCTGACAGTGTCAAGGGATGTGAAGTTTCTTGAGTCCCTGTACTATAAGGAATGGAAGCAGCAGCAACAGAAGCTTCCATCTACACCACTCATTGTGGAGGCAGATGAGTTGCAGCAGCCTTCAAGGCAGGTGGAGGTTGCAGTGTCTGAGGAGGAGATATCTGGGGTGACTGAAGAAGGGGGAGCAGCTGAAGTGGAGCAGCAACAGCAACATGAGTCTCCACCTCGAGTTCCACACCCGCCTGAGCGACCTAGGAGGGATGTGCGCCCTCCTGTGAGGCTGACCTATGGGGGAAGAGGCAAGCCAAATGTGGTGCAGGCTGGGAGTGTGGTTGAGCAGATTGAGGAAGATGAGATCGCTCACTGCTACTGGGCACCAATCCCTGAGCCCAAGACTCGAGAAGAGGCCTTGAATGGACCAAATGGGGAGAAGTGGAAGGCGAGTGAGGATGAGGAGTTCGGGTCCCTAATTGAGAACGAGACATGGGACCTGTGTGACTTGCCTCCTGGAAAGAAGGCAATCACTTCCAAGATGATCTACAGGCACAAGTATGGACCTGAAGGGGAGCTGACCCGCTACAAGTCTAGGCTTGTGGCACGGGGGTTTCAGCAGACAAAGGGGAAGGACTATGATGAGGTGTTTGCTCCTGTGGGGAAAGGAACAACACTGAGGGTGCTGTTGGCGATAGCTGCACTCCTGGGATGGAAGATACGGCAGATGGACATTGTGACTGCTTTTCTGAATGGGATCATTATGGAGGAGGTGTACATGAAGCAGCCAGAGGGGCTGGATGACGGGAGCGGCAGGGTCTGCAGGCTGAAGAAGGCCATCTATGGCCTTAAGCAGGCGCCTCGTGCATGGTATCACAAGTTGGAGGAGGCGCTGTTGGCTGGGGGTTTCAAGAAGAGTGAGTGTGACCCCAGCCTGTTCCTGCTGCAGGAGAAGGATGAAATCCTCATGCTCTTGGTGTATGTGGATGATATCCTTCTCTTTTCTGCATCCACTGCTTTGCTGGACAGCGCAGAGCAGATGCTGGAGATGCAGTTCAAGTGCTCCAAGATGGGTGAGGTGAAGTACTACTTGGGGATGCACGTGGAGAGAGATGTGGAAAAGGGTGTGCTGAGGTTGCACCAGAGGAAGTACTGTGAGGGGCTGGCTGAGAAGTATGGGCTGCAAGATGGGGGAAAGCCAGCAACACCACTACCTTCAGGGTTTACTGTGGAGCCATGTGCTGATGAGGAGGTAGTGGGTGAGAGTGACAGGAAGCTGTTTCATTCGATGGTTGGGTCGCTGAATTATGCTGCAAATCATACACGGCCTGACATTGCATTTTCTACATCACGGTTGGCTAGTGTGGTCTCACGCCCTAGTCATGAGCAGCTGGAAGCGGCCAAGAGGTTGGTCCGCTATGTGAGTGCTACGGCATCAGTGGGATTGGAGTACAGTGGAGTGAGGCAGCGGTTGCAGAGAGGTGCTGCAGATGTGAAGAGTGGAGAGATGCTCTTGAGTTGCTATACTGACGCTAGCTTCAACTCAGTGAAAGCGGATGGCACCAGCATTGGGGGTTATGTGTGCTTGCTAGGAGGTGGTGCTGTGAGCTGGCGCAGCAAGAAGCAGAATGAGGTGGGATTGTCCTCATGTGAGACTGAGTACATGGCCTTACACCATGGGGCCAAGGAAGTAGTGTGGCTAAGGCGTTTGTTGGAGGAGTTGGGAGTTGGTCAGGAGGAGCCGACAGTTGTGTTCTGTGACAATGAGTCTGCTGTGAAGCTCGCCAAGAATGCTTGTCTGCATGGGCTGACAAAACACATAAGGCCTAAGTGGCACTGGGTGAGGAGACTCCTTGATAAGGAGGTGCGGCTGGAGATAGTGAAGACCCATCAGCAGGCAGCAGATATTTTCACTAAGCGTCTGGCGGAGGCGGATCATTGGAAGGGCATGAAGCTTGCTGGGATGAGTGTGCATTGAGTATGCATGCTTGAGATGTGGTATGGTCGATGATGGTTGGCAGCCAGAGGGGGAGATTGTTGTGTGATGTCATCATATGTTATCACATTCTGTCTGCCTCCCATCCCTTGTTTCAATTCGCACGTATGGTTTGACTGTGTGTGAAAGAATTTGTGTGTGGTGTGTTCTGGAGTTTGGGAATGTGTTTTGTGTTATTCTGTCTGAGCAGGTATTTGTGATAATAGATCTTGAGAAGATCTTTCCGACGCAACAAGAATCGCTTCAATCGGAGCAAGAACGCGAAAGCTATGAAGATTCAAAGTTCATGAGCTTGCGTTACAATTGCGGCGGTTACTAAGTGAAGTTGTGGGGTGACTTTATATGGAGTTGGGACCTTTGGGGTTGGGGAAACTTGTCACTCTACTGTAACAGCTGCAAATTGGTTGGGAACAACCAAGCTAGGTTGGCAAGGGTGGCCAACTTGGATGGATTGGTTGGGAAGGGACAAATGTCAAAGTTGGGGTTCCTATAGGGAGGGAATCTTTGTGCTTATGGGGTTTCCTTGGTTGGGGACTCTCTTGGGACCTTCCCTCTCATCCCTCTCTTCTATCCCAACCTTTCTCTTGCTCCTTCTAATTCCTTGTGAGATTCTTGAACTTTGATTGAACTCTTGAGATTGAGTTAAGTTCTCCTCCTACAGCTTACCCCCTAGTGCGTCGAAAGCCATAGCGTCGCGAATACTTCATCAATCAACGTGATTCAAATTGGGAACGGTAGCTGAGATCAAGAGCTACAACATATCCAAGTTTCGCGACATTCCAACGGCTAGTGTTTTGTCGACGTCGTTTCTTGTGAAGACGACTTTTCTGTCCAGAATTTCGGATTTATATTTTGAGTAATTCTAGCTCCTAAGTTCACCTAGACTCTGTCCTTAATCCTAACAAATATCAACATCAATCATCTCCCGTCTAAACTGCGACCTCGCTTCTGCGGGCCCTTTCTCGTTGAAGCACAGGTCACTCCTGTTACCTTCCGCTTACGCCTGCCAGCTACCTGGAAGATTCACAACGCCTTCCATGTCCAACTTCTGAAGCCCTATCGAGACCCTAACACGGTCTTCACCGGACGCCAACCCCTGCCGCTGCCGCTCGTCCTCGTCCATGATGAACCCGAGTACGAGGTCGCGTCCATGCTCGCACACCGCCGTCGTCGGAATGGCACCGTGGAGCTTCTCATTCGTTGGAAGGGTTATGATCCTTCTGAGGTTACTTGGGTTCCTGAATCTGAGATGGGTAACGCCCGTCGTCCTCTTCGCGAATACCTTGTCAAGCAGGGTGTTACTTCTACCACCCACCTTTGAGGGGGGGAAGTGTGAGCGTACGACCCATTACACCAATTTCCCTTTCCATATCTCCTTTCTATTTCATTCCATTTTTTCTCTCATCTCATTTGGTTTCCTATTTCTCCTATTCCATTATCCTTTGGTTTATCCTGTTATTATAATTGTATCACCGACCAGGCTCGGGATGTACTGGCGCGCTAAATCTAGCGTAATCCTGCCGTAATCCCTTAAAGCCAATAGCCTCGCGTGGCTATACGTAGGGTGATTCTATTTCTAGAAGGGTCTATTCCATTTGGATAGGATAAACTTGATTACCTGATGTACTTTGGAAGTATAAAAGCGCCTTGTATCAATCGATAGTGCAACTTTTCCTCAACACATTCGATCATGTGACACTGAGCCCGCACTTAGACTGCACGCTCATAGAGGATCACATCAGTTATCTCCTTGGCTTCAGGCTCCACGACCTCAACGTCCGCTTTCGGGCTCTCTGGCCAGTGCCGCAGCAGTAGGAGCGGCGGCAGCAACCGCAGTGGGGTCTTGGGGGTGCTGGACGAGGTGGAGGCTCTGTAGGTGCGGCCCCGGGGCAGTCGTTGTCCTGGGGCCAGTGTGGTTTCTCTGGAGGACCGGGGACCTTGGGGCATCGAGGTCTAGGTCCCGCCACTGTGTCTAGTCTAGGAGCCTCTACTCCGTGTCCCCTAGGCTCCTCCCCTGCCCCTCTGCGGCGGCCCTCTCCATGATCCTTGATTCTTTAGAGACATTAGTGCTCTCACCCTACTTCTTGCGCCTGTCTGCGTTGCCCTAGTAGACTCCTCCACCATTGCTATCGCACGTAGCACCACCACTCTCCCTTGTCCAGCTGTCTCCTCCGGCTCCCTCACTGGTCTGCACATCCCCTCGTTTGCCAGGAACCTAGTGGGTGTCAGTCACCTTCACGACCGAGGCGTCGCCACTATTTTCCCTGGCTGCGAGAGATACGCCGCTTGCACAGACACAGCCACCGGTCGGCACTTTGCCACATTTGAGCGTGACCCAGGGTCGGGTCTCTCTACAGTGCACACTGAGTCCCCGCCGACTGCTGCGTCTGCCGCGGTTGCCGCGTCCTGCTCCTCTCGCTCCATAGCCCACACGACCCTCCTGTGGCACCACCGCTTAGGTCACTCTGCACTCCCGTGTCTTAGGCACATACCCCAGCACGGTCTAGCCACTGGTCTCCCTGCGTCGCTCCCCACCCTGCCCACGTCGGTAGTGCCACTATGCACGTCCTACGTTGTTCCCATTGGAGCAGAAGGTTGACGTGTCTGCTGTTCTCCTCCTGTGGCTACTTACTTTTCACACCCACCACCGCCTGCATGTAGGTCGCTTACACTCTGACCGTGGTGGGGAGTTCGCCGCCGGCACTCTAGGACAGTTCTGTCGTGTGGAGGGCATCCGCCAGACGTACACACTACCGGACTCCCCACAGCTGAATGGGGTCGCTGAGCAAAGCATCGGTCTGATCATGGAGGTAGCTCGCACCTCCATGGTCCACGCTGGTGCACCCCATTTTCGGTGGCCGTTCGTCGTGCGCTATGCTGCTCACCATCTTAACTTGTGGCCGCGCTCCCAGCGGCCACAAGTTTTGCCGACCCTCCTCTGGACCGGGTCTCCTGGTGACGCGTTTGCGCTCCACGTCTGGGGCAGCCTTGCTCACGTCCGCGACACTCGCGCAGACAAGCTCTCAGCCCGCACCCTTCCTTGTGTCTTCCTGGGGTTTCCGATTGACTCCTCTACCTGGCTGTTCTACCACCCGTTGCACCACCGCATTTACCACTCTTGTGTCGTTACCTTCGACGAGATGCTCCCCTACTTTCGGTGCTTCCCGCACCGTAGCGCTCCTGCCTCCTCCTCCTCTCTTCCTTGTTCCTGCCCCGCCTGCTGCACCCTTCCCGACCCAGTCTGGTGTCTCCCACACCACTCACTTCCCCTCGGTTGCGCCTGTGGGGGAGTCGGCTGACTCTGGGGGGCCAGCTGCTGGGGGCGCGCCTGCTGTCCCTGGGGCGCCTCCCCTAGCCTCGGTACCCCAGTCACCTCAGCCACCTCCCCCCTTGCCTCAGCAGCAGCAGCACTTGTCACAGCAGACTCAGCGGCTGCTGCAGCAGCAGCAGTAGGGACCAGTGGGCTCTGGGGGTGCTGATATTGGAGGTGTTGGTGTTGTTGGTGTTGGTTCTGGGGGTGCGAGTTCTGGGGGTGCTGACTCAGGGGGTGTTGGTTCTAGGGATGCCAGTTCTAGGAGTGCTGTAGCGGGGGGTGCTCGTTCTGTGGGTGGTGCGTCCAAGGGTGCTTGTCTTGGGGGTGCTGTTTCAAGGAGTGCCGGTGGTAGCCGCGGTGCTGCTAGAGCAGTTGCAGCCACAGCAGCAGCCGCAGTAGCAGCAGCAGCAGGAGCAGTAGCAACCATAGCAGTAGCCGCAGCAGCAGGCGTAGCCGCCGCCGCCGCAAGAGCAGCCGCAGTCTGCCCTTCGTCTCCTTGGTCTTGCTCCAGGTTCCCCTGTCCGCTCGCCCGTTCCCCCTCCAGTGCGTGACCATGTTTACAACCCGTTGTTCCCTCCTTCGGGCTCCTCTCTGGCTCGTTTTCCCCCGTGCTCCCCTCCGTCCCCTGACTTGTCCCCCGTTCCCCCTCGTCCCTAGTCCCCAGTTCTTCCCCACTGGGTTCATCGCCCCTCAGGTGCTCGTCCTGTCTCTCCCCGTCCTAGTGTCCATCTTATGGTTCTTCGTTCGCATGCTTCTCCTGTCACATCCCTCCCGTTGCCTCCCCCATTGTCGCTCCCGTCGTCCCCCTCTCCTTGCTCCGATGCTGCTCGCACTTCTCGTCCTACCCTCTCGCGCTTACTTGCGTCACTTGTCACTGACCCTACTGCTCCTCCTGAGATTGCTCTGCGCTTGTCGCTGCTACCGTTGACTTTACTGCTAGCCACCGCCTAGACTACACTGCCGCTCTGGTCTCTGGTACTGCCCGTCCTCCGTCCGTCGGAGGTGTACCTGCCCTTGGCAGTGACGTTCTAGAGGACAGGCAGTACGAGTTGGCCTACTTTGCTGCTAATGTACCCCATCTCTGCTCCATGCTTGTATCCCTAGAGGGCGACCCAGATGCTCTCGATATCCCTGTTTCACGCTCTTACGCTGAGGCGGTGTCAGGGCCTTGGGCAGCCCAGTGGATACAGGCCATGGAGGCTGAGATGGCATCCTACAGATCCACAGGCAATTATGTCGACGTAGTTCCCCCGCCTGGGGCGAACGTAGTCGATGGCATGCGGATCTATAGGGTGAAGCGCGCACCTGGAGAGCCGCCGAAGTTCAAGACGCATTACGTAGCTAGATGCTTCAGTCAGCGCAAGGGTGTGGACATCTTCCAGACCTTCTCCCCGACCCCGAACATGACTACACTTTGGGTCCTTCTTCACATAGCCGCGCAGTGTGACTACGCGCTTCACTCACTCTACTTCTCCACAACATTCTTGCAGGGTAGTCTGCGCGAGCAGATCCACCTCCGGTGCCCTCTAGGCTTCTCTAGGTCCTTCCCACCTGGGACCGAGTGGAACCTGCGCCGTCCTGTCTACGGCCTTTGTCAGACACCCCGTGAGTGGTACGACATGCTTTGCACCACTCTTGCCGAGCTGTAGTTCTTTCCATCCTCTGCTGACCCGCCTCTCTTTGTTCGCACGGGTCAGACACCATTCTACATTCTAGTGTACCTAGACAATCTTATCTTTGGTACTCCTGACTGAGTCGCACTGTCCTCAGTGAAGGCCGAGTTACTTAGGAGACACACCTGTACAGACTTGGGTGAGCTGAGGCGCTATTTGGGCTTGGAGATCTCTCGTGACAGTGCCGCTCGCACGATCACATTCTCCCAGTCCCATATGGTGCTGCAGATCCTCCAGAGGTTCAGTCTCCAATTCTCCTGAGCACAATCCACCCCTCTGATTGTGGATCACAAGTTCTCTGCTCCTGTTCCGGCTGAGCCGATCAAGGCTAGTGGTCCATACACAGAGCTGGTGGGGTGCCTCATGTACCGGATGACCTGCACTCGATCAGATCTAGCGTACCCTCTCATTCTCCTGGCCCACTTTGTTGCGCCAGGCAGGCACCGACCAGTTAACTGGTCGGCTGCCAAAAGGGTACTGTTGTATCTGGCGAGAACATCAGGACTGGGGCTTGTGCTAGGAGGACGGGAGCCAGTGGTGCTCACTGGGCACACAGACGCGTCATGGGCTGACGAAGTGGAGACGCTCAAGTCCTCTCAGGGCTACATTTTTAGTCTTGGTGCTGGTGCAGTCTCGTGGAGGTCTACCAGGTCGTCGTCTGTAGCTCAGTCCAATTGTGAGGCAAAGATTTACGCTGGGGCCATGACCGCTCAGGACCTCCGCTGGCTGACGTTCTTGCTCACTGACTAAGGTGAGCAGCCTAGGTCTGTCCTGATCCTGTTTGCTGACAATAGGGCCATGATCCTCCTGTGTCAGGAGGCTCGACTTGAGGGCAGGGCGAAGCACATCCAGCTGTGGTACTTCTGTTGCGTGAGTTGCAGCAATGCGGCCAGGCTCGAGTAGTACACGTGGCCACAGAGGCCAACGCCGCTGATATCTTCACCAAGGCACTAACGCCTCGTGACCATCAGCGGTTCTGTACTCAGCTTGGTCTAGTCTCAGTAGCAGCGCCACTTCTTGTATCCTGATATCTACTATACCAGCTTGTACTTGCTATTTCTATACCTGCATTGTTAGGAGAGGGTTTTAGCTAGGTAGGAGAAAGAGTAGCGAGAGAAGAGAGGGGTTTGACTAGACAAGAGAGAGAGGTACAAGAAGGGGGTTGTCCTCTCTACAGTAGCAACCAGAAACTTTGTAGTACACGTACCTAGCCTACACATGTATATAAAATATATATACATTGACACACCCCCTAGGCTAAGAAGGCACTACTCACAGTAGCAAGAGACGAGGGCAGCACTACTAGTCTATCCACTGGTTTGAGTAGTACGAAGAAGTCACAACACACCACACACCCAAC